AACAACAAGTTCGCACACGAGCGGAAGCGGCTGAACGGGCTCTGGCAGCAGTGGCGCCTACAGGTTCAAGCCCTCGGCCCTATGCAGAAGGAGCCCATGGGGACGAGAGAGGGGCGGGTCGGCGGCTCTGTTGCATCAAAAGGCTGTCCCTGCCTTGCACCTTTGTCTTTCTATTTTGGAATGGGTGTCCTTTTAACCAACAAAACGGGTGCCCTTTGTTTGAGGGAAACCGATGCTGCGGCACGGAATGCGGGCTGGAGCTGCGGAAGTGCTCTCTGCGTGCTACTTTGGAAGTGAACAGTTTCGGCTTTCGAGCTGGGCTGCAGAAGCTTACTTCGTGCACTACCTTCGTACTGAAAAGTTACGGCTTTCGAGCCCAGGATTCCAGAAGTGTCCTTTGCGTACTACTTGTGTGTTGAATGTTGTAAAGATAGTCCCGCGCTCGTGAAAGTTATGTTTTTGTTCTTTTCCGCGAAGATGGCGTTTGCGGGAACCGGGAACAAGGATTTTCAACCAACCGCCATATGAAGCATAAATACGTGAACATATATATATCCTGGATCATCCATCGCTACTTTTATTTCTGCCTCCCCCCCTGTTCGATACATAAATGGGAAAATAGTAGCACTTTTCTACCTTCTTTTGCTTGCGAGCGTATTTTTCCGATTCGAGCATTAATTTTGCTCGGCCACATTGTTCCATCAAGACAGCAGGTGTTGGTTTTCCAAAACGAGCGCAAAACGCGCAAACGAGCGCCAAATAAGCGCAAAAAGGGCGCAAATTTGCGCAAAAAAGTGCAAAAGGGCGCAAATTCCAAAAAAGGTACGAATTCGACACTCGTCCGGTCGACTCATTCGATCCCTCGAGCATTTTTTTTCCAAACGAGCACTTTTTCTGTGGACGTTGTGGCCGGGGCAGAAATATTTCGTAGCACAATTTTAGGTAGCGTTGGATGACCCTGGATGTATATATGTGCAAGCACGTATTTCCGCAGAAAAGCGTTGATAATGGCTGAATTACGTTTCGCAGCAGTGCGCGAAAACTGTGTAAAATGATTGATAGGCCCCCGAAACGGGGGGGGGGGGGGGGAAAACTCCATGCATCGAGTGGAAAAACTGCAGACGTGCTTCGTCGATGCGCAAAATAAAATCATATCCGAACGATACCCCGAACAATACTACGAACAAAGCCCCGAACAATACTTACCCCTCGCTGATATCAGATGTTCCTCGCCAAGCCCCTACCAAATACACCAGATAAGTTGGTTGTGGAAGTTATATGTTAGTTGGACATGACTGCTTGTAAGTTAACTTAGGGGACTTAGCGGTCGACTTATAAGTTCCCCGTAAGTTCACCGCCCGTCCCTTGTTTTTGGCGGAAGGCCACACACTCACGGGCAGCAAAGGTAGAACCAAGTATTGCAAAAAGCAGAGACCCGCTTGCCAACTGCACACCGCGAAGCCGTGGCGGGGCAGGAACTACAAACTGAGAGAGCAGAAATGCTACAGGGCGAGGGGGGGGGGGGGAAAAACATGAGCTAGAAAGAGTGCACATGCAATGTCGGCCTTGTGTCGGCCAATATCGGCCGCGGTCGGCCGTTGCATGGTTCCCTCGATGTCGACCTACATGTTGTCATATAGGCCTGCTCGGCCTAGACATCGGCCAAACGTCGGCCCAAGCTTCTCACCAAGGCTTACTTTGGGGCCAACCCTGCGATGGACAGGCAACCGGGAAAAGCTGACGAACGGCGACTTCGACTCACATGCTCGGATATGTATCACCTCTTGACACAGTCTGTGTGCTTCATCTTTTTTCCATACAGAACCGCCACGCGGCCACGGATTTAAAAAAGTAGAAAAGGTCACGGCGTTCGTAAGTTCCCCGTAAGTTCACGTATATATCTTCATCCTCTAAACCTGCATAAGTTGCCTAAGTTCTCCTCAACTAACTTGTATGTGAACCCTGAAATAGCTTGCTTGTGGCGCGCTTGAGTAACTTATGTGTACTTGATGTTAGTTAACTTCAAACCGACCGTCTATCTAGTACTGTTCTCCGGCATTTTCAGCTAGCTACGCTCACTTACTTGGCCCATCCAAAAAAGATTTCCATAAAACGCCGTAAAGCGACCGGGCCACTCCAAGAGCGATGCCCGCCCCAAAGGGATGACTGCCAGACCATGGCATAGCCCTCCAGCACCCCAGCAGCGTATGGGGTGGAAAAGAGGGGCTTCCATGTCTGGGCGAAGGGTTGGCTATGAAACCCCAGTTTCGTGACCGGTACCATTGCGTCAGGCAAGGGGGTTGAACCTAAGAGCAATCCAAGCTATCCAGGTATAGTTACAAAGGCACCCGCATCGAAAGAACTTCCGAGACCTGCAGTGGCGCCCTTGTTCTCTTACACACATTGGTTTTGTTTTAAAAAAGCAAACTACCAAAAACCGCGGCTGCGTCTTTTGTTCCCATGGTTCCTGTTTGTTTTGGTGTTTGATCGATGATGGATCTCAGGAGCACTGGCCTCCGCCGCCGCCTCACCTGGATCCCCCCTCAGAGGTCTACGACGTGGATACAAAGCACCGAGGGGGGGCGGGGGGCTAGCGCTTTGGCGTGGCAGGGCCAGTTGATGGCAGAAGGTCTGTCAAAATATACAGTCTTGGTGTTCTATCTATAAAGGTCAGAGTAAAGATCATGTACCTTACAACATCAGATAGACAGGGTTCAGGTAATGGATGCATATATATATATAGTATACATTGTCAGGCTCGCGTGGATTGTGGGGGGGGGGAGGGGTTGATGACTTTTGCACTTATGACTGACCCAATTGCAACCAGATCAAAGCGCTGCGTGTGTGATTCTGCAGTGAACTTATTCGTGCTGGTTTTGCTCTGTGATTCTTGAATTCTTGTCCCAGATGGTTATTGTTTCAGATGCATCCAAAACACCAATCTTATCCAGGACGAGCCTTCACACTTGTTGATTACATTGAGAAGAGCTGGTCAAAGAATTCGATCTGTGTGGTCTTTGGGGGTCCTTGCATTACCTTGTTTGTTTGAGCAACACGCTTGGCCCGAAGGTGAGTTCCCTTGGTTCGGCCATGAAGGTCCTTTTCGGGCCAACCTTCATTTAGGTTAGGGGAAAAATAGCAACTTGTGCAAGTTCTCCTGGTATATGATGAGGGGCCACAGAATGTACATTAAAAACAGCATGCTCCTATGGTCATGACTTTCTGCTGATGTTGTAGCCCGGAACCCAAACACCTCGTAGGGCACACCCATATATAATTTGTTTTAGGCCCAAATATATCTGAATATTTTGATATCTTACTTCGGGAACTGAAAGACAGATCTTTTTATGTTTTCGTTTTTTCCGCAGGAAGATGAAGATTCTCATCATCACCGGTCTAGCGCAATCCGCGCTGGGCCGCAGTTTGTTCGCCCGCGACATGCGGAGGGTTTCCGCTTCTTAAGGAAGTGCCGTGGCTTTATCTTGGCGGGCGGCTAGCTCCGGAACCGTTTCACCACAGCCCTTTGTTTAAAAGCAAACAGAGTTGGGATTAATACAGACCGGCATATGCATTGGAGGAAACCTCCAAATGAATCCATTCCCCAAAAACAGGAGGACTTAGTTCACGTTGACTGCAAAGTAGTGCCTCCCTGATGCATGATCATCTTAATTACTAAAAACGACCAAACAGGGAGATAATTCAAGATGGGAACCAAGCTGCTCTTTGTACACCTCCGCGCGGGATCGGTTTGACATCCACTGATATGGTGATCACCTGTTACTTCCTTTCGGGCAGTTTGATTTGCACAGTCTCCTAGCTTATTCTAAGGGACTTGGCATCTGAAGGAGCGCGAGTTTCAACCAGTGGGTTGCTGACCGCAAGCTACTGGAAGCACTTGAAGCGGTTCGGAGTCCCGTCTTCCTTTGTAGGAATTGCGCAATGTGCGAGCGTGCCTTGTGATGTTGCCGTTGAAGTTCACAGCAAGCCCCACTTGTTGGTGGAGCAATCAAGAGTTGCCCTCTCGGGCCGAGGGCAACCATCCGATATGTGAAGACGATTGATGCTCACTTAGCATTTCATTCAGAGACAATATGTTGTAGAAGGGGTGCGTTCATCATTCCTGAGTCAATACTATCTAGTTCGGGCTCACGCTTGATGTCCTTTTGTGAGTTTTCTTGACTTGCTTGCACATTCGCGCGTTTGGTTTTCAAGCAAAGGCGTGTAACATAGCTGTGCATCTTCCCCAGCACGTGAGCAGAAGATGGTGACCCTTGAAGGCATGTCGTGTACTCTGAAAGGGATCTTATCAAACCACACTTTTTAGTTGTCGAGTGAATGGGAGTCAGCTGTGGAAGGTGTTGTGCCACCAAGCCGGCAACATGCTGGCAAAACGGTGCGCTTGCGGTACGCAGATGATCCACACGACTTCTTTGGCGCAGACAAACTTCAACAACTCTTTGCCTTCATCTGTGGTATTGGCTCATTTTGCCCAACGTGGTTTGCCGCTCTTTCTTGGCTTTCAGGCATCAGCATTGATCTCATTTTTGTGGAAGGGGGACAACAATCCCCGCGCCGCAGGCGGCAGGCTCAGTTGAGATCTGCTGGGAAAAAGACTCGGTACGGAGTGCCGCTTGAGTGGATGCTATTTGGTTGGATCTGAAACCCGTAAATGTGTTGACAAACCTTTAGCGAGTTTGGATCTCATTCTTCCAAAACCGGTTTAGGTGCTTGATTTGTGGATTGCTTGTTATATTTTTCCCCAGTTGATCCTTGTTTGAGTACTCTTTTGGTATCCTACAGGGCATGGATCCGCAAAAACCTTATCCAAACCCTTTCTCAGAATGCTGGTTGGTGGTAACAAGTTGACTCTAAGTAGCCACGACCCAGCCAAAAAAGTGGTTAAGCCAACCAAAAAGACGACATCTTGCCCAGGAAGCAAGACAAACACTCTCTTGTCGACTGGCACCAGCGCTGCTGCGCTGCTTCTTCTTCACCCCGAGGAAGGGGCTGTATGTGCACATCATCCTCTCGGACAACCGCTTCGGAGTGGGCTTGGGCCCACTTACCGAGCTGCTGCTGACCCTGGGAGAGGCGCGGAAATGACCCGAGGGAAAACCAGCGCGGAAATGAGTCCCTCCCTCAGTTTGCCGTTCAGGGTTCCCTATGTTACCCCTGACAGCTTCCATTTTGCTTAAGAATACGTTGTTATTTTCCCTTGAGGCTTCATAGGGAATCTACCACTACTGGTGATATTGTTATTTTAACTTGCAGTGGGGGTAAGCAAATGGAAGAAAGGGTGTTTTTATTTTGTTTAGAAACATAGGGAGCCCTGGTCTTGCTTGGTGGGCTTCCGACCAAGCATGGCAAACCCCAACAACCGGGATCTAATTCTTCAATGGGTAACTGGGAAAACTGGGTGACTGCATGTAATCACCATACTCAGTGCGGAATCAACCGTGTCGTGTTGGATGCGCAGAGGGTTGCCAGCAAGAACTGCGAGTAGCGATTGCACATGAAGTGCTACGGGTCTCTTGGATATAAGAGAGCTTGCTGAGCTGGCGTGGGTCAAGGATTTCGGCCTTCCGACCATATTCCTTCCCCAGAATTTGCTCCCCTTCTTGTTTTGTTGCTTCTTGGCTTTTTTGGGGTCCCTGTGTTTTCCACTAACCAGGCAAACAACTATTTTTTTGCTGGGGTCCTAATTCCCGCCTAGATTCTAGCGTTTCTTTCTTTTGCAGATCCCCTTTAAGGAGGCTGAGACGAGAGATGTTTCGGATGTGTTTGGGCAAACTCGCCGAGCAGTTGGTGCTTTCATGTCCCCGGCTCTCGTCCATATTCGAGCTGCGCCCGCTGAGTCGAGAAACGACCAGGGAACCCGCCCGCAGTTGACAGCCAAGTGCCGGTTCCGCACCTTACACTGTATCCTCGCAAATGCGAATGATACATTTTTGGAAGTGGAAACAAAACAAGACCTTTTCATGTGCTTCGGGGCAAGTCTCAAATTGTGCCAAAATTAGGGAAGTCCTAAAATATTTCAAAATGGTAGCTGTCCTTTTGGTTATACCCAAGAAGGGAACCTACGGGCAGCGGCCGAAACACATGGGAGGTGCTGGACATGCTGCGATCCCCCTCTGTTCGCTGGAGACTCAGCTTTGCCTTGAAGGAGTGGTCCCTTTGGTCCAAGTGCAAAGATGGATGTTGAGTGACTTTTGCTGGTTGTTTGTCTTGGTTGAGGAGTATATACAGTACATGTCGTGATCTTTGTATTAGCGTGACCGTCAAAGCTCTTGGCTCTTCGCAGTAGTCGTACGAAGACTTGCCAAGAATGCAGAGCACGAGCCAGACCACGCACTCGAGGAAGCACCCCCTCCAAAAAAATATCTTGCTTGGGAGTGCAATTCTGGTTTGATTTGACCACCTGACCAAGGACTGAAAGCTTGAATTTTGACAGAGCAACCGCTATCTCCCTGAACAGACTGACACCACACCATCAGTTCATCAATCAGCCGACTAAAGCACTGTCGGCAGCCATGAAGCGCCCTGCTGCGAGATCCCGCGCGGGTGCAAAGACGAAGGCGGTTTGCGTGAAGGCGTGGATCGCAAGACGCTTTTCGCTGTACAGCCAACTTCTTTAAGCCAAGCAGTTTGTTCCTTGTGTTTCTGGAGTCAGGTGGACAAATGGATTTGTGTTTTGTATTAGCGGATAGATAAGCTTCCAAGGCTTTTGGTCGCGAGCAGCTTCTTCAGTTCCGTCGCTTGCAAGAAAAAAACACCTCAGGTTCGAACTTTGAAGCTCCCTCAACACCCCATAGTTCCGGACAGAGATCCAAGCACCCTCAAGGCCCAAGCAGCCTCAAGGCCCAAGTGCCCTTTGAGATCTTTGAGAGATGGGTACTTTGACCCCCACGTCCCCCAACAAGTTCGGCACCCTCCTGGGTGAAAAGAGCCGAAAGCCGGGTGCCGCTCGCAGGTGGCGAGTCTCAGAGAGGCCGGCTATGCGAACCTGGAGGAGTGGCTTCGGGAGGAGAAGAACCTGAGCCTCGCCTTTTCGGCCAGGGCCATGAGTTGTTGTGGATTTTTGAGAAAGGGGTCTCAAACTAAGGCGACCATTGGCAACCTTTTCTTTGGGGATGGTTTTGAATGGAATTCAAAAGAAAAAACATATTGGGGTGCCTAAATTTAGAGACGCTCGCATATACCACTCAAGGTGTTTGGTGGCTATAAATCTCCACCGGAAATTCGTAGGGCCATGGCGCAGCCTCCTTTGGCATTACTCCTTTATTTGGTTCTTTGCGTTGGCTGTACACAGTCCGTATTTGTTCAACAACATGTTGGCCCTACGGCCATCGTTTGCCCCACGTTTTCAATGGGCGCTCTCGTGGACACAAGTGCACCCGGAAACAAATGAACCCGTGTGAGGCCAAATGGTAGCGTGCACGTTCAAGGGAACCCGGAAACAAGCGAACCCGTGTGAGGCCAAATGGTAGCGTGCACGTTCAAGGGAACCCGGAAACAAGTGAACCCGTGTGAGGCCGTGTGAGGCCAAATGGTAGCGTGCACGTTCAAGGGAACCCGGAAACAAGTGAACCCGTGTGAGGCCGTGCGAGGCCAAATGGTAGCGTGCACGTTCAAGGGAACCCGGAAACAAGTGAACCCGTGTGAGGCGAAATGGTAGCGTGCACGTTCAAGGGAACCCGGAAACAAGTGAACCCGTGTGAGGCCAAATGGTAGCGTGCACGTTCAAGGGAACCCGGAAACAAGCGAATCCGTGTGAGGCCAAATGGTAGCGTGCACGTTCAAGGGAACCCGGAAACAAGTGAACCCGTGTGACCCCGAAACAAAAGCCCACGCCCCTTCACGGCCTTGCACCTTTCAGCGACTCAGGTCTCCACGTCCAGCGGCATAAGCCACTCTTGATCTTTGAAGGCATTTCGGAAGCAATTCTGTCTTGCACATGCTCTCGGTAGCACTTCAAGGCTGTGAGAACCGACAAGAAACCAGGGCGGTCGGCCAAGTACTTGGCCGAAAGTGGGGCGATGTGCAGGTCGCCCCTGTCAGATTGGAATTTTCCGTACTTGCCTAGCCGTCTAAGGGTGCCCTTGACTTGGGATGCCATGCTCATAACTCTCAAGGCGGCCTTGGGGATGTGCTTTCGGTTGAGTTTTGCTGTGGGCATCCACTCGCTGAGCGAATGGCGCGCGCAAGCAGCTTGAAGGCCTAGATCTGAATAACATCCTCGAAGACCTGTGCTGCTGTCGCTTCCAATCACGTGCATGGAGGCGTTGGCCAGGCGAGCTATGTGTTGCATGCATTCTGACTTTGTCTCCGGTGGGCCTGGGGCCGATTTCGCAGTCGTCTTCTCCTGCAAAGGCATCAGCGCTGCTTTCTTGCTTTGCCTGTGTACTGCAAGTAAAAGGCGTCCAGAGTGAACCGCAGTGCCTGTCTTTGCCGAGGAGTGCCTCCTGACAGAATAGCCAGCAGACAAGTCACTAGCAAGCTGGTACTCAGGGTGATGTAAGCCTTGCCATGCTGCAGGCAATGTCAAACAGTTTTCAAGTCTCGCTCCGTGAAAAGAGGACAAAAGCAACCAAAAAAGAATCCAGTACTGTTACTTGGCTGAGTCTCGAGGCCGCCCGGCTGAGCAATCGGCAGAGCTGCCGCTGCAGCGCAGGGTGCCGGGCTCCTTTGTGCGCTTCATGCCTGCACCGCACGTGTAACATTTTCTGTGGGCTTTGCTGCCGAGGACTTTGTGCTTTTTCAGGAGCGCCACGCACTTCGCTTCTGATAAGGCGCAGATCTCTGGGTATGATTTTTGCTTCACTTCCCGAAGGCCTCTGCGACCTTTCTTTTGAGACGCTTGCCTGCTTGCACTCTTGCTGCCGCCGTAGCTGAGACCGGCCACATGAATCTTCCTGTTGGTGCCAGACTTTGTTGCCAGGCTTCTGCTGGTTGGCTTTAACCTTCCGCTGGCATATCTCTCTCTAGGCGGCCTCACACGGCCCTTCATTGCTACGGGAATGAAAGACTGAGCCTGAAAAGCCAAGAGACACAAGTCTGGACAAGAAGCAAAAAAACAAGGAATGCCGCTGCTTGTTTCACGCACGACTGCTTAATGCTTTGCGCTGGCCTTGCCATGCTGCACTTGCCAAGAAATGTCGCTGCGCACTAGCCGCAGCCTTTCCTGGACTGCCTTTGGCAGGTCCGTGAGCTCCCCTAAAAAAGGTTGAGATGCCCAGCACTGGCGCTGGCGGTCTCAGTTCTTTCCTTCCCGGCATACAACAGATCCCGGCCTTTTCCCGCCCCATTGGACAGTAGGCACCATGCATTTGTTGTGCACTCTGCAGGTGCCCCACTTTCCGTTCTTGGGCTTGCTGACTGCTTGCAATCGCTCACTCAAAGGCTGCAAGGGCACAGCGTCTCGTTGCGCCACCCACCGCTGCTCATCTCTATGCAGGCATTCTTCCACGGGGTCGTTCCTGTGCACTATTTCAGGGCTGCTCGAAGGATCCTGTATCGGCGACCAGTCATCGGTCACATCATGGTTCTCATGCTCGAGTGACTGCTGCTGCGCTCTGCGAAAGCCATGCCAGACTTTGAATCTCTTCCTTCTTGGCGTGTCTGATGTCTTTGCTGGACTAGGATCACCCTCGCATGCCAATTGGTTCTGGAACTTGCGCTTGGATTCAGGCGAGGTAAACATGGCACAAGGTAAACATAGCACGAGGTAAATATGGCACCCGCCCTTGCCCTTGCTTGAGCATCGCAAGCGGCGGTGGCAAAAACGCTTATACAGCGTGGGGCAAACGATGGCCATACGCCCAACATGTTGACACAAAGCTGCATACAACCGCATGTTTGGCTCCAAGGACATTTCTCGGGGCTCCATCGCGAATAAACTCACTCCGATCTGGCTTTATCCAGTAAATCATCCCGAATATGGTTCCACGCTACCGGAACTTGACAAGTCTGGATGTATGGCCAGAAGTTAGATCTATGCAGCTTGTTTTGGGGGTGACTATCTCGGTCCTACAATCCTTCTTGACCATGACGGTATATGGCTGTGGCTCAAAAAAACGGTACCAACATGGAACCTTGGTAAGTGGAAACATGGACCAAAACCCGCGTAACCCCTCCTGTTTTTTAATTTTTATGGGTATGGGTCAAAATTAAACCATTAGGGGACCGCAGGTTTTTGGTCCATGTCTCCACTTACCAGGGTTCCATTTGGGGTACCTATTTTTGACCCACAGCCAATATGCACATGTGTGTGTGCGTGCCAAGCTTCCACCCGCGAATTGTGCGTTGCGTGAGGTATGTGGGTCGCCGAGGGAGGATCTTCATCCACACGACAGGTGCGGCTGAGGGGTTTCTGAATGGTTGAATTCGCTGACATTACTTTTCCCAGAGGGTCCAAGTACCTCATATTTGCGGATTTGAGGAATCTGTGATTGACGAATCCCCTTGAAGAAACCCAAAGCCGTAAATATGGGTACTTAAGACCCTCTGGGTTTTCTAGGTCTCAAAGGAGGCAACTCTTTGTCAGGTAACCCTTAGTTGTTCGTTTGGATTGGTGGTTTGGGCATTTGAAATTCTGGTTGTGAAGAGGTGAGATGGGAAACCACCCCAAACCTTCCACCCATGCAAACCACCAATTGGAGGGAAGCTGACTTTGGGTTGCTTTTGATCCAACCTTGCGAACCCAAATTGGGCCGGTTTTTCGGCGTGCAACCGGTTTTTCGGTTTTGGACCGCGAGCTGCGAGGCTCGAAGCGAGTCTTTCACTACTCCGGCTCCAAGTGGCAGAACCCCTTTGTCACTCGGCCAGAGATGGCTCATTTTGCATCTTGAGGTGTATTTCTGCTTGTTTCTTTTCAACCAAACCCCAGTAAAGTGAGTTAGTCTTTGTTTGGCCCCTTTCATGTTCCCTTTCAACCGAACAAAACAGCTCTCTGAGATCCGTTTGGGGCTCAGGTTATTGGTGGCAAGCTGACGCGGCAGCAGGCCTGCGAGCGTTTCAAATGCGCCTTACTGGATGGCTCGCTGAAGGACCCCGAGGACCGATTCAGCGCATTAGTGGCATCTTGGGTGAAGTAAAATGGCGCCATGCCGTCATGCACCTTACCAACAGCAGCAGAGTTGTGCCATCTACTTTCACCCTGATGTGTTTTGCCAGAGCTTTGACATGTTTGTGTTGAATTGTTTGTGTTTCTTTGCGGACGCCGCCGTAGCGCGCTTGCACGGCTTTTTTGAATGGTGGAGTCCTCTTGTTGCTCGGTGTAGGGGAAACCGGAAGCGCTGAGTTGTAGGTGGAATTCTACCTGGGCCTGGATCTCAACTCCTTTTGAGGCGATCCCCATTGCGAGACACAGCCCAAACTTTGGTCAGGACAATGCTGACAGAGGTGACAAACTACTCTTACACTGCTAAGACAGGCCCTAGCAATGCCATTGACATGCAGCACACCAAAAAACAGCCAAAACCCCTACGACTGCAAGACCAAACCATTCAAACGTAGAGCTCTGGTGGCCTGGGTTTATGGTACCTCACACCGGGAAGCCTCCAGGCCGGATGGTTGAGCTCCAAGCTGTTGATTGTTGAGGCTCTTCATACCCCACTGAGGTGTTGCCATGAATGGCCCCAATGCGCCAAGCGCGGCCTGTGTGGGAAAAAATGTTTGACCATCTCAACACCCGTGGAGGGCTCTGCAGGAAACGAGCTCATAAGGCGCTCGCGGACCAAAGCCCAAGGAGTTGTTTGTTTCTGCGAGGCTCCCAATTGTGTCAAGTGCAGTTGGTGAATAGTAGCACGCAGGACGGCCTCGTTTTGTGAGATGCGTCCTGCTGACTTGTGAAAGTAAATCGTCGCACATGGGCGTTTCTTAAGATAAAGGCCCCCCAAAGTAGTGTCCCTTTGACTGCACAGCAAAGGCTCCATGTGCGACATCCGTTTGGCTCAATCCAAGAGGTCCACGCCACTCTTCGATCCCAGAATGTCTCCTAAAGTCGTCACCTCAGAGAAAAAGAAAAGAGCTAAAGGTTCCCTTTTGCCTTCAAACAAAACCACTCAAGTTGGTGCCTCGGCTTCTCCGCTTCGAGAGGACGGGTCGCCCTTGCGGGCGAAGGTCTCGGAGCTGCGGGGCCGGCGCTTGGGGTGCTGGTGCCTCCCGGAGCCCTGCCACGCCCAGATCCTGGCGGAGCTCGCGGAGGCGAAGCGGTTGGCCGCCGGGTTGCCGCGAGTCGTCCGCGCGGGGTGTTGGTCGAAATTCAAGCAAAGGGACCCGGGGGGTGGGGGATTTGGGGATTCGGGGATTTGGGGGGTGGGTCGAAATTCAGCCAAAGGGAAAACACTGGTTTGAGTCGACTTAAGTTTCTCATTGACCGGGGTTCCAGTGGTGCTTGTTTCCATGTACCAGGGCAACCCGTTGTGGGTAATTACGTATTTTTGACCAGCCGTTGTAGTCAGATTTGCGCCACAACCATGGAAATAAGATGGTGTGTGTGTGTGTGTGGCCGTTTGGGGATGCCGTTCAAGGGAAGCCAAGGGAAACCACTGGGTTTGGGGGGGCAGGCCCGCCTTTTTGAGATGCACCCATATAGCCATTGTTTACCTTAGGGGGTTACAATGGGTCAACCTCCCTTTTGGGGGTTGAAGCCAGAGTGTTTCTTAAGCAGACAGGACACCCACCACTTTAGGAGACTATTTTGAGAACCCCCCTGGGTGTGTTTCTTTGGAGGCGCATACTGCCTGGGTGACTCCAGGTTTCTCAAAGTGGTGGACCCGCTTTCGATATCCAAAGGTGAGCCAAAAAGGAGAAAGCATTGGACCTTTGATTATTTGAGAAACCTCCCATTGCATTGGAACATACCTTCTGCCTATATAGCGAGCTCACGGTTTAAAACGAGATCCCCCATTTCAAACCACCCAGTCTCAATTTGGGTTGTTGTTGTTTTACTTGCTGGGCCCAACAGGAAAAAGGGGGACCCCTGACACCCCTTGGGCTGGACATGATGCCAGTAAACCCAACATTTGTCGTGGGGTGCCCGACTTTGAAGAAACTCCCATGTTGCGGAGAGCCGCCAAAGTTGTTTGAGTTGGAGCTGGTACTGCAAGAGTCCAGCATGTTGTGCTTCTGCCTCGTGTGCTTTGACCCTTAAAGGTGTTGGTAGCATTGGTTGCTTGTTGACATGTCCCGGCCCAGTAGTAGACAGTGGTGGCTTATGTTCAGAATGCTTGGCTTGCCGTTTTGACACCACCTGCGCCTTCCGCCTTCCGCTCGTTCCATTTTGGGGCCGAAGGAGATCGCCTCCCAGTGAATGGAGCTATAGGTGTACAGCCGACCTAGCGCTGAAGGCAGGGTTGCTCCCAGGACTCCGAAAGAACCACCGGACACAACTCAAGAAATGGGTATGGGTCAAATGGTCCTTTACACGGGATGACCATCAGGGAAACCACCAAAGGAGAGCACTTTCTCACCACATGGCAACAAAAAGTTTCTCATGGTCATTTGGGTGTGGGTCAAAATTAAACCACAAGGGGACCGCAGCTTTAAGTCCCTGTTTCCATGTACCAGGGTTCCATGTCGGGCACCTATTTTTGACCCACAGCCAAATTGGGATGACCATGCAATCGGTCCTTTCCGGCGGGGTGTACAGCTGACCTCGATGAGAAGAGCCAAAGAAAGCGGCCGGTGACCAATGGCGTCGCGCCGCTGAGGAGTTCAGAGAAAGATTGATCTGGAATCAAGAAAAGAAGCCAACCATCGCACATACATATCTCCAACCATCGCTGCTACATATGCTCAATCCAGTTTTGCTGGCTGCGGATTCGAAGCTGTCGTCATTCAGCAGGGCTCCTCTGAAGAGGACTTCCCAGATGTCGGTGATTTATTTATTTCATATTGGGCAGCCTTCTAAGAGATATGCGGGCTCCGCTGAGCTGACAGGATTCATGGGACAAACCTCAAAACCAGTTGCCCTTTCCGATGGCATGTTGCAGTGATAAGGACACGTATTCTCTTCTTTAAAAGTTGGATTGCCTCGGAAATGGCTCTGATGACTGCCAGCACCCCCCCCCCCCAACGACTGCTTTTTGGACAGCACTTGGGGTTGTGAACACGGGAAAAAGCGGTGATGGGCACCCTGCGTGTTTTGAAGCAGCCTGATGGTTTCCATCGGCTGAGGCCGGCTCCAGATGCAGCCCTTCACAGTAGACCAGACCAAAGTCATCATCCGCCCCTCGAGCTGGAATTGGGGCTGCGATAGGCGTTTCCCCGTTCTAGGTGTTCTTGTTTCATGTGTTCTGGCTGTTTGCTTCTTGTTTGGGGAGGGCCAGCCCATGCCAGGGTGTTAGTTATGCTCCTGTAATCAGATCCCCTGTAATCCGATAAGCCTTGCTTTGTGCTTTGGGATGGGCGGTTTGGGGAATTTGGCCCCTAAAGGGTAAATGGGGTAACCCCGGCCCCGCGAACCTCCACACAAAAGGCAAGCCCCGGCCTGTTGCTTGGTTTCTGCAAATACATGTTGGGTTGGCTTGTGTATCTGGCAGCTGTGCTGAATGTGGTTTGGCCATGGCTATGCCAGTCATTCCATTTAGGTAACCAAGGAACCGCCCTTGGAACATCAACAGGAAAATGGCTGGTGCCTGCTAGCGAAAAGGAACTGGGATGGGCATGTTCCGAAAGGGCAGAAAGCACGAGCCAAAGAGGCTAGCACGGATCAACGGCACATTGCGGTTCATGGCCATGCAGATTTCGCCATGAAGGGTTGCGTTCTCGGATTTGCGTGTGTCTCTTTCAGAAGACCCACTTGAAGTTCAAGCGATTGTTGATTTCGTTGAACATGGCTCGAGATACTGTGGATGGACGAAATCCTGCACCACCAAACAAAGCCTGGAATGATGATTCCCTTCTAAATACCCACAAATAATGGTTTCCCATGGTTTCAAAGTGGTGCGAATCGGATTTCGTCCATCCACAGGATGGCGTTCTGATGTTTCTGCCCAATTGAAAGCAAAGCACGGAGGACGGACCGAGATGTCATTGTCGAAGGCCCCGCCCAGCTCCGGAAGCCGATCCAATTGGATCCGGAACTCTGGTCTAAGATCATGAGGCTGGTCCGATGAGATCTAGTTAGAGGTTATGAGGTTTGGGGGGAGTCCATGGGAAGGACGCCCAGAGTCTTTCTTTGCAACCTGGGTTTGTGTCAGAATCAATAGGGGGACCTTCAAAATGGGCTCCTGGTTCCCGAATAGGGTACCCGGGTACCCTAAAAAAGGGCACGCATGCACGCACGCACATCAATGGCAAGGTCCTCCGGTGGTCCTGGTGGCGCAGTTTGGAGGCCCACGGCCCAGCGAGGCACCTAGTCAAAGCTGAGCCAATGATTTGTCAAATTCGCCGCAAATGGGCGGTCGTTGACTGGTCCTTTGAGCAAAACCGGGTCCCCAAACAAGGCACCTTCAAAAAATATATCGTTTTGGGTTTCCCTTTGAAACCACCCACATCGGGGTAGCCGCACAAACACATTAGGAGACCACCAAAAAGATGAGGGTAACTTTGGTCATTTTGGGGAATATGGATCAACCCCCACACAGTACCTGCCTGCTTTGGACTCTACAATCGGGCGTCACCACGACTCTTCTTGCAGAGTGGGGCCCTTTGTGTTTTGTGGGTGAACCGTTCGCGCGACTTTTGGAGGTCTGGGAGCATGGACATGTAGGGGTGTTTCCCCAATGGGGATACCTGGGAATGGGCTTGTTCCTGGAGGTGTTTAAGTCTCAATGGGCTTCGGAATTATGCAAATTCCAATCTTGTGAGCCATCTATACTAGGATGTGCATATCTGCCAGGTAATTCTGTGTGACCTTACGCGAGTGACCGCCCGACCGACCAAAGGGCCAAGGGTGCTGTACTGGTTTGTAAGGCACATAATCCTCATGTTGGCCACTTCCCACACCCGAAGCCCACCCCCAAACCTCCCAAACCACCCAAACCTGCCAAGCCTCCCAAGCCTCCCAAGCCTCCCAGACCTAAGCCTGACCTAAGCCTGACCTAAGCCTGACCTAAGCCTCCTATAAGTGGGATGCAAGATGCAGTGCGGACCTCGCCTTGCAAGCTTCCTTGCCCATGGTGTGTGTTTTTTGAGGGTGCCCTGTTTGGGTTGTCTTAGCAGACCAGACACACTCCACCCACGAAAGAAATCAACGCCGGCAGGGGCAGTTGAGATCGTCGTGCATCGGATGCGCTTGTACCTTGATTCACTTTGAGTCGGGTAGTTCCCACTAGTAATCATTGCGAATGGTGGCGAGCTGGGCATTCTTGAATGGCCCATAGTTGCCTCAATGCTTCGTGACAACCACCGAAGCAAGAGATGGCCAGTGTCGCACATAGCACACATGGCGGCCATGATGGGTGGTAGAACTGTATTCTCCTTTGTTGTGTCAGGCATATTCAGATAAGATGTCCATGTCTCTGGGGGCTGATTCCCCATTCTTTTCAACCATTGTTCTTTTCAATAACCAGCCGTTTTCCCTGGGTAACGGGAGGTTTTCTGGAAAGAAGGATCCCTGGAAAGAATGGGAAAGGTACCCTTGGAATGTCAGATTTTCTGAGGGATTCATACATCAAGGCACGTGGCGACTTGGCTTCTGGGGATGGTCAGGAACTTGAGAAGGAACTCGGAGAATCGTTGGTAAGGGCTCCCACAGCACCAAGACCATGATCCACATGAGTTTGCCTTATGTGAGACCCGGGTTTGGCCGGCTTCTCAGCTTCCCTTCAAAGGGCCCGTTGAGAGAGCCAAACGGCCCCCTACTAAAATAGACTATACAAAAAGTCGGGTACCCTTATTCCAACCTCTCTACTGGAGGACCTAGTCATATTGTGCATCGAGTCTCGCTCGAGGCTTTCAGCGCTTTGTGCACGTCATCCGCGCGGAGAGCCTCCCGGAGGCGGGTTTCGTTCTCTCCCGAATGGTCCAAGGATCTGCTTGGAGACTTGGGGCTAGGGTTGGGTATGACTCCGCTTTCGCTGGTCAAAAGTTCGTGCCATAGTAAAGTGTAAGGCCAAAAGCCCGTCTCTTTTAAGAAAATTCGTGCCCTTTTGCCAAAACACCGGGAAAAAAAAAACAACGACCCTTTGCCTATATGGTGTAGAAGCATGTAAAGGTTTCTATTGAGGGAGCTATAGCCATGACCCACCAAACGAAGGAGCTACCACAAATGTTTGGGTTTCCCTTCTTGGGGATCCATTTCTTGTTGCACGGGGTTCGAGAAGTGAGCCCATGTCTAGACGATGGAAAAAGCACTTATTCCAAACAGGAAGAATAGCACAAGGAGCAGCCAAGCAGAAAATAAAGCGGTATGTCAAGACTGGGCAAAGAGGAGCTGCTCGACGCCGTCCCTCAAAGGCTCCCAAGATGTTTCAGCTTCGCCAATGAACGGCAGCGGACAGTCGCTGCCAAACGGGCTGCGCCGCAGGAGTCGTTTCTGCTGGAGGTGGAGCTGTTGGCCAACAATGGCGATGGCTGTGTGTTGGCTGGGACCCCAGCCCCGTCGGACAGAGCGGTCATGGAAGGCCATCCTGTCGATGGCACGCAAGCCAGCCAGCCAAGCTGTGCCAAGCCAAGCAAGCAAGCAAGCAAGCAAGCAAGCAAGCAAGCAAGCAAGCAAGCAAGCAAGCAAGCAAGCAAGCAAGCAAGCAAGCAAGCAAGCAAGCAAGCAAGCAAGCAAGCAAGCAAGCAAGCAAGCAAGCAAGCAAGCAAGCAAGCAAGCAAGCAAGCAAGCAAGCAAGCAAGCAAGCAAGCAAGCAAGCAAGCAAGCAAGCAAGCATTGGGCTTAGAAAGTCTACATGGCCGTAGCTTGCAGTACTGAAGATGTGAGCTACTGAGGTGGGACAAAGTGTTGCCCACCGTCTCTCCGAAGATTGCTTTTCGTGCCCCCTCCCCCCCCCCCAAACCCTACGTGGTTGACGTCCGCTGGGCTGGGGGGGGTCTCTCCTCTTCTTGTAGCGGGTGTCCCAAACGCCGCAAATGTCGGCCGGTTCTTAGTATTATATTATAGACACATAGTGTTTTGTTTGTTTTTGTTTAATAGTTTGCCCCGGCCCCGGATGCTATCAAGATCAGCATTCCAAGCCCCTGCCACTTGTATGTTGCCGGCCAAGGTTGCACAGCGCACTGACTCTCAGAGTGGCACGCCCGGCTTGGTATTTCCAATTCGGCTTATAGCCTGTGAACGGCCAAGGGCCATCCGACACACTTCCAATGCGGAGAAACCGCATCAAAGTTGGGCAAGCTGAAAAGCCTAGGTCCCCCAGTAGTGCCCTTTTACCCTGTTTTGGGGGAGGGTTCCCCTACTAAAATAGACTACAGAACAAAGGGTACCCTGATTCCAACCTCTCTACTGGAGGACCTAGAAGCCGTTATACCCTTGTCCCCTCTTGTGGGAAGCCAAGAAGAAGGTAGTTTTTTTAAGCACATGTAGCTTGTGGCCAAGGCCAACCACCAAGTACTGCTGCCAAAGCAGCATCCCTCCCAACAAATTGGAACCGCAAGTAAGCAAGGAGTCCTTGGGCCGCAATCAGCTCGGTCTTGGTGTCTGAACCCCTCCTCTTAAAACTTACTTGGGGAAGGTACCCAAGGTGCAATGCGCCGAAGAAACGAAGCCAGCAATCAGGGGGAAGGTCATGCAACCAATGAACTAAGGCGGCCGCGACCTTGCGATCCAAACAACACGCCCGTTACGAGTCAGCAGATGTGCATCGGTGTGCGTCGCTCTTCAGGCCATCTCTTCATTGGAGGAGGGTGGTTTTTGCTCCAACATGGCCAAAGATGATCGCCCTACTTACCCTTTTGCAAAGCAGCATAGTGTCATATTGAGGGTTTATCCACCTGAAGCCCATGTGGAAGGTTCTGTTGTTTGGAGCGGTTTGTCACTTCAGGTTGGCGAATGGAGCCAAGGGAAGAAAGGAAGAGGGACGTTGTCGCCATACCAAGCCATGACTGCTTGGCAGGCCCCGACCCCGTCTACCACCACTCTCTTTGCTTGGATTGGGACGTTGCGCCCTGAGTGTCGGCTGTGGAATGCACGGGTGAAAAGTCACTGAACTGGCTGCTGTATTGTTCACTTCTGAGTACATATATTCACGCCAAACTGCGCATGGGGCATCCAAGCAGATTGTTGCGCAGGGTTTACATGTTGCATGCGGAAGGATGGCCAGGGCAGAAATCCATTTTGAGGTTGGGCTCGAGACAAGCAGTGAACCCCAACACCAAGCTTGCTTAGGATGAGGGCGACATGGCGGTGAACTGCAAGGCTGGTAGGGGTTGAGATCAGCTCACAGAGCCACCTGCACAGCACTCCCTTTTGAAATCAGGGTTGAGGGCAACCCTGAAATTTTCTTGGCCCGCGGGAATTTCCTTGATAGGCAAAGGACACATGTCAAAACTGGGTGTCCTTTCAACTGATGTTAAGTTTCCAACTGCCCTTTGAAGCTGGTGCAACAGCCGGCAGAAGTTTTGACAATATGTTTGTGTATACATATATATATATATACACATACTGCATATAATATGTATACAGGGATATGATCGTTTTTTTTGTTCCCCCGCAATCATAGAGTTGCACAGGCCTTTGGACACTCCATGGTTGAAAACCCCACCTCACTGTCATTTTAGAGGTATTTCCTTGGCTTCGGGGCCAATCCACCATGAGCCACCCGGAGGTGATGCGTACGAGCCTCACCTCCAGCGAGACCTTTGCAGAGCTGCGAGAGAAGTTGCCCCAGGAGGGAACCGCCAACCACGTGTTCACAGCAACCGCGTGGTTTGGAGCCCGGTGGTTTGGTGGTGAATTGGAGGGGTTTCCCATTGACCAACAAGAAGCAGGGATTCAAATCCCCAAACTAATCCAAATTTGGCGGTTAAATGAAATGGGTCAAGGGCTTCATCCAGAATATGGCAATCGTAGGTTTTGAGTTTTGACCTAGCCGACCAGGGCAGACTGTTGAACTCCATGGCCCTTGACCCAAAGGGCTTCATGTTGGAAGCTGGAGGGTTCTGAAGGCTCCCGAAGTGCACTTCCTTGGATCAGTGGCCCTGACTCGATTCCGCCCGTTCACATGGGGCACACCGCTTTCTGCACGTCGAAAGTGCAGCTTTCTGCCACGGAGGGTCAAGCCAACGGGGGGAGGGGTGGGGGGGGGTTAGCGAACCACGAGCTGGGTGAAATGTGAAGGTACGGCGTTTCCTGAACGATCATTTGGACCGGAAGGTTTTCCGAAAGAAACACATGAAACAAGGAACATAAAGCACACCCTCACACGCACTCAAGGGATGCATTATTTTGACTGCTTCTAGAAATCAAAGTCAGACACTGGGGTTGTTTCCCTTTGACCCAGCACTGAACGGGGGTGACTTTGATGGTAGCATGAGCCCAGTTTGGAGGTCGGCGTTCGCCAGGCGGCGCTTGAGCCGGTGGGCAGGTCCGAGCGACTGGAGATGAGGTGCCTGGACGGCACAGGCCGGGCTCCCTGGGAGCTTTGGGATCGAGTTCTGAGCCGACGCCCAAATGGCGGCCTCACTTCCAAGGGTGGTTCAACCACCCAAAACGGGCGTCAATCCAAGCGAGTTGGAAGAAGATACTTTTGGAAAGGCCATCCACTCAGAAAGTGAGTGCCTTGTTTGCCCTTTTTGGAGGGTTCCCTACACAATCAACTGTCGAGAAAAGCATCACTTTTAATTGAATGCTGCCGGCCACTTGCTTCGACTATTGCGTAGTCCACGTTTCAAAAAAATCCACTGGGGATCTCGCAAAAAATGATGAACCACATGCAGAGGTAGAACATGGTCGTGGTTGCCTTAGTTTCCCTTAGGGGGCTACATGTCTACCCCGCTACATTCGCTGGAGCGGCCCTGTTCGCACTTTTCCCATTGTTTGGATCGGCGGATTTGGACCCAGTTTCGCTTGAAAATCATGTGACTTGACGACAAGAAGCCGAAACAAGTGTTGATTGAGATCAACACTGTTGTTTATTCTTTGGATTCGGGTACCTTTTTACAGCTCCTGCGTGTGATTAACTTGGATGTCAATGCCTCTCCGCGGTAGTGGGTCGTGCATTTACATCAGGAGGTTTAATCCTTTCTCCATGTCGACACACATCTCGAAAACTCAAGCCACGGTTTGATTTCCTTCGACAGCTTCTGACAAAGACTAAAGACTGCTCTGTGTGGACTGGCTGGAGGAATGTGGAAGCATATCATCATCACAGTATTGGTTCTTTGTGAGACGAGGGCTTTCATCTGGCCAGACGGCGTAGTTCCTGCAGACCCCCCCCCCTCCCTCAATGCTGTTGTCCTTCTTCACTTTTTGATTGCTGGCTCGCTTGAAGGAGGCTACTGTGTTTTTTCGCCGGCGCTTACGCGCAGAACTCAGCGTTAGACGACAATCTGGTGCACGCGTGCAAAGGTTGCAAAACCGCTGCCAAAGAAGAAAGAATGGAGCCGCCAGCTGGCTCTGGCCCTACGCTGAGCGCCGCAAATTTTGAAATCGACACTCCGTAGGCTACCCAGGAAGGCATCTCGGCTAATTTGGCAAGCGTCTTGCCTGGGTCTGAGCAGACCTGCGGGCAAGGACCCTGAAGGGCAAGAACAGCCGCAGCGCGGCAGCTTTTGCAGACAGCATGACCGTCAAGCGGAGCATCGATTGCTTCCGCGCACTGCCAGCCAAGGAGCCCACGACCGTGCCGGGAAAAGGCGCAAGCAGAGTTGGCCCTCAGCGCAGCAGAGCCCCGAGTTGTCAAGCTCAGGCCTCGGGGTCGCTAGCCGCGGCATCGTAGCGCCAGCCCATGATCACGCAGGCTGTGAGCTTGGGCTCGCAGACTGTCTTGGGCACTGCTTCTGGCGGTGGCAAGAATCGAATGCGCTGCCTCTCGTCCATGGAGCGCACCGCAAACCCCACCTGTTGCCGCAACAGGTCGGCGCAAAATGGCCAGCGCTGCAAGATTGCCGCCCCGACCGTCACACAGCGCCATAGAATTTCAAAAGCGCCTGCGTTCGTCTCTGCAGGCGCCCTCTGTGCGATCAGCAGGCATGTTGGCAAGGAACGCTGCAGCGCGATGTTGTCTGGCGCAAACTCGGAGCCCCCTTGTCGTCCAAACGGTTTGCGTCTGGGCGAGCGTTTCACAAATGAGCTTGTCGTGGCCTCAGCAATTGCCGACAGGACGCTGTGCACCAAAAACTCATAAAGGACACACAAGTGCGTGACACGCGTGCCCTGTTTGACTGGCGCCGTTTGTAAACAGATCTCCGAGAGCGCCTTGAACGCAAGAACTGCTAGCAGGAGTTTGCAATGAAGCTGAGGAACTTGGCAAGAACTTCGCGTAGAAGTAAAGTCATTCTTCAATCTAGCGACATCTTGCGGCGTGCGCGCCGCTTGCCTTTTGCTTGTCTGGGTGTAACGTTGTCTACAGCCCCGAGAAGCATTGCCAGACACCAGCGGCCTCATTTCTGGTAAGAAAGCTTCATCAGGACGTCACTGTCCTGGCCGCGGTCCACTTTCTGCCGGTTGCCAGAGAGAAAACCAATCAAGATTCCAATCGCTTCATTCCAGTTGCATCCCCCAGCGTTCCCAAACGAAAATGACGCGGGTTTCACGCTGCTTTGTATGACGCTGTATCCTCTTTTCTTTCGGGGCCTCCAGGATCCTCTATTGACCCTATTGCGGCGGAGCTTACAATCAAGCTGAGATGGGGGCTTCGCAAGAGGTTCGAACAATAGTTATTAACCCGTCTCGTCTAAACGCTTGTCCCTTGCTCATCTCAGCGCGATGCGCAAATTCGTCAAAAAAGAACAAAAGCAATTCACGCCGGCTCTAGCTCTTATGCGCGCGCCTACACATCTGCCCCTGGGCCACTGGGCAGCAAAAGAGCTAACATGGCACCAGCCACCATGTTTGCGGGCTCTCGGTTAGAGGCTGATGTACAAGAATTAAAACCCCATTTTGTACTACTCTTATTATCTCTTATTACTTCAGCGTTTTTGTTGCCAATCAGCAGTCCAAGCCACGAAAAAAAAGTTGAGTGTCAATGGATTGGTGACCTTGAATGGTGGTCACTAGGTTGCCAGGGGTGGAGAAGAACTATGGGCCGGAATGCGGTGGAAGAGTTGTGCTTGCATTCTAGAGCGACCCGTTAATTTGAGTCTCCACTTTTCCACGCTGACTATGAGTTCAGGCAACCACCTCAAGAGTGGTTGGTGGATGACGTTGGTTGCCAGTTTGATTGAGTGGGGTTGTCTCACAAGACCCAATTCGAGAGGCTACCAGCCTATTCTGAGTGTGAGCCCTGGGTTTGCAAGGCTCGCTTAATCGCTGAATGCACAAGCTGGGGCATCGGTGAGGAAAACGGGGCCCAACAAACTTTATCTGTTGCCTTTTTAACAAGATGTAGAGCCATGAGCAGTTAGCTCCTAATCAATACGAGTGGTCAGCATCATCCCTGTGTCATGAAAGCTGAGACTGGCAACGCGGCAGGCACCAACGCGGAGGTGTCCCTTCACTTTGCCGACGTCATGCCAGAGGCGCCTTTTTCTCGCTGGGAAAGACCAGTTTGGGCACTGCTTCAGGTGAGCCATCATTAGAACCCACACAGGCTTCATCAGTCAGGGTTCACCATGGCGGCGTTGAACATTGCCGCATGTCCTTTGGGTTTCCCCTGGAAACATGTTCAATCTTGCAGGGCTCCCTCAACATTGTTTTTTCTTTTTAAAGTTTTTAGTTTTTTATCGATCCAGAAAACTACAGGGATCCCTCAACTTATTTTTTTCGATCCTGGCAACCCCTGAGCTGCCCAGAGTGCCTTCCGCTTGCCGAGATGTCGTTGAATATCACCATCAGCTCCGCCACCGGCTTGGCGCCCAAGAGCGAGGCCGGCGGCCGGGCATCGAGGGCAAAGGGGTTCCGGGTAGCAAAAGACGTGTCAGTTCGTGCAGAACACGATCACTGCAAGAGAACAGATGGGTGTTGTTTGGCTCATTGTTGTTTGATCTGCTTATTTTATTTTTTTTTATTGTTATTACTATTATTATTGGCATTATCATTATTATTGCGACGATTATTATCATTTGTTTCTTAGCCGATGATGTGTTGGAGCACGTTGGAATCACTCACACGCATCTTGAAAGCAGTCGCTGAAAGTATTTTGTTCAGTGGATTGCACCCTTTTGCCCCTTCTGTTGTTTGTGTTTGGCACCCTCAAGCAAATGGCCGTTACTCCAAAAGGTCCCAGCACGGGTAGCTTGTTTCCATGTTCTTGGCGGGCTCCCCACTCTGGCCAATTCTTTTCCTGCAGGATCACTTCACAACAGTGATATGTTATGTATAGCTAATCTACCGTTGAGGAAGAACGAACGTGCAGGGGATAACCCAAATTCCCACAAACCAATTGCGTAGCTACCCTTTTGGGAAAACTTTGATTTACTCGTTTTGTCACCTTCAACCGCCCCTTAACTATCATTGATTAGGGTTCCCGGTGTCTCAGAAGTGAAGGGTCGGGAATGCCAGGAACCTCCCCCCTTCATTTTAACGTAAACTAGGTGTTGCCCTTGTGTGTTTTTGTGGAGGTCCCCAGCCCGTTTAAAGGGAAGACCGGACAGGCTTGGACCTTCAACCCATTCGTGGAAGCCTGCGCGGGGACCCTCAGTCTGCCAGTCTGCCCGAGCTCAGTCTGTGTGGATTTACACCCCAGACAAACGAAGCAGCCAGGGCCAAACAGTCAAACATCATCTTAGACCTCACACTGGTGCCGTCGAATTCTTGTTGGAATGCTCTGGGAAAATGTAAGGATCAAGGCGCAACTGTGGAGAAGAAAAGAAACAAAGAACAATGCAGGGGAAACGTCACTCGCGCAAAACCTGTACGACCAGCGCCGCTTAACACCAGGCCAAGTCACGCGGGTCCCATGTTAACGCAGTTTCCTGGCTCACAAGTCTGCGCAACAACGAAGACACTTGCCGGCGTCCCTGTAGCTGAAATTTTAACGCCTCCGGCTCAGGCCGCCGACATTACAGGCCTGCTTTCTTATTTGCGTCCCTTTGGAATTGTCCCCTTGCCCCCTTCCCCTCTGAGATTTTTGCCCCCCTTTCTTTGTTGAGATCCATTCCCCCTTTCCGCCCTAAGGCCTTTTCTCCCTCTGATTTTTTCACTTTTCCTCCCTAAGATGTTTTCCCCCCTCTCCCTGTTGAGATCCTTTCCCCCCTTTCCCCCCTAAGGCCTTTTCCCCCCTGAGATCTTCTCCCTTTTCCTCCCTTTCCCCCACTTTCCCCCCTACGGCCTTTTCCTCCTTGGGATCTTTTTCCTTTCCTCCCTGAGATCTTTTCCCCCCTTTCCCTGTTGAGATCCTTTCCCCCCTTTCCCCCCTACTGCCTTTCCCCCCGCTGAGATCTTCTCCCTATTCCTCCTTAAGATCCTTTGCCCCCTTTCCCTGTTGAGATCCTTTCCCCCCGTCCCTTTAAGGCCTTTCCAGATCTTCTCCCTTTTCCTTCCTAAGATTGTTTCCCCCCTTTCCCTGTTGAGATCCTTCCCACCCTTTCCCCCCTCAGGCCTTTCCCCCCCCGAGAGCTTCTCCCTTTTCCTTCCTTCCCTGTTGAGATCCATTCCCCCTTTCCCCCCTAAGGCCCTTTCTCCCTCTGAGTTTTTCCCTTTTCCTCCCTACGATGTTTTCCCCCCTCTCCCTGTTGAGATCCTTTCCCTCCTTTCCCCCCTAAGGCCTTTTTTCCCCCCGCGATCTTCCCCCTTTTCCTTCCTAAGATCTTTTCCCCCCTTTCCTTGTTGAGATCCTTTCCCGCCCTTTCCCCCCTAAGGCGTTTTCCCCCCCAAGATCTTCTCCCTTTTCCTCCCTAAGATCCTTTGCCCCCTTTCCCTGTTGAGGTCCTTTCCCCTCTTTCCCCCCTAAGGCCTTTCCCCCCCTGAGATCTTCTCCCTTGTCCTCCCCAAGATCTTTTCCCTTGGTTGAGATCCTTTCCCCCTTTCCCCCCAAGATCTTCTCCCTTTTCCTTTCCCTGTTGAGCTCCTTTCCCCCTTTCCCCAAGGCCTTTTCAGATCTTCTCCCTTTTCCTCCCGAAGATCCTTTGCCCCCTTTCCCTGTTGAGATCCTTTCCCCCTTTCCCCCCTAAGGCCTTTTCCCTGCCTGGGATCTTCTCCCTTTCCTCACTGAGATCTTTCCCCCCCTTTCCCTGTTGAGATCCTTTCCCTCCTTTCCTTCCTAAGGCCTTTCCCCCCGCTGAGATCTTCTCCCTATTCCTCCTTAAGATCCTTTGCCTCCTTTCCCCGTTGAGATCCTTTCCCTTCTTCCCTTTAAGGCCTTTCCAGATCTTTTCCCTTTTCCTTCCTAAGATTGTTTCCCCCCTTTCCCTGTTGAGATCCTTCCCACCCTTTCCCGCCTAAGGCCTTTCCCCCCTGAGAGCTTCTCCCTTTTCCTTCCTTAGATCTTTCCCCCCTTTCCCTGTTGGCCTTTTTTTCCCCCAGATCTTCTCCCTTTCCTCCCTAAGATCTTTTCCACCCCTTCCTTGTTGAGATAGATCATTTCTCCCCTTTCCCCTCGAAGGCCTTTGTCCCCAGATATTCTCGCTTTCCTCCCTGATCCTTTTCCCCCTTCCCCCCCTAAGGCCTTTCCCCCCCCCCCCCTGAGAGCTTCTCCCTTTTCCTTCCGAAGATCTTTTCCCCCCTTTCCCTGTTAGGCTTTCCCCCCTAAGTCCTTTTCTCCCAGATCGTCTCCCTTTCCTCCCTAAGATCTTCCCCCCCCTTTCCTCCTTAAGATTCCCCAGAGAAGGAGTCTCCTCAGCAAAAGAAACAGCCGAGTTGAGTGTGTAGTCTCGTTTTTGTTTTCGCGTTGCAGGGTAGAATGTCGTTTGGCATAAGTTTTGTATGATCTGCATGTGCATGCGGACCTGCCTGCTTGCTTGGAGAGCCGGAGTGCATTTCGCGCCATGGGGGCACATGTTCTTGCTGCAGGTGAGCAGGGCGTGCTGAGCCTGTCCCCAGCAAGTGAATAGGCGGATCACGTACAAGCAACCTTTCAGCTGTTGAGGTTCACGACATTTGCGTCGGCTAGAGACTAGACATTAAACCAGCATAAGGATCCGCACCTTCACGAACAAGAGTTTGCGGGTTGATCACTCGATGTTTTCTCCTCTTCCTGAAGCCCGCTTGTTTGTGCTGGCCGGGTTCTTGTTGAACTTGGAAGAAAAGAGCCCAAACTGATCAGCCCAAGAAGGGTGTTTCAAGATCTGATCAACCCAAACACAGTTGCCCAGCGGCTCCCTTTTTTGTTTTTTTTGGTAGGGGTCCCCCTAAAAACTCCACCAGGCAAAAAAGGGATGCCTTTTTCTCCCTGGAAATCGACTGGGCCTCTGAGTTTTCAAAAAGGGTTCAACCGCTGGTCACGCCAAAGGATTCACAAGCACCGGCCTTCACAAAGACTTCCCACCCGAGGTCTTCAGCCGAGACCCCCGCCTTGGCAGCTTGGGCCGTGCCGCGCGCGTGGTCTTTGGACAGCCCGGCGCCCCAAGAGACGGAGTGGAGGGTTTCGGCAGATGGAAAAGATCATATTGCTGGGGTACTGGGTTTTTGCTTGTTGCTTGACGGTTCCCTGTCGGTTTTGCAGATTGCAGGGGTCTAGTGGGTTGGCCCATGGGTGGGCATCCATGCAAGGAGGGTTTGAAATGCCTGGCCGCTTCAAAGGAAAGCCCAAACAAAAACTTGCAACAAGTGCGGTTTCGCCGTGTTTGAACAGTTAGGTCAGTGCAAAATGCAAAAAGTGGAAATCGGCTGAGGTTCTCTGGGCATCGTACGGGTATGTGTCAAAATAGGGGTGCAAACACCTTCCTGCTGTTTTTCCCACTAAAATGTGCAACAAACCCAAATGTAACAGTACACCCACATGTGCAAACACCTCCAACAAGTACTCAGACAGCCAACCCCGTACATGTCCCTTCAGCGTTACGCGCCCATCAAGGCGGTGGCAGGTTTAAAAATAGGTTAGCGCAAAAGCCACCAGTGAGCAGACCCCGCCTTACGCATCCAAGGTGGAGATCATTGACATAACAGTGTAGGTCTTCTATGTATCGTGTTTGACATATAAGTATACAACATATGTACAGTTATATACGTATATATATATATACACATGATAGGAATAATACATATTTGCACACATCAAAGAGCCCTGAGGCCCTTGTGTTTGATCTTTCTCAACGGTTCAGCAACGACGTGTCCTTCAGCTCACAGCTGAACATCCGGGACCCCTTCGAACATCTTGTTCAAAACAACTGAGAGGGGCCAGCAACCTGAGGACGGAAATCCTGAGCAACTGCCACTCGGACCCTCACTGGGAGCAGCCTATTGTGCTGAAGATCGTTCCTGAGTCGGAGTCTCGGGTGGGGGCAAGTGGAGCGAGAGTTGGCTGTGGGTCAAGAATAGGCACCCAAGATGGAACCTTGGTAAGTGGAAATATGGACCAAACCTGCGGTCCCCTAGTGGTTTAATTTTGACCCACACCCATTTGGAGAAGCTCGCTACAGATGTTCTACAGAGCCCTCTTCATTGGCACGGGCGGTGAGCAAGCGTGCAATGGGTGGCCAATTGGCTGTGGGTTCAAAAATGGGTACCAAAAAGGTTCGGACTGAAGCCTGGTTTCAGTTTGACCCATGCCAGTTTGTTACCCTTGCTTGGACTAAGGGAAGCTGGGCGTCAGTTTCGAGCACAGGCCGGGCCTCTTCCTGCGGCTCTCTGCTTGCTCCGAAGCGGCCCTGGGGGTGACAAGGCACGGAGCGGCTGCCTGCCACTTGCGTCTCCTTTGGGCGAAAATCGACAAATTTTCAAGAAGGGAAGCTGATAAGATGCTTGTTGCAGGCAAAGGCCTTCCGGAACTTCTACTTGGCTGGCCGAATTTCAGTTGTGGACCTCTGGCAACTCATACACGGGTTAGTTTATGTGCGTTCTTGGATTAGTTCTTCAGCTTGGTGGATTCGTGCACTTGCATTCGATGGAAGTCATCCTGCGGAGCCCAGGGCATGGGACGAGCTCGCGGAGGTGGTGATGGAAATGCCGGAGGCGGCCCCGGCCAGCGTTTTAGGACGTCTAGGTCGCCCAGTATTGCCCTTTTACCGTTTCTTTTTTGGGGGAGATTCGGTTCCCCTACTAAAATCGACTACAGAAGGAAGTTGGTACCCTTATTCTAACCTCTCAACTGGAGGACCTAGACGTGGTTCGAGTCGTCTGCAGTTGGGACATGCGGCCTTTGGATTGCGGACCAAGAGGAATCCGAGTCCTCGCACTCTCAAAGTGGAACCATGGTCCAGATACATCCGAAGCTGACATTTTGTGTTTGCCAGTTGCCCATCGGCGCCCCTGGTTCCCATTTGTCGGTTGGTCTCTTCAAAGTATTTGCAGCTGGAATAGGCGTCCGGCTTTGCCCTTGGCCACCAGATCAAAGAATGTTTGATGGTTTGCTCCAGCGTTGATCCAGCCCCCCAAAATGAAGACATGGGTGTCGAAAGCAGATGCCCCTGCCAACCGGTGCTGTGGGAGTTTGGAGTTTCTGCCAGAGATATTCTGAGAACTGACGCAGGGAGATATGTTGCACCAGCCTGGAAGCATTGGCACGAATGCTGCCTCAAGCAAAAGTTCATGGATGCGGTTGCCTGGACCCTGAATGTAAGCTGCGCGTGACACCTCGCAGGCAGTTTCTGTTGCTCCCTTGTTGTTCATGTGGTGAAGTCTAGCGTTCCCACGCGACGGGCGATAGTTCGACTGCACCAAAGCGAGCCAGAGGTCATGAAGCTTGCTCAAGGCTCCGTGGAGCCAGCAGCCCAGAGAAGCACAACTAGGTCCCCCAGCTAGGTGCCCTTTTACCGTTTCTTTTTTGGGGGAGGGTTCCCCTACTTAAATAGACTGCAGGAAAGAAGGGTACCCTTATTCTAACCTCTCTACTGGAGGAGCTAGGCAAGGGTGATGTTGTTGCTTGCTGTTTGCTCGGTGGTTGAAAACAAGCGTGTCCTGGATGGCTCTGAAGAGATAGACACATGCTCTAGGGCTGGTTGGATGTCCATGTCACTTGTAGGCCAAAGTCAGGCTACAGTTTCAGCATTCAGGATAGTTTCCCGCTGATGTCATAGTGGATTCTTGTTTGGTGTTCGACTTACACTCGCATCACCTTCTAGTCACCCCGAATGACTGGTTTCATTTGGGAGGAGTGATGCTTGAAGGGATATAAGACAATCTTGGCCTCATTGAGCAATTGGTGAGACAGTCTTGAACTCGCTTGGCCTCAGGCAGAGCCTGGATGAGTTTTGTTATTTTGTTCTATGTTGGGTGTCACGCGAGTTGGTCCATTTGTGAATGGCGACCTGTCATTTGGAACGGTTTCAAAACATCCTGATCCCCGGCCGTGTTGAGCAAGTCCACCGCAGTCTTTGGCATAAATTTTAAGGCGCTTATCTCGGTGGCTACCTGCACAGTTTGTAGAGAGAAAGCACACAGCACGCAAGGTCTCAAACAGTTGATGGCGAAAGAATCCAGCAAGGCCACTGAGGTACGGTATTTGATCGTCTTGGCCAAGCGGGAGTCTTGTTGCGTGTGATGCAAGCTACAATACACGGGTTCGGAACCGCACAGCGTTCTGCCTTTGTTCCACTCAGATCTATTTGCAACTCGCCCTTGAGTACCGATTCTGGATGACCGAATATTTGTTTGCATTTGAGTGCAGGTCCAATCACAGGCAGGCTCGCGCATTTTTTAGGTCCCGCTTGTGAAACGCAATGTGAGCGAGGCCAGCGGGACATGAGTAAGTATAGGAGGCTCCGACCCTTTTTTTCAATGCCGAAGATTCCATCGATAGCCGGCTGCCAAGTCACCTAGGCGCAAGTACACCATGAAGAGGCGCGAGGAATGGCGGTGCTCCAACGAGTGCCAGCCACAGGGGGCCAACGCCCAGCCTGGTGGGCTGTTTGCTAAACAATATGGCAGGCTGTTCAACTGTTCTTCGGCTAAGATAGAAAGCTTGCAGTGGCTTCAGGGGCTGGCTGCTTGTATGACTTCAGATGAACATGGCAGGGGTGGGCAAGTTTTGAACGGTCTTCATTGCCTCACTTTCCCAGTTTGCGCACTTCCCATTAGGTGGGGGGGGACTGGAACCCGGCGCGCTTTGTGCCATCACTGCCATCACAGAAAAGCCCAAAGCTCATGTTTTTTTTTTTTTTGTGTGTGTGTGTGTGTTTCGGAGTTGTGACACATTTACCTGCCGGGAGAGGTTCCTTGAGAGTCTCTCAGAGTCTTACGCATTTTACATCCCATGTCCCTCCCGAACACAGGTTTTGGCCAGCACTCATATGAAGCCCGCGTGCAACTTCCCCGCCCTAGTGCCGAGCTAGCGCCAAGCTAGGTTCAAGCTACCGCGCTGCCGCTAAGATTGTGCACGAATTAGGTTCCTTTTCCTCATCCACAAAAGGAGAGCACAAGACCTGGCTCCTGAGTCGGGTTTTTTTCGATCGGCAGCCATACCCATCTGGCTGTGGGTCAAGACCATTGGTACCATTTTGGGGTAGGTGAATTCACCACCCATTTTAGAACCAATTTTAGTGGTTGGATTGGGATGTTCGCTGGGGGTACGATTTGGATTTTGACCCATGGCCATTTGACGGGGCGTTGTTTGGGCATTGCCAGGCTCTTCGAGATGAAGCGCCACGGGGACTCCGAGCTTTTCATGAGCTTTGCTCAGGCATGCGGATCCGGGGAAAAGTCCCAACCAGCCCTCCTGAAGCACCCGAGCCCCGTCTTTGGCCCAACTGGAACGATTTTGGCGCCTCAATTTTGTTCCTCAAAACCTGTATTTAGATGTGCTTGCTGCTTTTGAACAGTACTTCGTAGTACTTAGTACCCTTTGGGCCAATTCACAGTGAGCGTCTTTTGGATTTTGGGTACGTTGTCTTATCAGGTACAACGACATTATGCGTGCGCGCAGTCTTGAGCTAATGCCGTTGAACGGTAGTATAGGTGCCGCACATAGTATGTTGCTGGACACATGTTTACAGCTCACTCACAGCGCAACATGTCACTCGCCGCACAGGTAGGCGGCAATGTCGCTGCCGTGTCCTCAGCCCCTTTTTGCTGGTGTTCGCATTGCAACTTGTCCAACAATCAGAGTTTTGCCATTGAGACCTCTGGTCAGAGGTTTCAGGGAGGTTGTTCTGGAAAGCTAACCCGAGCCAAGACAAAAACACAGAAATCGAAGTGGCAACGGCCCTGGTCCGTGTAAATTGTGGCGGGCTCCCTTGATAATTTCCGGGTTTAGATCTGTGAGTCGTTGTGGCATCATGTTTTCCAGCAGGGAGATCAGGCCAACTTGTTCTCAGGCCGAATGGACAGCAACTTGATATTATGTCCCGGTGACATGTCGCGCTTTTCCAACCCGAACCGTAATTTGCACCTCGGTGTTGTCTGTTGGTTGACGGGGCCCTTGAATCTGGGCCGGAAGCCAAGAACATGGAAGATCGTATTGACAATCAAGGGCAGTGCACGCGGAACCATTGTGACCACGCTTGCAATCAGACATTCTCCCACTCTGAGGGGCGTCCAATGATTGGGGGTCCTATGCCAGAGAAAAGCCTCGGATAACCCCTTAAAATGGGCGTTCGAACTGTATGACCTCGAGTGCCAATTCATGTGGGATCATTCGGATATGCATCAACAGATCCTGAGATTGGACTGCACTTCGGGTAGTTGTTGGCCGGCGAGGAAAAGGAGCTCGTCGCGTGTCGAGTAGACACATCCAGCAACCGAAAGGAAACCACCATAAGTCAACGGAAAATAAAGGGAAACGAACGACGAAGAGAGACCTTCAAACGAAATGGCAAACAAAAATCAACTAACAGGGAATTGCGCACAAACCCAAAGTGACCAAACCGAGACCAAACGACTGCAAAAGCAACCAAAGGGAATTGAAATCCGTCACATACATATGCAACTATGAATGAAACCAACTCCCCTCTCAAAAAAGCTAAAGGGAAGCGAACAGACTTCAAGAGCAGACCAAACCAAGACCAGTCTCCATTTGCTTGAGAATATTTGTTGTATTTTCCCTGGTTGGTTTTAATGACTACCAGCTTTTTTCTTTTTATTAATGTTTTCCTGGGGCCTTAATCAAATGGATGCCAGTCTACCAGCTGTTGGCGGCTTTGGTTCGCCCGAGGCCGCTGCCTTCGAGCGCACCGCTGCCGCTCACGCGACCCGCACGCGAGATGGAGGAGTCGCCTCTCCGCGGGCCGGGCGGCCGGTGCAGGCGCGGGACGGCTGAGACGGGCAGCTGGAGCCTGGGGTTCAGTTGCCACCAGTAAAACTATGGTTGGGTTCATAAAGCCATTGCTTACCGTTCAGGATTGTCATCCACATGGGGTCCTTGCCTGTCCTAAAATGGGGGCAAGGAACCCAAATGGCTCACACAAGAGCACTGGTACAAATGGACCTTGGAGGGTGCTGATCTAAAATCGTCGGTTTCCTTTTGATGGTTTGCGAAGCAACTTGTGTCGCAGCTTGCTTATCGTGGGCAGCCCCTTGTCGCGGAAGCACGGAGGCACTTGTTCAAGTCAGGGCTTGGCAGAGGGAACCAAAATTGACGACGTGACAGCAAACGAAGCCTGAGCAAGTAGTTTCCGTTTGGATTCCACTTTTTTAAGCATCCTCCAACACAACAGAGGCCCCTTTTTTGGACCTGACCAACTGGAAACTAAGGGGACTTTTCGCGAAGTGATTCACTAACTGTGGTTTTGAACATGGAGCCGGCAGGTTCAGAAATGAAACCTGAAGTATACAGTACCCAAAGGAAACTGTGGGCTAATTTGAGGCATACGCAAGTCATTGCACAGCAATACTCCAAGGACTCCCACCAGCAGAGACCCCAGATGTTTGTGTTGCAAGGAAGTTTCTCTGGCTTAAAAACACCACATGTAAGCTAGAAAGCCGTACCCGCCAGGGGGAGCTTATGGCGAGTGGGAGTCCCACATCAAAGCACACGCTGGGACCTCAATGCAGACTTCACTCACACCCTGTTCTCCTTCCGCATTTGAGTGTCCCCCAGGTTTTGGAGTGTGTGTATTGCTCTGTTTGCTTTCCCTCTCGGCCAAAAGCGAAGGGTTTGAACTTCGGTCGGATGCGTTCGGCCGATGGCAACTTCAGACTCCCTGCCCAGGTCCCCCAGGTGCCAACTTTTATTGATTCTTGTTTGGGGGAGATTCGGTTCCCCTACTAAAATAGACTACAGAAAGAAGTTGCAACCCTTATTCTAACCTCTCTGGAGGACCTAGTTTTGTTCTTCTTCAAGTGGATGAACCAAACTGGAGTATTTCTCTGTTTCAAGGGATTGATTTTGCCAAACCCAACCAAGCTGGAGAAGAAAAAAAAGAAGAACAACAACGGGTACCAACTTCTTCTAAGCTCTCTACTGGAGGACCTAGTTCCTGGTTCCTTCTTTCTGAGGAGGAGTTCCCATCGACCCAAAGTTGTGTACGTCCGGGCGAGCGATTCACGTGCACTCGGCCTGCCAGATCAAATGGGGCAGGGAACTCCATGTGCGCGTTGTCATTCTTGGGGAGGGCGTTCCCAGGGTCCCCAAAACGGCAATGCTTGTTGACAAGATATGCGCAGACTCTTCGAGACTTGGAAGTCATTACATTCTTGTGGGATGGTATCGCCCGAGCTGAGAGCTATTCATAGATTCCTTTGTTCCATTCCTGGGAAGGGTATTCCTTCTTGAGAGGGTTCCTGTGACATCTCGTTTGCGGATTCCCCTGAACAACCAAGTAATAATCTAGTTGCAGGTTTTTTGAATATATGACTATTGCCTGCATCTACGACTGTCGCCTGCAGCGGGACAAACACCTAGCTGTTTTGCAGAGACGCCTGTGTGTATCGTTTCCATCGATTCCACGCCTCATGCCTTCGTCTGGAATTTCAAAACGGACTTTTGTTTGGGTTTGTCTCTGCTCACATCGTTTGATTGTGAACTTAGAGTTTAGAAGCAACTGGCTGCCATCCAGAAGAGGCAACATGCAGGGGGAAAAAAGAAGAAGAAGGAGAAAACACGGAGCAGTCAGCAAACGCTGCCATTCAGGCAAATGTCAGCTACAAGTTGAAGAGCGGGCATGACACGTGCATCTTCAAAGCGTAATAACAAGGGCGATCAAGATCTTATGGAAACGATACTCTGAGAGCGGGGCGGGGGTTAAACGCGAAGCACTAATTACAGGCACTTGCGGGTTACCCTCCCAGCCACATAGAATCTGCCTGTCCCTTTACAAACAGCATTTCGCGGGGCGGAGAAGTCCTGTCGGCTTTGGGAGAATACTCGCCATGACCGGACCGAGGGCGGTGCAACTTCCCATCGCTGGTGGTTATGCGCTTCCTCCGCAGCCTTCCATCCAAGGCACGGAACTGGGAAAAGCACTGTGAATCCACACGAAGGGGTCGCTCGAGATGCGAAATCGGCGAGCCCTGCAAATGGCTGCTTTCTTTTGCGTCCCTTCGGACTCTGCTTGGCCAGCAATAGGGAACTCCGATTCGAAAGACCCAGATATAATATATATATATGTCCTTGCGCATCGCTTAGGATTTCAGGGAGGATGCCCAATGACAACCCTGCAACAGTAGCAGCAGCATCAAAGCCGTGATTGTAAATATTCAGAAGCTTCCAGGCAGCTGGTAGGCAGTTCTGTTTCTTGTCCAACACCGATTGCCGTTTCTTGAGTATCACAGCCTGTCCAAAAGACTTGCTTGCGAGCAACGTCCCCCGCGAAATGAACGCACTGCATATGACCGTCAGCTGCATGCAACTCAGACCGGAGAAAACATCAGGCGTTGTGAGTTGACTGGCAGGACATCGCCATGTGCTGACATGTTCTTTTTCGGTGCAAAGCTATGCTGCATCACTGCCCGGGCTTCTCACACAGCGCCTGGGTCAAAGTTCAACGAGTTTCTCGTACTAGTTGGGTCACTATGTTGACTGTTTCTAGGGAACATCAAAGTCAGAAGCTGGGATGGTTTCCCTTTCACCTGCTGCTTAAGGAATGAGACATGTTGCCAGATGGAAGGGCAAAGAACGCTAGCGCAAGAGGACTCGAACTGAGGGATCAAGAGCCCAACGCGTCCAGCGTCGGTGGGCGGGTTGCGGGGTGTTGGGGTCTTCTGGAGCATCAAGGTCGCACTCTTACGAAGGGCGTTGGCTCAATAAGCGAGCTCGCAAGATTGAGGACCCTTCAAGTTGGCTTCCCGTTGGTGTCCGCTTGAAGCATCCAGAAAGGACCCGCTTATGTGAATCCTTGATGGGGTTTTTACAGTTGAGCGCCGGCAGCACAATACGTCTCAGGGTTGCAGCCCTTGGCGCAAGTGCTCACAGTGCACGGCCAGGCACGCAGTTTGCCGCCATTTTTTTTTTTTTTTTAAGTTGGAACCCCCTCAGTGGTTGGTGGACATGATGTCCGCCAAAGGGTCTCAAACAAGAGTGATACCGATACAGACTTGATTATGGGTTTGTCGTTTGTTGAATCTGATTTGAAGGGAAAACACATAGGCGCATTTTATTCTCCAAATGTGCCATTCGGAAATATGGTCCTGTAGATTGTGTGTCTCCCTCACAGTGCTTAAAGGCTCATTCATGATCGCAATGATTGCATTGCGTGTATCCCGTGTCCGGGCAAAAATAAATTCGACCCCTCAGATACAGGGGCTTGAAGAGCCCGGGGTCCTGATTTTGATTTTGCATCACCTTCGGGGTTGGTTGATGCGGTGATGCATGGATGGGGACGTATACGGAACCGGGATAGAGTCGGGATGCAGCTTATGTTGTATTTTGCAGGGCTAAAGGAAAGCATCAGCATGCGTGTTCGCTTTTGCAGGACCGGCCAATCGAGACTGGGGGGTGAATACAACCCCTTTTTGAGCGTGCATGTTTCACAAGCGACATTTACCCAGGCCAGATGATGCTTTCTTTTGTGCATGTGGCGTAATCAAATAGCCAGGACAAGGTAGTTGAGCATTGCTGGGTGCTTAGCTCGGAATTTGAACGAGACACCACGAGGTGTTGGATCATTTTGCCCCCAATTCAGCCCTCAGCTTGGGTCTGGCAATGTTTGGTTCGGAGTTTCCTGGGGGAGGCTTGGGTCAAAAGGCCAAGAGACTCCAAGTGACCGGATATGTATGGGCTCCCGCCTTAAAAATACCTGTCTTAGGGGTTTGTTTAACGAGAAACCAGCAGAAAAAGCCGACCTTTATTTTTCGTGGCGGAGACACTCCCACCGCGGAGACGTTACAATGCCCCATTAAAATCGGTTCAGCCATCAGCATTGGCATAATCCAACATGGTTGGCCCTGGCCACCGGCCAAGATGTCGAGGAACGATGGTGATTTTTTCTCCGTTGCTCCCCATTGTGCTTTAGCAATGACCAACCAAGATATGCTGAATCGAAACGGTTGGAGATACTTTCCATACTTTCTATAGGTACGCATCTACTTTCGTGGACTAAGAGGATATGAGCAGCAGACATATGTTCTGTCATCTGCGGTAGTAAAGGGGATGACACGGGGTACACTCACCACAATTCCAATACAACATTTGGGTTACTCGCCAAATTCCCATGTTACTTAGGGGCGGAACGAGTAGATTTGTTTTTTTTTGGGGGGCATTTTTTCAAAATAGGACCTCTGGCACTGCGGTTGGCCCTCGGATTCTCCCTTTAACCCAACCAAAAAAGGTGCTCTCACAAAAACAGCAGCTGAGCTATTGATCGTGCCTGTTGCTCTAGATCCCCCAGTAGTGCCCTTTTACCGAATCTTTGTTGGGGGAAGGTTCCCCTGCTAAAAAAGACTACAGAAAAAAGGTATATACCCTTATTCAGGGCTCCTTAAAAGACACATTTTGATTGGAAACATGTTGCTTTTTCCGCCACAATAAAGGGAAACCACCATTTACAAGGCAATGAGGTGTATTCACTGTAAGGATCCTTGTTATTCTAACCTCAAACTACTGAAGGACCTAGTGCTCGTTCCAGGAGGTGCCCGATGTCATCGCGCAGCTGTACGGCCCACCGCAGCAGCCGAGGCCAACGCCTCGAAGTTACCGACGAAAACGCGGGGTTTCTGGGGGGGAGGTGGGCCTATGATATGTCTGGGTGAACTATAACGAATTCACCCCAAATGGTTTATCTTTTGGGAAGATCCCCTCAACCACCACCTTATGGGTATGGGTATGGGTATCATGTGGGTATGGGTCAAAATCAAACCACCAGGAATCAGACCGCAGGTTTTGGTCCATGTTTCCATTTACCAAGGTTCCATTTTGGGTATCTATTTGGACCCACAGCCATATGTTTGCAGACGAGGTGTGAAGCAGAATTTGAACATGCGTTTGTTTGGTTGCACCTCTTTTTGTGTGGGCCAAGGTGCCTCAACATGGTGGACCCTTTGGTGTGAAGCCCCTTTAGCAGTTGGTGTCTAAAAGTGATCCCAATAAGGAGCACGCCATTACGCCATCCTCCCATTGTGAGAATCGCCCAGTGGTACAATGGCAGGCTGACCTGAAAATGAGCTCGCCATGATGACGGTTCCTCTGGGGATGAACATGAGCTCACCCATGATGTAGTTCCTTTGCAGATGAACATGAGCTCTGCCCTGACGTATATAATAGTTCCTCTGGGTTGCCTGATTTCAGGTTTGCGGGTTCTTGGTTGACTTTTCGTTTGGCGAAGCTGCGTTGGGTTCTCTCCGAAGGTACCTGCAATCCGCCGGCTGGCCGGCTCCTCCTCCTCCTCCGGCGAGCGCGAAGCCGAGCCCCCTGCCGCCAGAGGACGGGGCAGAGGTTGGAGTTCGGCCGCGCAGGACATGGATATGAAGCTACAATTTATTGGTTGGAAGTCCGTTATAGGTATACCCTGCGGTTCAAACCACCATTAAAACAGTGGGGGTTCATAGAATAACATTGTGTACCTAAGGATTGTCATCATCCAAATCGGGTCAAACTTTCTTTTAACGGGGGTTGAACCCAAGGGTATAAGTGGTTGATGGACAGGACATGGAACTGATGTTCACCAAGTCATCAAAGACCCATCGCGACCTCCCCAAGAGAATTGGTTTGCCACTTTAGCCAAGTGGCCAATTCTCATGATTCACCCTGATTGAAAGTTACGATTGTATAAGGGTTTTGACCAAGAATTTGGTTGCATTTGAAACTTGCTTGGATGTCGTTTTCAGGGTACGTGGCTAAGGGGTTCGTCGATCCCCACCTAGAAACAACAAGCTTTGGAATGCCTTGGCTTGGAGTCGCGCAACTTTGCCTCCGTTAGACTCATTGCAGTACAGCAAGTGTTGCTATTCCATCCATCAAGCATGGTCCCTCAGAAATGGAACGTCTCGGCACACAAGGAATCCATTGCAAAGGCAAGATAGTGGCAGGCATCCGAACTGTGGTTTGAAACATGCATAGCTGCGCAGGTGCTTGGCTTACCCGGCTTACCCGTGAGCTATCGTTATAGTGGTCGCGGAATAGCCATGACCGGAGGCTTAGTTTCCGTGATCACTGTTCAATGATTCCACACGTTTAGGCTTCACTGAATATGGCCAGGATCGCACCAACACGCTTCAGTGAACATGTGATATACTTCGCCGACTTCGCCCAGTCTAAAGTCGTCATGTTACCAGCTTGCATTGAACCTCACGGGGTGCAAAGGCATGCTATGGCCATGGATCAAAATCCCGTACCCCCAGTGACCATCTCAATCCCCACTAAAATAGACTAAAATGGGTGGTGCACCTACCCCAAAATGGTACCATTGGTTTTGACCCACAGCCATATAAGATGGTCCAAGAGCCCAATGTTTTTGCGCTTGTCGAAAGCTGTCGGATTGCGCGCCACGGCTTCGTCACGCGTCAGGAGCTCTCACTGGCGCTATCCGCAGGGGCTAAAGCAGGGGCGCAGGTGAAGGGTAACGTGCCGGGGAGCCAAAGGAACGCCCGCTTTGGGTGTTGCCAGCTAGTCAACATGGAAGGGTCGCTGCGCAAGCGAGATTCCTGAGAATAAAGGAAAGTTGTTAAGTTCCAGGTTGATCTGGGAGGGGCCAATTTGGGTCCGTTTGTTTGATAGTTCAGTACCCCTCTGAAAGGCCGGTGTAAAGGAAGCTCACCGAAGAAGTAACCCTTTTGAGGTTCCCCCAGTGAAGACAAGCCCATGACTTTCTCACCTTCCAAACTTGTTGTGTGTTCCAACCAATCCGGGCTTGACGTCTTCTCTTGGTTGTGTCTATGTTTAACTCCAGTGCACATCCTTCACACAAATAGTTTGTTCGGATCGAACCACCGGAACATTGTTTCACGATCAACTATGCCAAGGTGTGTGGACCTTCTTGCAATTCGCCTCTTGGGTTCCATTCTTGTCGAATCGCTCGCCAACATGTCTTGCAAGGGGTCTAAGTCTACTCAGTTTCTTGAAAGTGGAAGACATACCGATGACAAGAGTTTCACTCCGCTTTGCCAGTGTGTTCCGCTCATTTGTGCTGGTCATTGACTTCTTTCTATTGTTGGGCGTGAACCTTTGGTTGTCATAAGGCCACATCGTGCCACGCCGACGCATTTTGCTTGACACCGCCAGGACTTATCGGTACGGAGTTGGTTTGGAGGGTTCCTCGAAGCGGAGTTGCAAATTTGCAAGGCGAGCAGCCTTCAACATGTCTCAGATATGTCTCCATAGACGGTGATGGTAACATGTTTGTTTTCAAAGTAGGGAGTCTTTGTCAAAGCCATCTAATTGGTTGATCGTTTGCCCAGGTTGCTCATCAATGAATGCGTAATCCTCATGGTGGCCTCCCTTATTGTAGTTCCAAAGGTTGGGTTGCAGGAAATTGTGCAGGAACGCAGCTCCTTTCGACCAGGTCCTGTAGATTTCGCTGTAGCCAACCCTTTGAGTAGTGGGAGTGCGGATTCGGAACATCGGGAATCCCCTGAGGCCAATGAGCTTCTTCAGCTTGCCGGGGAATCCGCACCTGGCTGCAGCCTTATGGGATTTTGGGGCTTGGTTCCATCTGCTGAAAATGAATATGTCTCGTTTTCCCCTGTTGGTTTTAAAGGGACTCGATTTCACGACTGGAAACATCTTCACATTTTCTGGGGCGAAAAAGCAAATGGAAGGCTTGGTCCCTTTTGTTTTAGCGGACCCAAGTTTGGTTCAAGAAGAAACCAACAGGAATCCACCTATCTCGGCGCCGACTTGCCCTTTGTCACAAACTCGGCGATTCGGACTCTGGTCGCCCCGACCGTTTCGAGTCGTTCATTCCCACATGAGGTCCCTCTTGTTGTTGGGACAAGCCTTTGACCAGCCAATTCTTGCTGTTGCCCTCAAGCCCGCACGTCTCATCGCCCAGAGATTTGAGGCCTGGAAACCATACTGGCGGAAGGTCTTTGCCATGCCCTTGCCATCGCTTGCTGGATGTCAGGATTCTTCCATGTTTGGTGGGTTGTAGCAGACCTCATTTGAGCATCCAAGCGGCCGTATGAGAGAGCAAGACGCCTTGCGTTGTTTGGTTGAGATCAAACGGAGATCAGCTCAAACCGCTTTCGCAGGTAAGAGGGTGTTCATAGCAACTGTTGATTTCTACCAACCCAGTACGGCGCTCCGTTTGAGCAACAAGCGTGCGTTTGTCATAGGGTCCACCATGTGCATTTGCCCCTTGAACCCTTTAAACCGACTGTCAAACAAAGCAACATTGACCACTTGTGCGCCATGAGTAAGATAGCCCAGCCTCAAGGCCTTCAGAGAAGCGACTTGGATCTGATATTTGCAGAGAGTAGCCGGGCGAGCGCTGCGACACCGACATAGAGCGTGAACCATCAATCGCACATTCGTGAGGTGAAGCGCCTTGCCAGAAGGTCCTTTCTGCCAGCAATGGGAAGCGTGGACCAACAGTTGAAATTCACACCTCTTGAAAACACGCCGCAGCCGGGCTGACCTTGCGCGAATTTCGCATTATGGTTCAATGTTTTGTGCACTGCAAAGTGTGTGGGCCAGCACAAGCGATAATTTGTGCCAGTACTCACTGTGCGCCTATGTTCAAATTTGATACTGAACTGAGGACGATGTTTGATGGATTGCGTTCCGTTGTTCTCTGTTGTTGTTTTCTAGTTGGTCCCCCTGTCTATTTCAGTAAGGCACCCAAGATGCTCATAGTCATGGAGCAGGTTGAGCAACCTGAGGCTCGGCATGACTTGCCGAAGTTGAAGCTTTCGAAGTGATGACGGCCGCCGCTTAATCTCGGCTCAAGCGCTTTTTGGGCTGTTGCCAGCGCTGAGGGTCATTCTGCGGCTTCCAGTTACACACAAGTGTCCGACCTTCGACTCATGCTGGCAATTAAGGTGCTTGACACGCGCAGCGGGGAGGTTTCCGTGGCTGAGTCCAAGAAGTACATCCTGCAAGTCATCTCTGAGGAGCCTGGTTGTGGACAATAGGGTTTCAGCGCATTTGTTCGTGAAACCAAGGAAACCCCCTGTAAAGTGATTAAGTACGGATGGGGACTATCCATTTGAGCAGGGACCAAAACCTGCGTGTGCATGTGTAGTAAGGGTCGCGCCATAGCTGCGCGTAAGCAACAAAAACTCCACGCGCGTAACCGGCGCAAGCCGGTGGCGTAAGCAAAAAAGCTCCAAGTGTATCGTGCAAGCCAAAACTCCACGAGAGAAGGTGGGGTAAGTTGGTGGCGAAAGCAAAATGATACGACACAGCAAATCATGACAACTTTAAGAAGTGGTTTATGTGGATATTATGTTGATATCACGGAAGGGTTATTCCCCACAACCATGCTGAGGAGAGCTTCCAGAGCACACCTTCCCACTCCAAGATGGAGCGACTGATCTCGTATTTGCGCAAGAAGCGGCGGCGAGCGAAGGCGAAGTTGTCGACCTTCCTCCAAGACCAGGGCTTCAAGCGCCACGTGAACTCGCGGAGGCGAAGGTGGATGAGCTACACTTATCCTCTCCACGTGGCTGTGGCGCAGCACCTCCGCTGAATAAGGCGACAGGCGTTGTGAGGCTACAGGGAGACCACTGGGTGTGTTTCGTTTTGGAACGCTTCGCGTGGGTTGTGGGCAAAGGAAGCGCGCAACATATGATGGACCTTATTTTGAGACGGGGTTTAGGTTGCTGTGGAATATACTTGTTGTAATCTACCCTGCACGATGTGCAAAGAAGGATAGCATGGCAATATGCCACTGACTGCAACCTACTAAATATGGCAATTGAGAAGGGGCTCACAAACAAGCATAAATATAAACATAAGTGTTGACTTGGCGCGTCTTACATCATATAGTCGAAGGCGAAGGGCGCGAACACAAATCATTCACGGTGTGGTCTTGGGGGGCACTGTAATACATTCCAAGCCCCTGCCAGTGAACCGCATTTTGCACTGCCGGTTCCTCAAACCAACTTTCCAAACGTCTCCCGTTCCACAATGGGAGCCTGAGCAAACCCGGACCTGTGAAAGACGTAAACGGTACCGTTCAACACGGCATCAATTCTGCCAATATTTGCATGTGTCAAAACGGCAGCCAAATTGGGACCCCAAAAATGGGTAGTTTCCTGGTTGACTTCCAACCAAGCCTGAAAAGGGTGCCCTCAACAAAATACACACACACACACACACACACACGCAATCGAGCAGGCTTGGCAGGTTGTTGATTTGTGCAAATGAGTCCCGGCAGGGGCTGTCCAAAGTTTGGCTTTTGGGATGATCCCCCGATTTTTGAATGCAAACTGAAACCACAAAAGGACTCGGTTTCGCCATTTTGAAAATGCACAAGGAACCATGAAGCCTATCTTACATTGCGTACTCTCAACCCCCTCGTTTTTTGTGGGGAATCGGTTCAGGAACAACGCGGAGATTGCTTCACTGCTTCTGGATTGCGGCGCCGACCCGGACGCCCGGGACAGTTGGGGCCGCACCCCGCGCCAGCTCGCCGAACGCGCCTCCCCGGAGGTGAGGCGTAGCTTTGCAGCGCACCGTCAGCGCCGCAAAGTGCTCTTTGGGCTTTGAGAGCCCAACTCAGGGCTGTTCCCCCCATGTTTTGTTCTTCTTCAAGTGGATGAACCAAACTGGAAATAGTTCTCTGTTACAATGGATTTATTTTGCCAAACCCAACCAATCTGGAAGCTGATCTTGAACCAGAATTCAAGCTGTTTCAAGGGATTTTCTTTTTGCCAAAGCCTTAGAGAACCGCCCTGAAGTGCAGAGGCCTTTGCAGAGCGAGCCTGAGGGCTTGCCGCTCTTTTTGTAATTCGTGCATGCTTACACGTCGCGCATGTTGCGAGTGGTGTGTTGAGGTCCCGGAAGTGCTGATCTTAAGTCTAAATGTTCTATTGAAGCAGGTTTCGCGAAAGCTCCATGATGGACTTCGCGAAAGATGTTGTTCTGACTTAAGAGACGGCTGATTCTGGGGCAAGGAATTTTGGACAGCTGCCATAGGCTGTGAATCCGAGCCCACGCAGAGCATGCCCAAGGTTTTTTGAGGGTTTGCTGCCCGCTGGGCGCACTTGGCTGGTTTTTACTAGCGAGATATAGACTTTGACTAGTAAGGACTTCAACTGAAGTCCCCAGCCAGACCAACTAGTGCCACAGTTCTAGTTCTGTGCGCTTCGACTGCAACGGAAAAAATAAGCTCAGGTTGTCTCAATCCATCCTTTAATTGCTTTGCCAGTTTTCACATGCTGAGTTGAGGTCATGTCGCTATACGTCAAAATAATTGGTTGCAGGTTGGTTCTCTTTGAACATCGTCCCCAAAAGTCTAGCTCAGTTCGATCTATGGCTAGCGTTTGTTAAAGGACTTTTTCCGCCGAAGCTTCTGACACTGTCAGGGAGCATGTTTCCCATGAAATGATTGGCAGATCACAGGGTTGATGTCCGATCCGTGACATGTCCAGCTAGTATTCAATCATGTTGAGGGACTCTGTCAAATGCGGTCGCTCTTGTCCGTGTGGTTTTTCAGTGCTGTTAAACATGAGTGACATGTCCGTTATTATTATTATTATTATTATTATTATAGGTGCATCCGACGTGTTACCCTATAAGGTTGAACCAGCTCCTAAAACGGGCGCCGCAGTGGAACTCCTGAGATTGATGCCGGCTGCCAGATCCTTTTTTTTTAGAGTTAACTCTCATGGCTGCGAATAGCGCCGTAAATTGCTATGAGGACCCCGCTGAATATGCTCATTGCTCTTAGCTGCCGCACGGCTGACTAGCAAGCTGGTTCGGAACATGTATGGGTTGGTTAATTTGCCCACAGCCCTAGCCTTACGGAACCCCCTTCCCCCACTGTGAACACTTGGAGTCTGTTTTGCAAGCTCAACCTCTAAGAACCTAATGAGTCTGTGGAACCCCCCACCTGACTCAGGTGTTTAGGGAACCCCAAAACTGTCGGCCTACAAAACGGCACACGAGCCGCCCCCCTCCGGCGTATCCGAGTCGGCCGAGTTGGGCATGTGAGGCATGGCTCGCACGCCGCTGACTCACTCGTCGCAGGCGTTTTTTTCTTTCTTTTTCCGGAGTCGGGGACCGTGGTGCGCCAAATGAAACCAAAACGTACGCGTTTGGGTTCTCAAATTGCGGGGACCGGCATGAGTGTTGGTGGTGTCCTTCTCTTGTTTGCTCCAAAACCACCCCAGGAGGGTAGACTCGAAAAAACATTGCACACCCGTGTCGAGCTTTCCAGTTTTGCCACGGCAGGGAAGCACAGGCCATTTGATTGGTCGACCTGATGCTGAGACCCTGATGTACGCATCTGTTTGCGCTGGCAGGACCTCTTCTTGATCAGCGAGTCTCGGGCATGGCGTCTGTTGGCATGGAGCCGGCAAGGAGCTGGTTGCTCCTTTGGACATTGCGCTGCAAATGGGACCCTTCCCGCTAGCATTCCTGCAAGGTCCTGGGGCCCATGCCCCTGTAAATGGAGCCCTTTGGGCGGATACATGTTGGTTCGTGTGCCCAATCTCTCGAGATGATTGGAAAGGGTAAGGGCAGTTCTTGAGACACACCAGGGTCTTGTATACGTAGATAAGATTGCCAGGCACAGAAACAATCAAAGTCGTACTGCGCCAGGGCTACGGCGCACAAAGCTCAGGTATTTGTTGATTTGCCTACTTCTAGTTTATTCGATTTTAGTACTGGGGAGATTGCATTGTCAATGGGGGATATCATGTATTAAGTAGGCCACGGGAACAGCTGGGATAACAGGGGTTGTATAGTCCCCTGCTATTCATGCTTGGAAATCTACTTACTAAACTCTAGAGCCTCGGCTCAGTGCGCCGACATTGTCCTATCCCTTTTCTCCTTTTTCCTCTCTCTCTCTCTCTCTTTCTCCCCCGTGTGTTCCCTTGTCCTCTCTCCCTCTTTGTCTCTCTCCTCCCCATCCTCCCCAGCCCCCAATCTTCTCTCACTCTCTCTCTCTCTCTCTCGCTCTCTGTTTCTCTTTCTTTTTCCGTCTCACTCTCTCCTTCCTCTGTATGCCTCTCTCTCTCTGTGTCTTTTTTTTTTCTCTCTCTCTCTCTCTCTCTCTCTCTCTTTCTCTCGTTCTCTCTCTATCCATCCTCTCTATGTCTCTATCTGTCTCTACCTTCTCGCTATGCCTCACTCTCCCCACCTCGTGTCTCTGGCCCCCCCCCCCTCGCTGCCTCTCTCTCTTTCCTCTCTCTTTCCTCTCTGTTTCCTCTCTCTTTCCTCTCTCTTTCCTCTCTGTTTCCTCTCTCTTTCCTCTCTCTTTCCCCTCTCTGTCATCTCTCTTTACTTTCTCTTTCCTCTCTGTGTCTCTCTCTCTCTCTCTCTCCCTTTTTTTTTTTCTCTCTCTCTCTCTCTCTCTGTCTCCTGAGTTGTCCTCGTACTCCTGGCTTTGCCCTTGATTTCCCTCCCCTTCATGTCCTTTTCATGTCTCGTCATTTCCCAAGATGTCCTCGTCATGTCCCCTTCCATTCCTTTCAATTCCCCCTTCATGTCCCTGTCATTGTCTTGGTATGTCCGCTTAGTTTTCCATGTATGTCCCTTTCTCTCATTGCCAATCACTTCCCTACATCTCCCTTCGTGTCCTTTGGTTTCCTTGTCCTTTGTTTGCCTTTCAGTCCCCCCTCACTCCCCCGGTTCTCATTTCTTTCCCGCAATGTCGGCGAAGGTCCAATTGCTTGGTGGCTGCCTGGGTGGTTGGGTGGTTGGGTGGGTGGGTGAGTGGGTTGGTCAGTTGTGTGGGCGGGCGGGCGGGCGGGTCCGCGGGCTGGCTGCTTGCTTGCTTGCTTGCTTGCTTGCTTGCTTGCTTGCTTGCTTGCTTGCTTGCTTGCTTGCTTGCTTGCTTGCTTGGTTGCTTGGTTGCTTGGTTGCTTGGTTGCTTGGTTGATTGGTTGATTGGTTGATTGGTGGGTTGGTTAATTGGTTGGTTGGCACGGCATGGGCCAACCAACATCAACTTCACCGGGCTCGGTCACTTGAACAAGTCGGCTCAGCGGTTTGGATAAAGAAGAGGATACAGGGGCGAAGGTTCACGGCACAACTTTTTAAGTAACGTCCAAGCCCTCGGTGGGCATGTTTGGTAAGAGTCGCGTCATATCGACCGGTGTGGAAGCAATAGCTCCACGCACGGCATAAGGTGGAGTTGGTGGCATAAGCAAAACACCTCCACGTGTGTCGCGGAAGCAACAACTCCATACGCGTAAGGTGGCGCAAGCAGATGTTGTAAGCAACATGACACGGCGTAGCAAATATCAGCGCGTTGAGGACATGGCTGATTTGTCCCCTTTGTTTACTCCCATACAGCCTAGTTGTAAGTTGTTCGGACTAGAAAAAGGCGGGGCTTTACGATTCATGGCTTCCGGTTAGTTGGGACGAGCTGAGTCTTGAAGCAACTCGTCATACTATGTGTAGGGGGCTGTTGGCTTTAGGGTTGGACCTGGGGAAGGCTTGCGTGTTTGACTTGCTGGTGTAAGCACTGCTTGCCTTGCTCGAAGGGTGGCCTCAGTGGGTCGTTGGCTAGCCTCAGCCCCCAAAACAAACCAACACCTTGACAAAGCCCGCAGTCTAAAGCCTATCGCTCGCTTTCCTGCTCCCAGCAACTCCTTGCAACCAGCGCGGCTACCCAGAGCTCATGCTCTCTCGACATCGGTTGCTAGGAGCAACATCGAAAGCGGCGAGACGGAGATCACCTTGACCGAACAGTGACGGAAGCGCGGCTTGGCTGCCCATGGTCGACTCATGTCGACTCATGGTTGGCTGCGGACTGTATCTCAGCATCCCTCAAAAGGCGATGGATGCGTTTTTTCCTTAGGCCGTCCGGATCAAGCAAAGGTCCCACTCGCTTTGATTCGCCCGGAAAGCTGCAGACGGCCCCGAGGTGCGCCTGGGCTCCTAGGGGCCTTTTGGCGGCATCTAGCATGACCTGCTAAGAGTCTAAGAGGCATCGGGCACTTTTGACACCCCCCAAACCGCTGAGATTCTTGCAACTTGAATTTGATCACCTGGCCTTTTGTGAGCCGAACTCATATTGGCTGTGATGCCAGTAAAATGGTCGTTCAAACAAGTATAAAGTGGAAAGAAAAGGAAAGTGAGACAATGACCACAGGAGCCTAAGAAGTGAAGTCGCTTTGGAAGAAAGGAGCATTTGTTTGCGGTTTCTGTTTGTTCACTGTTTGTTTGGATTCTTCAAAGGGGATCCCGATTGTCACCTCAACATTTTGGAATTGTGCATGTTTGAAGCTTGCTTGGTGTGTTTGGGCGAGCCGCGAGGAAACGTATTGGCATCAAAATACGGGCCGTGCTGGACAATGTGGATACTGACCCACGTAGTATTGCTTTCATCATACCTTCATGATGAGAACTTGACGTCTTCTTGGGATTGACGGGAATGTATGAGGATTCTTGGCTGAAGCGCTTTGGTGGGCCAAATGGGTTTCATTTCGGTGTCCCTTCCAAATGCGCCAAACCAGACTCCGATGAATTTTCTCGACCCCTTGACCTGCCATTTTGCTCGATATAACTGCTCAGGGTGTTGGAGCAAAGCGGAAGACGGTGTTGATTTGGCTACGTGACGCCCTCGCCGCTCTCCATCGGAGGCCTTTCTGGATGCCCACAAGCGGCTCCGCTTTGGAGCTCCGCGCGGGCAAAGCCGGCGCACGGGCAAAAGCGATGGATAGGGTTCAGCCCCAAATACAAGAATGGTTGACCCAATTTAGCTGACCACCACCCTTAAGCGAAACATGGTCCCATTGTTTCAATATGTTTTAATGGTTTGAATTCCAGGGTCTTTGGCTACTTTCAATGAGGGGTATGGGACCGCAGGGTGATGTGGTTTGCGGGATAGACAGAATCAACCCGGCTACCGGCTTTGTTTGAAAAGGGGCTCCTCAAAGGAGATTCCTCTAATCCGAAAAGTAGGGTTTTCAAGCTGCATGAGAGTAGAGGTGTTGATCATGCATTGAAAGGTTCACTTTCAGGTTTGAGGATATCCGGCTCCACTGGGCTTGAGGAGAGAAGTCCTACACTTTGTGCGCAGCTTTTCAGACACATGGCGGGTGCGCATCAGCTTTGGCTGAAAGCACACTTTGCGACATCCCTCGATGCAACCGACATGACCTGAGCTTGCAATCAGCAGCCATAGTGCACTTGTTTGCACACTGCAACTGCAGGGAGGCATATTTGATCAAGGTTTGACACTTTCCAGAGCGTCAATCAGGTTGCATACGAAGTGCGGAGGCCTCAACAAAAGCCCGAACATCGATTGCAGAGCCAAATGGCATGCTGCCGTATCGCTCATGGAAGAGCTTGCCCTACAAGCCGAGATTGAGCAGGCGCCGTGAGTGAGCCAGCAACATGGCACTTGCCCGAACTACTTCATCCTCCAATGGGAATTATTTTCCACATTTGTTTGAAGGGGGTTCCCTTTAACAACACAAAAGCAAGCAAGGGTGATCATTTTTGCTGTGACCCCTGAAGGTTTGGGACCGTCTTCAACTTGTTCGTCTCACCCTGGTTTACCTTTGAGATTGTTTGCCTAGGGGTTGAACTCGCTATGCCAGGCCATGTCTTTGCCCGGCTGAGTTCTGGGGGTGCAGCACTGTTTGTCCGGCGATTCTATGGAAGCTGCAAAGAGAAGTCGCGCATTGTGGTAAATGAGATAAGCCAGCTCAGTGGATTTTTCCCTCCCATTCCCGCCCTTTGTTCTAGGGGTACCTTCCCCACTCGTTCCAAGGATCCTTCTTTCCAGAAAACCGCCAAGCACCCAGGGGAAACAGCAAGTTTTTGAAAAGAAGGATGGCTGAAAAGACTGGAATCGGAGTCAACCCTATAGATTGATTTGTCAATCCTTTTTGCTTGGTTCAGCTTTAGGCCTAAAAACGCCCCCCGGTCTTTGTGCGAAAGAAATTCATCCGCGAGGCCCGGCGGCGCCGCGACGCGGCGCTGGCGAGCTTGGCGGCCCTTGATGCGGAGGCCAAGGGAATGCAAGGGAGACGATGGCTTGGGTTTGATGTGGAAACTGGGGGCCTTTTTCTTCATGGAACCTGCTTGGGCAGAGTTTTTTTTGTTTTTTTTGCGATGCGTGAGGTGTTCGCGTAACTAGTGGCATTCTGGGATACACTCCTTTTATGTTGTGGACGCGCCGTGTAGGTAACTTCGTTGGCAGGTTCGCGTAGGCGTGTTTTTACCTTACACAAGCTTGTTTTTTATGATTTGAGAGGTGTGACGTCGAGAAGGGTAGAATCATTCCAGTCGATCATTGGCGTTTGATTACACCTGTGGGGATGCTTCAAACGGGCGCCACAAAGCATGGTTGCCCGAGTTCAAGCTTAGCACAGCCCGCAATTGGTGTTTGGGCTTGTTCGGTTGCAGTGTGGCTTTGTGGGATTTGCTTAAGAATAGTTGTTCTATTTCCCTTGTTGGTTTTAATCCAAGTAATTGACCCAGTTGCCAAATGGGCAAGGCGTTGCTTCTGCCTACCAGGGCGCGCATCCGTGCTCGGTGCCCAGTGGGTCAGGGTGCGGCTGAGAGGAATCATGGAGGTTCGACCACCCCCCTGGGTCGCTTATGTTGTTTGTTTGCTTGGCATGTATAAATTTTCGAAGTGAGATGGCTTATGTTGACACTCTTTCTCTCTCTCTCTCTCTCTCTCCATGCAGAGTGTGCTCAGACGGATTCACTGAACTGACCAGGCTTTGTTGGTTTTAAAGGAAATTGTCACTACCGGACATGTTTGTTTTCCAGGGGCTTTAGCAAATGGAAGATTATGTTTGCCTTGCCAGTGCTCTTCCCTGAGCTTCCTATGCCATTCGTTGCAGGCCAAGCCAGAGGTGCCCGCATGGTGCCCAGAACTCTTTGCATCCTGCCCGGGGCATTTTGATTTTGCCCCCGGGAATTCCATTTCATGGGCAATCTATGTTCCTTCAAGAATACAGTGGGAACACAGGTGATCAAAGCAACAATATGTGGAACTGCAAGTGATTGCAAATGTGCTAATACCAGGAATCAGTGGTGATCAAAGTGGGAAAGCCTCCTTGAATGCCTTGTTGGCTTAAGGTTGGATTCGTGGGTGTCAAATCTACATGGGCTTCGATGGTTGATTGTATGCGGGTCTCGTTTGGTCAACCATACACGGGGTAAAAGGTACCACGTTTGCGATTCCTCGCAACATAAGTACATGCGGCTGGTCGCATATTTACACAAAGCACATGCGCACGGTTGTGTTTTTACGAAAGCTAGCTATGCTAGCGGGAGTTCTCTAAGCTTTAGCTTCTTTTTTATAGGGGGCTGAGCATCCCACTACGCCTGATTAAGTCGTGGATTGTGGGGGGCCCAAAAAGCCTGATTCGCAAGACCAAATCCTTACCTAGGGCACCCCCCCCTCTGCCGCCCGCGGCACGCGCGTATTCCCATAATCTCGTCCACATGTTTGCAGCTGGGGAACCTGTCTTTCTAGACATTTCTAGACGTTCATTGCTAGTTCTAATATTCTAGCCACTCCTGAGTCGTACATGTCGTCGTTGGGCTGGCTAGGCTAGCTTTCGTTCACCCGCCTCTCACGTCATACACGGGAGATGGCATTCACCGTGTGTGTTGTCGGGTTATCACAACCCTCGCGGTTTTGACTCCCCCACATGTTGTATCAAGCTGCAAGGAAAACCGTCTTCAACATGCCGTCCGGAAGAAAGGAGCTGAAGCTCGTGCCGTCCACTCATGAATTAGCTTGGCCCTGGGGGTGTTACGTATTTGGCTTGCGGCGTGACCCCTCCAGATGAAATCCATCCAGTGACTCGCGGTCAAGAAGTTGTACAGGTCTTCTTGACGTTGCGACGCCATCACAGATGACACTGGGTGAATTATAAGCACCTCACACGACCTCACCCCAAATGGTGGTTTATGTGGGGAATAGCCCCCGAACCACCTTATTTCAGGTTGGTGAAATATTGTAATTCACCCAGATGACCGCAACTTTGTGCGCATGTATGATGGAGATGCTTTTGGGGATGCGAGCTGGTGACGCGAAAATTGTTGACAGTGCCTAACAGGGCTTAATCTGTATTGTAAAAGGGTGTGTTTTCGAACAGGGGGGACCTCAAGCGTGATGATTAGTCCTTGGGTTGGATGAGGTCTGAACTCGCAACTTGCGTATCTCTAAAAGCGTATTATTTGTGTATGATATGCGGCTGAAATACAGAAGGCATCGCAAAGAAGCTCCCTTTGTGCAACAACACCTTTCAACTTTCTTGTTCAGTGGCTCCCTCTGAATCCATGGGTATGTGTCAAGCTAGGGTTTGGACCCCCAAAATGTTAAATTTCCTTTGGTTTCCAAACAAGGGGCTACCCTCAAAAGAGGACAGGCGTCGTCCTATTAGGAAGAACACATTTCTGGAAACGCGACGATCAAACTGAGCCTCAAAAAAGCACACCAAGTCGGGTATGTGTCAAAATACGGTGCCCCCCCAAATGAAGCCACCTAACATACCCTCAAACATCGCACCACACACACACACACACGTGTATCAAACAGGGTGCCATTTTCGTTGCACATCGAGACTTGCGGAGTGGGTGTGAGGTGCCGCTGGTCTCCGCCGCGGGACTCCTGCGCCTGGCTCAGCTGAAGGCGATGGGCGGCGGTTTGGGACTGCCTTGAAACGAAAGATAGGAATCGGTCCTGCAACACGTTCTTTGGTGCAACAGCTTCGGTGTTCTTTTCCCTTGGTGCCCTTTGGTGCCCTTTGATGTTCCTTTGAACCCCCAAGAAGCGTGATTGCCCCTCAACAAAGGACACCCAAAGAGAGTTGTTGGCTTCCTTTGATGCCGCAGACTGGCAGACCGCCATGCCAGTGGTGCTTGCAAATCGTTTCCGTAACTTTGGACCAACCACCAATAAACCAATTCTGATTCAGAGGCATAGCAAGGGGAGCCATAGGAAGTTCATGGCTTTTGAGTGATCCTTGCTGGGCCTGGTCACAAAAAATCGAATCTAGGGGTCGATTCCCGATTCTTTTCAACCCTCGTTCGTTTCAAAGACCAGCTGTTTCCCTTGGGTTTTTGCAGGGCTGCTGAAATAGAAGGATCGCTGGACAGAATGGGAAAGCTTCCCCTAACACTAACCCTGGGGTTCCACCATTAAAGTATGGGGGGCTAATAACAACTGCCATTCTTCACCTCAAACATGTCATCATCCAAAGTGGCTGTGGGTCAAGAAATGCACCCAAAATGGAACCCTAGTAAATGGAAACATGGACCAAAACCAGCGGTCCGATTCCTGGTGGTTTAATTTTGTCCCATACCCAAGCGGTTCCTTGCCATTATTTTTATGCCTTGGGAGCCTCAGGGCTACTCGTCACTGCCGGCCACTCCCAGGCAACGCAGCTGCCTGAGCCCTCAGGCGCGAATCTAAGAACCATAGGCGTGTGTCCAGGGGTTGATGCCGGTTCCATTCTTTTCAAAAACCAGGGGGCGTTTTTAGGCCTGAAGCTGAACCAAGCGAAAAGGATTGACAAATCAATCTATAGGGTTGATTCCTTGTCCATTCTTTTCAACCATTGTTCTTTTCTCAAAACCCCATCGTATTTTGTCTTCTTCTTCTTCTTCTTCTTTTTTCTGATGGTTTTCTGAAAGGATTCGGATTTTTGGAAAGAATGGAAGTGTCCCCCAGAGTGTGTGCTTCAAGAGGTGATCCCTTGGAGTTCCCTTTGAAACCACCCCAACATGGATTGGCTCAAAATACAGAAAGGCCATGTTTACTAGAAGGGCCCAAATAAGTTGCAATGGGTCGTTATTGTTGCTTTGAAGCTAAGCTAAGCTATTGTCATAGATATCATGTGTGTGTGTATGTTGTTCACCCCTTGCAGTACGTGACGTGCTACTCAACTGTTTTCCTGTTCACTGTTGTGTGTTTCCAACAGAAGCGGCCACATTCCGCTCAATGCGCTGGCTTGTTCAACGTTGCGGCAGACTTATGGGGCCTTCAGGTCCTACGGTAGCTCAGAATACGAATTGGGTTTCGTTGGTTTCGATGGCCGTGCGGACTCCCCTGGTTGGGCGGTTCGCATTGTGGCTTCAATGATCCCCCGAAAAAAACGCCACCCCGGCTCATGGCGACTCACAGGGCCTGACCAGGTCTCAAAGAGATCCAGTTTTTTTTTTTGTTTTTTTTTCCCAATGGGGGAGATGTCTATGGCCCTTGGCAGCCAAGATGGTCAGGGTTCCGACCTAAGCAAGTTTTGGACACACCGCCTCAACATGCTTGTCATGCAATATAGCTCATAGCGAGCTCACCCAGGGTTAAAGCAGGCTTAGATGATGAAGGGCCCTTCCCGGCGTGTGACAGTCATTTGCCCAGATCTTCTAACCCACAGGGTCCCTTAGCTTTTGAGGATGCACTGGAGGGTCAAAGTGCACAAGGAACTTGCACCTTCAAGGCCAAGATGGCAGGAATTTGGCGCGACAATGTCCATGTGGTTTGTAAGTTGTTTTTTCCCAAGCAACGTGGCATCCCGGTCCAGCCAGGCTGTGGACGCTTGGTTTTGCATTCGGGTATGTCTCACAATCAGAACCCGCACTCGGCCGGCTTTAAGGGGACCCAAGGAAACCAACGATTACGGGGGTGCCGAGGTGAAGAACGCCCATGTTGTGCGGTAGAAATGGAACTGAGCACCCCTCGCCCTTTTTTAAGCTGGACCTGTTCCATAGGGAACAGGGTTGGGCAAATCGGGGTGCCCAAAAACCTGAAACAGAAGCCAAAGCGACACCCTTGTTTTGAGGGGGGCCCCAACCCCCACCGCTGGGTACAACAGGTTTCCAGTTGTTCAGTGGTACTTGTTTACCTGTTTCCCTGTTCATTTTTAGCAAAGTACAACCAATGACAGGGTTCGCATAACTTTTTGGGCCCCGTGAGTTGAAAAGGGGGATCCATTGAGACACCTGCACGAGATGCCACCCCCAAAAAGGGCACCACTAAAGTTCGGGTACCCTCAAAAAAAGAAAACACACATTTTACCAAATGGGTGTGGCTCAAAATTAAACAGCAGGGGCAAACCGCAGGTTTTGGTCCATGTTTCCACTTACCAGGGTTTCATTTTGGAATTCCGGTTTTTTGAGCCACAGCCAAATGAAACCGTACCCTTTTGTTTTTATTTGGTTCCCTTTTTGTTTCTTTTCTCCGCCCGTTTGTTTCCATTGGGAAGTTTTCCACGGGCCCCCAGAAAGGTGTCCGATTCCCCCGAGGTCGGCCGCCTGCCCTGCGAGCTGTGGCCGCCTCTTGGCTCCGCGAGACGCGGGCTGTTCGGTTCGTGAAGAGGGCCAGCGGCATGGCGATCAATGGTCCGTGAAACATGGCCATGGTTCAAAACCAATGGGATCCCATTTCGGGATAGGTGAATGCACCACCCACTTTGGTCATTTTTGGTGGGGATTGGGATGTTCACTGGGGGTACTGGGTTTTGACTCATGGCCACATGGGATGACCGTTGGGTGGAAAACGTCACCAAAATGATATGATGTTTCCCGCATGGGAAAAGTTACGCATGGTCATTTGGGGGCCGAAGGGGAGATTGATCAACCCATATCAACCCTCACAAATTTAGTGTGCGGAGCTTTTGACCTGGCTCTTTCGGTAGGTTCATTTGACTCTCCCATTGCCTGAGCCACATGCTGTCACTCTGTTGCCCTTCGCCAAGCTTGAGGATAATTGTTCACCTGACTTCCAGGATTCCGAGCATCGTTGGTATTGGCCATTCGAGAAAACAAATGCAACGGCGGAACATGAGGATGATATGTGGCATCTATGGTTTCACACAAACAACGTAGTGTTCATTTCTGTTTTTTTTTTTTTTCCGAACCCAATTATGTTTATGTGTTGCGCCACGTTGATACTTTGTTGAGATCATATTGTATAAGGCTTGGTACAGAATCACCGGTGTAGATGCGACTGGTCTGAATCCGCCGTATGGATGCGCTGAAGAATACGGCTGCTTGTTTCTCGAGCTCTCGCAAGTTATTTCGATACCTTGCAGCAATGCATGTTGCAAGGATCCCCCAACCTGACACGCAGGGTCGTGGTATTGCGCGCCACGCCGGCGAATTTCCGATGGAGCGAATGGTCTACTGGTCCGATGCAATTACGATGGAAAGGTCGTTGTATCGAAGATGCCACTTAGACTTGTCGACTTTCCATGTTGCAGAGTCATGGGTGCTGCCAAACGCTGATCTACCAAACGCTGACTTGGCATCCGAACACCTTGAGAAGCCGAGGGTCAAGCTGCGGGACTGGATTCCGATGGATTCAGTGGAATATTTGTTTCTATGCTGGATGTTGAATCAGGGTCCGACAAGCTTGACCTTGGATTTGGGGGTTTCGAACAGCGCGACGTTGGGCGATGTGAAGTTCCAGGCGGCTACTCTGTCAGCTGATCTGCGTGACGTGATGTTGCAGCGCATTGGTATCTGTTGTAACTTGTACCCGCTTTACTGTGTCGAGATGAGAGATCCTTGTTTTGGATGCGCAACCGGGATGCCATGGAAGCAAGGGCTGACAAGTTGCGAGTCCTTTTTCATGGATCGCTGGGCAAGCGTCAATTTGGCCCTAGATAATTGGGCACGTGACTACTACCCCCCCCCCCCTCAAGGTCGACAGGGTTTGGAAAGCTGGATTTTGGAGGGTCCTTTCCTATGTGGACCCCTGTCTGGCCAATAGGACTCCAATAGGTTTATTCTTTCCAGGGCTGGACAGGGCCAGGATTTATCAGACGGGGTGTGTGTGTGTGTGTTATTCGGGTTGGGGGGGGGGCCTTGAAGGGGGCTACCCTTTACGAGCTTGTCAAAGCTTGCTTTAGAGCTCGCTTTAAAAAACATAATGTGCTGCTTCCGGCTGACCGTTTTTCTTGATTTCTGGAATTGCAACCCTTGAGACTATGAAAGGAGTTCGTGTTGGCAAAAAGTATTGGCCATAAATTTAGGAGTTCAACGTTGGCTTTTGGTATTTTTTTCAAGGGCCGGAAGCCCAAGAGATTTAGAGGTTCTTTTGGCAAAACCTTGCCGGTGCCTTTGAAATAGTATTGGCTGGCAGTTTTTTCTGGGAAAGCCGGGTGTCGTTTCGCCAGAGAAGGTTTAGTAATCATGTGCCGACATAAAGGGTCCCAGTCTGGAGGTATCATGTTTCATGGTCTTATCTTCCAAAACAAGCGCCAAAAAGGGCCGCTGAGCAAGGGACGAGCTGCGAAACCACTCCGCGGATCCCTTTTCTGGAGCAATGTCATTTGAGTGCCTGTCAAGCACTGTCAAACCAGCAAGGTCCCTTAGTATTGGTGCGCTGCCTAATATGCGGGTCTACATAGTTGCCCGCGTGATTCTATGATCATGGCTAATATTTGGTGTTAGAGTTCCCCACAATCCATACTTAAATCATGTAGTTCAGCTGACCCAGGGTACACTTCGGGACTGAAAAATGGAACCTCCGGGACCGAAACCCGAGGTTTGTATTTTCCTGCATTGCTCGGGCGGCTGTGCCAGAAGCCGGGGCTCTCAGTCAGAGGGATGATTACCTAGGTGCGTGTCTTTTCTTGACCATGCCCCTTTTTGGGTTGGTTTAAAGGGATATTAAAGGGAAGCCCACCCGTTTTCTGGGTCCCCTACTTTGAGACAAACCCATACTTCACCTTGTGGTGGTTTTGAGCATGCAGGCTGATCAAGCATGTGGGGGTTGATCAATATTCCGTTCGTCCCCATTTAGTCGTGAAAGTCATCTTTTGATCAACCCCTATTTGCGTTGCAAGGTTACACAGGCAGCTTGTCAGATTTGGTCCGCTGTCTGCTTTTGTGTTGCTGGTCTTGGCATGTGACGTTCCTCACCGCTCTCCTTCGCACCCCAGCACGGCCATTGTGTGCAACGAAAAGGCTGGCGCACATGAAACCTGACATAACACCCCTCCCTCAAAACACGTACTATGTAGAACCTATTTATAAATATATATATATATATGTATTATGTCATATATTGTAATGCAGAATATAGACAAACATATATATATATATATAGAATAGTTATAATTACATAGTAGGGCTTGTGTAAGGTGCAACGAGTGGCAATCCTTCGAACTTGTCCGGGTCATCGCCGTAATAGCTTCTAACTGAACTCTGAACCTGGTGTGTGGAAGATGTGCAAGTCTTGCCGCTCGGCGCTCTCAGTTTGGAGAACCCCTTCAGAAGTTTCACTGACTTTGTGCAAGATGAAAGCTTTGTTGGCCCAGCCAGACCGTGTGTGTGTGTGTGTGTTTTTGTTTTTGTGTGTTTTTGTGTGTTTTTGTGTTTTTGTGTGTTTGTGTGTGTATGTTTGTTTGTTTTGTTGTGTGTGTGTTTTTTGTGTGTGTGTTTTTGTGTGTTTTGTGTTTTTGTGTTTTTGTGTTTTTATATATGTGTGTGTGTGCGTGTGTGTGTGTGTGTGTGACTCTGTGACTCTGTGACTCTGTGACTCTGTGACTCTGTGACTGTGTGACTGTGTGACTGTGTGATTGTGTGACTGTGTGTTTGCGGACCAGTACCATTTCCGACAAGCATTGCAGCTGCCAGAGGCCCCTGATGCGCTTGGTTTTCCAGACAGCTATCTTAGGTTGAGCCTTGTGGTAGTTGCCTTTTCACTCCTTTGGTCTTCTTTCAAAAACAACCTTGCAAGGGCGACTCTCAAACAAGACACCTCACTTCCCGAGTTCCAGCACTTGATGCCTTTTTTGGTAAGACCGTTTTAGCGGCAAATCAATAGCTTAGAGTTGTTTGGCCAATCCACTCAGCAAGTCAGACACCCTTTGAGGACTCGCTCACATCCTCAAGCTCCAAGTGAGGCCGTTTTGGGCCGCCTGCGGAAGCAGCTGGATGCGACTGAATCGCAGGGGAAGCGCCGCCCTCAGCAGACCCGATTCTCCGGGGAATGCGTTCTTTTCAAGATGATAGTCTTTGAACTAAAAAACATGTGCGCTTCCATTGGCACAAGGTTTTTGTACGTGTGCAACGAACAAAACGTGGCTTGAGTCCTTTTGCCATCAGCAAGCAATCAAGTAAGCAAGTAAGTAAGCAAGCAAGCGAGCAGCTTTGGGATTTGCTGGGTGGATGACAGCTGTCTTGAAGTCTGTGTGGCTTGAAGACGGCAGGAAGATGCTATTGTGCAAGTAAGAAGTTTGAAGGGGCAAGACAAAAACAAGGACAGGGGTGACTCAGGGGTGTCCTGTTTTCTGCAAAGAAACTTTGTATGGTTGATTCAAGAAGCTTAATGTCATCTAATCAGGAACACGATTGGTAAGGCCTTTGTAGTTTCCCGCTTTCCGAACAAGTGTATATGTTTGACGCCCTGGTGCAATGATGCAGGCCCTTCACCATTTTGATTTGACCTGTTCAGTGATTGTTGGCACTTCAGACCCAACCATGTTCTTGAGTGTCCTATCTTCGCTAACGACGGGATGCCTTGAAGACCGAGGATCCTTGAAGGATGGACACGGTGGTGAGTGGGGATAGGTTTTGCTGACCCAGCCATTCGCACTAGTACGACGGCAGCTCGAACAGTTTGCAACAGGCGCAGCTAAGGAGCCACCGTATTTCCGGCCGAGGAAAGGCTAAGAAAACAGCCTCCTTGTACTTTCGTGGGAGTTGCATTCCCTAAGAGGACAACTTAACATGACACCCGGCAGTCGAGGCTTGTGCCATTGCCCAGCGGGGCACTTGGAGGGTTGCGGAGCTAGATTTGAGGGGACACTGCGACCTGCGCAAACATGAGTACAGTTATTACTGGTTTTAGGGCCAAGTTGAAACTACACCTTTCATGACATGGCTGAAGCCGGCAATTGGGAAACTGCTGTAGTACTCGACTTGACTTGGACTTTTGCACGACTTCTCCCCGTCAGTTTCATCTAACAACGGGGCCCTTCCTTTGTCACCGGACGGGAATGTTGGACATTTCAAAGATTTTGCGAGGCGGCGGGGCAGATTCCACGGCAGTAGCAGCGCTCGCCTAATGGCACTTGGCGTCCAGAGAGTTGTTGGACAGACAGAGTTTTTGCATTGTCGACATGTATGCGAGCCTGAATGTTGTTGAAGGGGGGCCAAAGCAAAACAATACCAGAATGCATTGCTTGGACTCTGAGCAGTGGGTGCTGTGCAGCTTTATCGCACTTTCGCATGGTGATGGAGACACCCTCGGGCCAGCATGGGTTTCTCTCTAGATGATTGAACTTCAACTCCCTTTGCGGCAGCCCCCAAACGGTACCCCGAAACAAAGGACACACCCATCTACACTCTCATGGCCCCTGGGAAAAGTTGCATTCTGTTTTCTAGTGATTTTGGCAGCATAGCGCCTCGGAAGATCGGTTGGCACAGGCACTTTGCAGGGTTTCCCTTTCATGGTTCCGTGGCTCTTCGCTTCCTCTTCCTGCTAAAGACCTGTGGCCAAACTACGGACCCTTTTGCAACAGGTTTCACGTCGGTGTCCTCGCAAAGCGTGCCACTCGACGGTGCTCATCTTCTTGGCATTCTCAGGCCGCTCGGCAGCGGCTTTTCGGATTTTCGGCCCGAGGAGCGGGCCTGGATCGGGACTTCCAGTCTGTGCTGCGGCGAACTCAGAGTTCGCACGGGAAGCGGAGGTGGCTGTCAGACCAAGCAAAAAGCATTTCTCGCCCAACGGGCAAAGTAGTGTTTAGGAAAGTTACCCACAAAACATACGTGTCGCCCACAAGGTCTTCTTATGCTGTATGATCGTCCTGCCAGGTGTGTTATCCGCCGATGTATCCGGCTTTCAGGAATTGGCTCCTGCCAGGTTTAGGGTTTTTAGGCTTGAGGTTTAGGGTTTTTAGGGTTCAGGTTTAGGGTTTTTAGGCTTTAGGTTTAGGGTTTTTAGGCTTTAGGTTTAGGGTTTTTAGGCTTTAGGTTTAGGGTTTTTAGGCTTTAGGTTTAGGGTTTTTAGGGTTTAGGTTTAGGGTTTTTAGGGTTTAGGTTTAGGGTTTTTAGGCTTTAGGTTTAGGGTTTTTAGGCTTTAGGTTTAGGGTTTTTAGGCTTTAGGTTTAGGGTGTTTTAGGCTTTAGGTTTAGGGTTTTTAGGCTTGAGGTTTAGGGTTTTTAGGCTTTAGGTTTAGGGTTTTTAGGCTTTAGGTTTAGGGTTTTTAGGCTTTAGGTTTAGGGTTTTTAGGCTTTAGGTTTAGGGTTTTTAGGGTTTAGGTTTAGGGTTTTTAGGGTTTAGGTTTAGGGTTTTTAGGCTTTAGGTTTAGGGTTTTTAGGCTTTAGGTTTAGGGTTTTTAGGCTTTAGGTTTAGGGTGTTTTAGGCTTTAGGTTTAGGGTTTTTAGGCTTGAGGTTTAGGGTTTTTAGGCTTTAGGTTTAGGGTTTTTAGGCTTTAGGTTTAGGGTTTTTAGGCTTTAGGTTTAGGGTTTTTAGGCTTTAGGTTTAGGGCTTTAGGGTTTAGGATTTATAGGTTTAGGGTTTTTAGGGTTTAGGTTTAGGGTTTTAGGGTTTAGGTTTAGGCTTCGGTTTGCCTTTTTTTTCTTGTTTCGGGGTTGCGTCAGAGAAGAGCTTCAGAAAGGCACTTTGGGACTCAGTCCGCACGATGCCTACCGCCTGGAAGCCTAGACGAGCCATAATGGCTGCCAAGTTGATGATAGCAGTATAAAAACAGGAAAAGTCGCCACGCTCCACGAAGGGGGGTGGCGCATGGAGCTTGGGCGGGGCCGGGTGGGGGTCGGAAGTGCGTTTTTGCTGCGCCTGCCACGTTTTTTGAAGGTCTCGGGGACCCGCTTCCGGGCGGTCGCGGGCAACAGGTACGTTTTGCCCGGAAAGTTACTAACGTACCTGTGGATTGACTTCGAGGAAGACGTGCCACACCTTTTGTTGATTGCTTTCGTGCCAGAATACTTTCGAATTGATCGTCCTCAGTGTGGACACACGCAAACATATTGCAAAAACAACACGGATTATCAAGAAGGATCTCTTTTTGGAAAGGCATCCAGCAGTAAGATGCAAATTAGATACCTGAAGCGGCATATCATGTAGTAAGAGGCTACTGTTCCTGGTTACTTCCAAGTTGGTTTTAGCCAGGGTTATTGGCTACTTTCCAAGTGGCCCGGCCAGTGACGCACAGCGTGGAGCACGCATTCTTCTCCGTACTTTCCTTGTCCTTGGGAGCAGCTTTATCATCCTCGTTTATGATGTAGCAATGGCAGAGCATTTTCCCTCAGGGTCAAAGTGGCAGTTTTAGTGGACACCACCAGCAAAAATTGCAACAGTTATCCAGAAATCACTAAGCCCCCAGTTTTAGTTTTAGTGGAGTCACTAGCAACTGTTTAAGGGGAAATCCAGCGACTCCTGTTTTTTTCCCCAGCCCTTTCTTTGGACCGAAACTGACGGGAAGACCGAAGGCCGGGCTCCGGGGAACTGGCCATGAACTCCTTTAGACTCTGATGTGAGCTTTCCCACCTCGGCACAGAGGGCTAGAGTTTGAATACTTGCCGGGAGGAAGGCTACACCCCTGGAAAAGTAGTCTTGGGTTTATCGAGCGATAGCGTCGGATGTGACATGTCAGGATTGCTTTGTTCTCGTTTCGGAAAACAGGCCATCCAGCTTGGGTTGCTTTTTCAGGTCGCTTCCCTTTCGAGGCTGGACCTGTGCCAAATCTTGGCCGTGGCGCTCCGGGGGCGCCGGGATTTCACGCTGGACTTGGACGAGGCTCGCTGGACGCGTCAACCGCCTTCGCGCCGTGGAGACGAACACCGCGGCCCGCATGGCGTACCCAGTGCTTTGGAGTACAAAGTGACAATCAAACGCTGACCCCGGAAGATGTTCGCAGCTTGCAACTTCTGGGGGTTCCATGTTGAATCTCCGGAACGAGGATACAGTTTCTGCCGGGGGGGTATTCGTGGGAAGCACACAAGAGCCTTTGGTGGTTTTGGTATCCTTGAGGTGCGCCTGAAAGTCTGTCCACACAGAGAAGCCCCAAGCTGCCACCGAGCGATTCTTGCCGTGTGCAAGGGATCTTTTTAGGACTTGTGCACTCGTGTCAGCCAAAGGGCTGTCACCGCGTTAAATTTGAACAGTAGTTTATTCGCCCGGGGTTCAACGATGTTGTATTCCTGCGCGAAGCATTGGAAAGCATGCATGTTTGCTTAGAAGGCTTGCAAGTGGACAAAGGATGGCTTCGGCATGTTTTGCGGGGCATTCGCATGTCGAGTTGAACGTCGTTGCTGACGTCGGTGGGGATTCGCTTTGCGCTAGCTTGCTGCCCGTTTAGGTTGTGGCGTCACGATGAACCATACAAGTTGGAGAATGCAAAGTTATGCCTTCCTTTGGTTTGCTGAACATGCTGTTTGCACATGTCCTTAGGATCTCTACTTTGTGCAGATCCGTGCTGCGTGGTTTGCTACCCCAAGCGAATCGTGGAAACCATGGCGTCTTCCACACGTCAGGCGTGGGGCGTTGTGCAGAAGAAGGGGGACTACTTTCCGATGGAGTGCGGCGGCCAAGGCATCGACAAGGGCGTTGGGCCGTGGGGTGCGTGTCTTCAAGTTGGGCTGATTAAGACTGACGCCTTGCCTTGCATTGTAACCTGATTCGTTTGTGAGGCAAAGGAAGGGTCAGCAACTACTTTGTAATAAATTTGTTGCATGGCTTGTGGCGCTCTGGCCCGAGATCTTGTTGTTGGAGTATCTACAGCAGGCATCAGCTTTGCTCCCTCGAACAGATCCAGATTTCCTTTACTAGTTGCCCTTTTGATTCCACCAAAAGCGGGAATCTCACACCCAAAACAAACCCTTTGACCCCACACCTGAATATAGCTAGTTTTGGGCCGCTAGTCTCCGCTGGCCCCCAAATAGCCCAAAGGAGGTCACAAATCCAGCATTGTGGTGTCATCCCGCGACAGAAAGGCAACTCTGCCATCTACTTTCTCCCTAGTGCAATAGCCATTGAGGGTCCCTTGGTCTGAGAATGTTCTTAAGAAGCCAACAAGCAGTTAAAGTACATCCTCACAAGGTACCAAGGGATTTTTAGGAACGTCCTGTTCACTGGTGTCATTATTTTGACTGTTTCTGGAGCTTGTCAAACTCAGCAACTGGGGTGGTTTCCCTTGATCCTACCACTTCCAGGGTGACTTTGATAGTGACAATTCCTGGGGCGAGTTTCTGGTTCCCGTTCGGCGCTCTCGGCTTCCTTCGGTGCTCTCGTCGGCCTTAGGGCGCGGCGTGCCTCGTCGCAGGACGGCTTCGGGCGCGCAGCCCCAGGAAGCTGGTGAACTTTGATTTTGAGGGTTTTGGCTGGAAAAGGAAACGAAAGGGAAATCATCAGACAGAAGCATGCCAAGGGCTTTCTATTTTTCGGGACATCCCGCAACTTGATGGGGTGGTTGAACCTTTTTGGTAGGCTAGACTCAGCTTTTTCTGTTGTTGGTTGCCTTGAATGAAAACTTGACGAGTAAGACACTTGTTGGGTCGAGGTTGATCTGAGCAAATCATGTCTACCTCACAAACTGGGCAGTCAGTCCGTAATCCTTAGGTAGTTGTTTGACTATGGTAGTAGTGTCCCACCCCCGGACCGATTGGGATTCGGCATCTTTCCATTATTGAACAAGGTGAAGGGTTTTGGTGTGCGGCCCTTGTTGCAGGTCGAAGGATGAGCTACAACTCACCCAAAATGATCAGACCAACCCATGGGTAGCCATAGGAGTTACACAACATAAGCCCTGACAATTCCTTCAGTGGGCCCTGTTTTCCAACCCCCAGTTTTGGGTCAAACATGCGGCCCCATTCCTGCAAACCCAAATTATCCGTAAAATAATATCAATACACAACCACAAAACCAAAGCCTCGGGGCCCTTTGTCAATCTTCAGCGGCTGTTAAGAAAGTTGTATGGGCCCCCGTGAAGTTGCGACGAGTTCAAAGGCTCAAAGGCTCAAAGGCTCAAGAGTAAGAGGAACAAACCGTGCTGGGTACGACAAACATGTCAAGTACTCTAAGGGGCAATGTGGCAGATGTTCCCACACGATACGCACCTGATATAATATGATTTGGCAGAATGTCCTGCACATGACTAGTACAACACACGCCTAATATGAGATATTATATGATACATGGATGTTGTGTATGCATCCGGATGCTTGCAAGACACAGACATTGACACCATGCGCATACATGCAGACAAACACGCACACACACACACACACATTGTTGACCATGCTTCAGGTGCAAGCACATCGGGAAGAGGTCATCAACACAGCAAATTTGGGGACCAGCACAGATCATTGGCGCTGTGCAACTCTTTTCCTCTAGACAGCTGCTAATTGAGCATTTTGACTTGACCTTGCGACGGAACTGGTTGGACCTGTTAGACGGGTTTCGGCACATGTTTTATGAGCGTTTTTTGCGGTGGGTTGCCGAGTCTGGCCAACACCTCATTTGAAGCCCACTCTGGTGCCACTGGATGGCAAGAGATCCTAAAATTGAACCCACGTCGCGCTTTCTCCCTAGCAAACTAACGCACCTTTCCAATGGGAACTGGCCACAAATCCTTTATACACATGTGTGTATGTGTGTTTCTTTGTCATTTGTGTGTGTGTGTGGGCTTGTCTGTGTGTATCTGTGTGTGTGTATATATGTCGGCTTGCTCGCTCGCTCGGCTGCCTGCCTGCATGCCTGCTGCCTTCCTTTCTTCTTCCTTTCTTTCTTCTTTCTTCCTTGCATGGTTGCTTTGACGTGATGTGGTTTGTTCGCTTTGTGTTTGATTTGGTTTCGCTGGTTTGTTGGACGGTCGGTTGGTTGATTCTGCGATTGGTTCCGCATTTGTTCTTTGGCTGCGTATGTATGTTGAGCGAGTGAGTGTGTGTGTGTGTGTGTGTGTGTGTGTGTGTGTGTGCAGTCAGGTTTCATGTTTGTGTGGTCGTGCATTTGCAGGTGTATCATGGACCTAGACCTGCCGCCATCGTTGAGCATCGACAATCACGAGAGGCGGGCGGGGAGGACTCTCCAGCAAACGACCTCATGTATATTGGGGGTCAATCGGCAGCCCGCACATTAGCTCAGCTGATTGGACATGGTAGACTGAGAGTGGGGAACAACGGCATTTTGTCCTTTTGCCTGTGGCCGGATAGTGTGTACATGCGATAGCCATTGTTTTGCCCAGGGCCCAGGGTTCGACGGACGCTCTGAGACTCCATTCATCGGCGGTTGGACAGAAGAGAAATGACGAGGCGTTTGGTTGATTGGCCCTGGCCGTTGCTGTGAAAACACTCCATTGCTTCCAATTATTTTACAAGTGTCCGCCTCTTATTGTGATTCAACTTGACTCGCCTTTTTGTCATCTATTATTATTAAGTATTACCGTGTGTGTTCTGAACATTGCAAGTTCTCAAGTCAATCGACAGTGCACTGGTAACTTACAGCGACAATCATTGCTAGGACTCGTTGCAAAGCAAAGGTCCCAAGCCATGTTTGATGAGATGAGCCTTTTAGTTCCACGCCATTTGGAGCATGGATATATATGGCGATGCTTCACTTCCATATTCTCATGTTCGCAAAGAACCGAAGGACATGGATATATGTTTTGTATCGTCCTAGCTCTTACGGCTTTGACTTCCAGTTGCCCTGAGATGGTTTTTGGGACAAATGGTGAAATGCCCCACACGGCTTCTGTAGACTTTAGACCTTTTGGCCCCAATACTCAGATGCGGCCTTTTTCGGGCAGCCTTGACAACCATGGGCCCATGGGACTTTCTGGGGTCGCCTGCAATGTTTCATGCTAACCCAAGACTAAGTCAACAGGCTTAACGCTCCCCCTTGAGAAACCCAGGTTTAAGCCCCAAGGTTCTCTAAACCTCCAAAAAACAACAAACGCATGTTGGCAGGTTGCTCCTTTTGTCGTTTGGTTCTCTAAACCTACCAACAAAAAAAACCGTCCCCCAAAAAAGCCGTTTGCAGGCTCAGGAGGAAGCCCCAAGGCTCCCGAAACCTCCCGGGTTTTTCCCTTCTCGCAGGCCGACCAAGGGCTCCTACGGCTTCCATGACGGCCTGCACAACCTGCTCTGGAAGGGTGTGCCTTGTCCGATCGGACCTACTCTCTTGGTAGCTGGGAGGGCCCTTATTTCAGGGGCCAGAACGAGCGCCATCAGATTTTGAGCACAACAAGGATCCTCAACTCAGTTGCCTTCACGCCAATGCTTTTCGACTATGAACCGCCTATTCCCCAAGCCCGAATGGCCAAATTACGTCGGTCGATGATCCTGATGGGGGTGCTATCGCGAAATGATGTCACACAGCACGCGATGCCAGCTACAGTCACATACGCACACCCACCGCGTCTTCGTTCAGCCACCAACTGGGCCAAACAGAGGAATAGTGACTGACGAAAAGCTGTTTGTTAATACAAGCCCCCACACTCACCTGGCAAACTAAATTGACAGACAATAAGTACACTTGTGCCCACCTCGCGTGCACAACTCTTTGAGAAGAAAGCCGCTATCGCCTCCACCATTGGCTTACCAGGACACCAAAACGACTTGGGTCAAACTCTCCTCAATGACTTCAGCCGTCCCCCAAACCTGAAGTACAAACAAACCTTGGGAGGCCATGACTAAAGATAGCGGTCCGAACTGGAATTAGACACATGTCCAAAGGTCGATACGATTTAAGCCATGAACATGCGGGGGGGGGGGGCAACTACGTTTAACTCTTCCCCGTTTAATCTTTCCCCAGGTGAGTAGTATTCTGGCTCCCAACCCGATAGAGACCAAGAAGTGGCAACCTTCGCGACTCAAAATCAAAAGGTGCCAATATTCAGTACATCTGGACCCTCCGGCGGCAGGCCTTTCTGCCGAAAGGCCCCGGCGGCACAAATGTCCGCCGCAAACCCAAAAAACACAGTCCGCGAGAAAAAAAGACACCGAAACGCAATAAGCACTCCGACATGCTGAAACCATCTTCGCTAGGCACGCAAAAGGAGCGCGACCTGCATTGCGAGGAGGTCCCAGAGCTATGTTTGCTTTCGCCGGGTCCATCGCGGAGCAAGCACATAAAGTCAACGTGTCCCCTTCATATGACTCCCCCATAGCAGCAACCTGCTTTACGGGGATGAAACTATAGGCACCCTTTGAAAGGCTGAATTGTTTTTTGTTTGTTGTTTGTTTGTTTTTGCACACGCCCTCCAAAGCAGTCGCAACCAATTTGTTTTCCCCGCGCCTTCGTATGGATCTGAATGAACTTCCTTCACCCGAAGATGTTTCGAGTATGACGGTCATTGCACCAAAGTGGGCTTTAGAGAGAGAGAGAGAGAGAACAACAGCAAAAATCAAAGAGAGGGCATCATGCAGCTCCAACACGTGATAAGATATGCCGTTGACAAACTGTAGGTCACACAAAACAAGCCCCTAGCCAGTTAGCCCAACACCTGCCGACTTGGAGTCAGCCAGTGAGGATCGAACCACGGATAAGGACGACCTGGTACAGCCTGGCATCATTCAGCTGGTCCAGAGCTCGGGTCCTGTCCGTTGAATGCATCTTTCCCAATTTGAGGAGCTGACCTGCGGGTAAAGCGAGAAATTCAGCCATGCAGGTCCTGTTGGGGGTCCCTTCTTTCAGGTGAACATGTAGAATCTGAAGATCCGGCACTTTAGCCGTCCTGATCCGTGTTGCCATGTTGTGTGCTCGGCTCCAAAGGAGGTTCTGGCCCACCGGCCATCCACGGCCGAGAACGTGGTAGTTGTGTGCTTAATCAGGGAGCTCTGGGGGTTTTAGGCAGCTTTTAGACAGCAAAACAGCCCGATGAATCCGGTTACTTGTATGAGATCCTCCCGAGAAGGGCTGTCAAGGTTTACTTGAAGCACGGCGCTTGCCACAAACTTGCCGCATTATTTCCTAAAACATGTTTGTTTCATGCAAGTTGCACGAGTGGCAGTGCATTTCAAGCTTCGGATCTCTTATCGCATGCAGGCATTGATACCCGGGAATGTCTATGGTTTGCCCGAGTCAGTGGATCCAACATCACCATTAGGTAGTTGGAGTAGCGGACACCCCTGAAGTTGTTCCTCATTTTCTTTTAATGCGGTTTCTTCAGGCGTAGAAACTCCTTTGGATTGAAAGGTGGTCTTGTTGAACTCAAAAGAACCAAACAAAAATTTTCAAGGCCCGTGGCCAGAAGGTTGAGTTGTTTTTTGCTTTTCTTTTGCAGCCAAACTTGTAGCCTTGGGTCGAATGGGCGCACTTCATTGAATTAGAAGTCACCTTAGGCCCTGAGGTGCTAACAAACGGAGAGTGGTTGGTGGACCTGAACCCCCACCTAAATGATGGCCAAAGGGTCCCTTATTCCAATTCATACCCGTGTGTACCATCTTGGAATCCATTTATTAGGATTCAGTTGCCCAAAGCGAATCGACCTTTTGACCTTGTGGTTTTCCCATGTCGGTCCACTTTTTAGCAAAAGGTCCCAAAAGGTGATCACCTTGTATTTCCAGGTCAATCGGCTCCCTCTAAAATTGGCTGGTTATACTAGTTTGCTAAATGAATTCGAAGACGCAAAACCCACACACACTTCTCCCTTTCTTCTTCGGGCTGAGAGGATCCCATTGATCAGAAAGTCGGGATCCACGGGCCTCCGCGGCGTTTTGTTTTTTGCGCTCAGGAGCTTCGTGTGGGGCAGCTCTACGTCTTTCCGGACTGGGCCGGTCAGCTCAGGGGAAAGACGTAGCCGATCTGTGGAACCCAACAAAAACGGTCCCTCAAAGTTACTTGCTGGGGCCTTGTTTTGTTGGGTTCCATAGTTGATTCCTCTAAACATGAAGCTTTCTTTTGTTCTATGCGATTCCGGGGCATATCCCTAGGGTTCAACCCCATTAAAGGAAAGGCAAAGACCGACAATCCTGAACGGTAAAGCACTGGTGCTAATATGAGCCCAACCATTGTTTTAATGGTGGCAACTGAACCCCAGGGGAATTCTGTGAAGCTTCCGAGCCTTCCGACTTTCTATTTGCGTAGTCCGAGAGACACAAACCAAAAGACGCTGCTGGGACTTGATGTTTTTTTGAGTAAGAGCATGTTTGGCAAACGGAACAGGTGGTTCTTCTTTTTTTCCGGGGCAATCGCATCCGGAGGTGTGAGTGAACCAAAATCGACTCATGGGCCATTGGCGACCCGAACAAGAGCCATCTATGTTTGCGCTCGTTGGAAACCCTTTTTTGGAAATGTTCTTTTGGAAAGCCTTGGTGGTTACTGGTAGTTTGTCATTTTCCGTGATTGAAGGCTCCCTTGATTTTTAGCCAAAAGGGACATTAAACAGCAACCCCTACGTAGCTTTCTCTGTTCCTGGCACATGTAACTACCTGCTATGCGTACATCGAACGAGTTCTGAGGCCTCAGCGCAAGTAGAAGGGCACAGGCCAGGATCTGACTTTTGGTGGCAGACACCCGCCAACAATGAAATTCAGGCAGCAAACAGCAGACCGCAATCGGTCATTCCTGAATGGTGAACACAGAGTCGGTAGCCCCAGAGGCGAATCCACGTGTGCATCAACTCGTGCTTTTCAGGCGTTGCAGGCATGCGTGGAGTAGATCACTCTCTCTCCCCGCTGCATGAATGTGTTCTCGGTTAGGCTTCATCAGCTCATGGCTGGGGAAGCTTTGCTTCCGATGTCTCAGCCAAAAAGTTGCTCCCAAGAAGTCATCCGGAGTCCCAGGTGCAGACCATCACCTACCCATTTGAGGGCCCAGGCCAGCGCCGGTGGATCGCAGCGACCGTCGCCCTGACCGAAAAGTGACGCAGATTGGCGAGGGCCCGGCCTCGAAAACCGGCCTCGCCAGGGGGTTTTGGTGGTGACGTCCATGGGTTTTGGTGGTGTTCTGACGTGTCAAGGAGAACTTGGGGTGCCCTGAAAGGAATTGATAGGACAGATCAAAGAAAGCCAATCCAGTCAAGTCCGCAAGTGCAGCCAGTCAGTCGGTCAGTCAATCAAGCAATCAGTCTGTCAGTCGCTGAGTCAACAGAACCCGGAAATGGTCATTTTGTGTTTGGGCTTACAAAGTTTGCCATTTCTAGGCACAGCGCCACCCTGTTATGGTCCTCCATTCAGGAATATCAGAGACCATTCTGTCTAGTCATAGTTGACTATGGATTGATGAATTGATGGTGGACTGTGGACTGATCGATTGATCGGTTGGCTGGCTGACTGACTGACTGACTGACTTCCTGACTGACTGTTTTGATTGATTAGCTTGGCTTGGCTTGGATTGGATTGATTGATTTGGTTACATTGATTGATTCCCAGGCTGGGATCCACAATTTTATAGGTTCCCCGCATCTTGAGTTTTGAGTTGTTGAAGCTGCCACGCAGTGCTTAAATCCTAGTTTGCAGTTTCAATCGGGTACCCTTGATTGAACCGCGAGCTCCATGCTGGATGGCCGGTGTGCCACTCAGCTATCCGCCAACCATGAGCATCAGGACATCAAGCACTTGGAAGGCAACAGTAGGCGATTCGCGCCTCTTTGATTGAGTCTCGGCAAGGATGCCGTGACATTGTGCAGCAATGGTTGACTTGCAGTCAGGTTTTTGGTACCGCCTGGTTCTCAGCGGCTAAGGACTGCCTCAGTGGCTTCAGACCCCCAACGGATTGGCATTGCAGGTCCCTCGGGCTCAAGGCGCGGCAAAGAATTCTCGCCAAAGTGCTGCGGGAGTCCGCGTGGATGGCGTCGGAGGCGCCCTTGGATGTTTTCAAAATCCAGCACGGTTCGATCTTCGACACGAGAAACAAACGTTATGCGGGAGGATTGCCAACACCCTTGATGGGTCAGGTTCAACGGAGGTATGCCATGGGCGCTGAAAATGAACCTTACTTTCAGTGCGATGTTTTCAAAGATTCTGAACAACTAGTTCCAAGTGTCGAATGGTCGCGGGTCGCAGCCGTTCACCTTGGCGTCGAAGCAAATCACCCAGGGCGAGGAGTGGCAGCCTCGAGATCCGCCTTTCCCCTCGGAGGCGCTGAGGCGGGGATGTGCGGAGTGAGATTTGCGAGGGGTCGCGGCCCTTCCTCCCCCCTTCCTCGCAAAACGGGGCAGGGAAGCTGATTTTGGTTGGGTCAATGGAGGAAGGGGGCATCCAAACCCGGATGTCCCGTTCCTGGTCTTTTGTTTGTTTTTGGGAGGGTAATTGTGTCACTGAGGGAAGGGGTTCTGTGCCTGGCTGGATACGATTGAGCCTCAAGATCCTCAAGCTTGGAGCCCCTGAAAGGAAACCTGATAGTTCTCACAAGTTATTGATTGGTGTTGCGTTTTGTTGACAGTACCTCTTTCGGGTTTTGAAGGGTCGCCAAGGAGAAAGCCACTGCTTTGGAGCTCCCCAATTCTAAGACACCCAACAGATTGGCCCTTTACGACGGCAACTTGCCGCTTAGAGGCAAGCGCAAACGGTGGCTTTCGAAAGGACCACAGAGTGTGTGTGTGTGTTTTTTTGTTTTTTTAATGGACCCTTTGAGAAACCAACACGGGCCGAACAATTTCTATCCTGTTGTCCCTATGACAGGTCTGCTATGTACCTTGCAACCCCAGAAGCATTTTGGCGCTGGTGGTAATCGGTTCTCCTTGCTTCTTGTGGTGGAGCAGTGGTTTTATGGGAAGAGGGTCTTGCGTGTTTACATTGAACGATTGTGGATTGGTCTCAAAAATAATCGCTGGTCTAGGCCCCGCATCCATGCGTGTTGAGCGGTCCATTTTCACGGGATGAGGTCCATATTTGGGTTTATCTTCTTTTGAAGAAACGTTTGGGGTGGTTCCAAAGGAAAGGCGGGCCTAGGAAGTTCTGAACCGGGCGTTGTTGCAACCATTGCGCTGGCCTTCAGGTCACAGAGACGATGGGAAAAGAAGCGGCACAGTCTAGGCGGGATCTTGGGTGCGTTGCAGGCAGATGTCATGTTGGTTTTGGACCTTGCTTGTCCATCGAGCAGACAATTCGCACCCACAGCACAATTGGCCTGAATGAAGGGTTGCATGAGCATCCTGCGCCATATTCTGATGAATACTGGCTAGCAATGGCCTTTCTTTTAGATACACATTCTGCAATCGGAAAATGAAGAAAGTAGATGCATTTGCCACAGCTTGGTCTATGTTTGCTCGTATCTCCCCCACGACAAAACACACCTCACGGAAATTCGACGCTGGCATCGTGTGTTGCAATTGAGCAGAAGCAGAAGCACTTATGCACGGCCACAACCGTTTCAACAGTTGTTTTAATGGGTGTCCCCGCTTACCTGTACCTTTAAATCAACCAAGACAGTGTGCCCCTGCTAAGTGATTGACATGATGAGCCCCAGTCCACGGCGGGTTCCCTTATTTGCTTTGACGTCATGCGCGCAAGCTTGTCTTTTCAATAAAGCATCCATTTGGCCAATTGTAGTGCGAGCTCACGCGGGGGTGAAACGAGCTCAGCATGATGTAGGCCCTGGGGACCCCATATTTCAGGTTTCGGAATAAAGAAGGTATTGATATGGGCGGTTCTGGGGGTAACCTCCTTTGTTTGCTAGAATAAAGAGCTGTTAAACCCAAAGGGAATCTATCACTGCATTCACGTTCATGTTTCCTGGGGGGTTCAGCAAATCGAGGGCTACTAGGCAAGTTTGAATGACCAAAGGGCGCTTGATCCAGTCCTTGATTTCTTCAACTCCAGCCAGGCGGTTCACAGCCGCCGTGGCAGGGCACCCGGGGTGGCATCGCGCGCTGGCTGGCTGGCTTGCTTGCCTTGTTGTTTGCGTAGCTCGTGTGTATCGTGGTTGGTCAGGGTGTGGGATCAAGGGGTTTATCCCCGCATGCATTACATGAGGGGTTAGTCTTTGGAAAGCCCTTTCTGTTGTATCGCCCTGTTGCTGGTTGTTTGGCAAGTTGGGTTTGATGGTGTAGCGGGTTGTTTCGTTGCGCTTTGTTTGATAATGTTGACCCAGATTCATCAACCCCAGTTTGTTAATCACGAAAGCTAGCTTTAGCTAGCTGAAGTTTCTCCTTGCGTAAGCAAGGTAAGGGGCTCAAATGCCGAAAGATTGATTTTTTCAATTATTTGAGCCGAAAAGATTGAAACACATCAATTATTTAGACCCCCCCCCCCCTCCCCCCCCCCGGTCTCAGGCTCGATTCCTCCTTGGTCCATCCCCCCCCCCCCCGGGCAGTGGCTCAGTGTTCAGCAGTCTCGGTTTGCCCGTTTTGGACTTGGTGCTACGAACTTTTACATGTTCCACCGATTCAGCTTGTTCATTTGAGACCTCAGTCTTCTCGGTAAACCACCTCGCAAGAATCTTTGCACACGCAGCATGCAGAACCCAGAGGTGCTTTAAGACAGCTTCTGACGCCTCTCGTTGTTTTCATTTTTCAAGGTTTGCCACGCCACCATGTGCGTTTGCGTGTCGCATCCTACGAATCTTGCCGGGCCTCTCGTTGTACACAAGCTACCTATGAATCCACTCTGTCACCGACCCATCTCATGCAACAACTGCTAGCTTTCGTTCACCCGCTCCTCAAGTAGGGTGTCCATTTCTGGATTTAGTGGTTGGAATCAAACCTTTTTTTGGAGGGGCCAAAAAGCACCCCGCTATGAATAGACTGGTTGGTTGATTAATGTGGGGTCAAAATTAGGCTGCGCTTCGTTCTCGCGCAGTGTCCTTGGACCATCTCCCCGTGTCGTCCGGTGCCCTTCCCGTGAATGGACATGGCTGTGGCTCAAAAAAGTGGTACCAATGGCACCTTGGTACATGGAGCCAAAGACTGAAACCCGCGTAAGTAACCCCAGCTATTTAATTTTGAGCCATACCCACATGGCAGATTTTACGGATACATCAGATACGTCATATCAATCCTTGACTCGCCAGCATTGGGCAAGATTGGCTTAAACCACCACACCCTGGCCGCATTTCAATCAGGATCTTGTCTGGCAGGTTCGCAGTAGGGAATGTGGGAGTGAACCCAGGATTCCCCTGAAAGGAAACCGCAAGGGATCTAATATAAGGGTCATGCACTCATTCCCTGCTGAGCACCGGCAAGTTGTTGAAACGGGCTGGATGGAGCCTCTGGGCCCGTGGCCCACGTTGCACAAATTTCCCCCGAGGCCAGATCTATGGCAGGCCCAGTGCCGTCGAAGCGGGTGGAGTGTCTACCTGATTTGTTCCAAGTCTGGCAGATAGCTCCTTCCCGATGTGTGTGTGTTTCTCAGTTGTTTTCTTTCCACCCAATCTGTCACCTGACCGGCCAAGATGCGTCATGGATTGTTTGGACGCCTTCACCCTAGCTGCTGTATGGGCAACTGTGAAATGTTGATTGGTGCGGATATCGCGCCATCGAGCCATTGCAGGCAGATGATGTGTCCTTGGATTGGTTGCGGGGCTTTCTGGCCAAGTACAGGAGCCCTGGGTGCAGGTGTGCACATGTCGGTTGCCGCACTTAAGACGACCTTGCTGAACCTATTTGATGCTGGTTGCAAAGACCTCTCCGTTTCATGAGGGGATGTGTCGGATTGAGGGACCGGAGTGTTTTGCCCTGGATGAGGGCTTGTCATGTCGGGCCTGCTCTCAGATGTGGTTGAATCAAGCAAGATGTTATGCATTCTCATGCAGACACAGAGCACGGGGCATGTGAAATGCGGGAGAAATGCTGCGTTTTGTTGCTTTGGCTCGATGAGGGCAAAGCGGCAAAGCAGGGCCCTGCTTTCGAGGACTGTGGAGATGGTGGCAACCAGGTCAGCAGGACTTCCTGAGCCGTTTGAATGTCAAGCAGAGGTCCCTTACATCGATAGCTTGGTCCAACAGGTCAGCGGCTTCAGGCCCAAAGAGAGCACAGAGGTGTTTGACGTGGCCTTAACACTGGTTGGGTCAGTTTGGTGATCATTGTATGGCTTGGCCTGCACGAACGTTGGGCTGCTTGCTTGCTTCGGGAGCTTGAAGCAGCTGCGGGCGCTGGCAATGGCAATGAAGCTTGCACCAGGGGAATGAAGGTGGCAAGGCTCAGGCGTTCCCGCATGTTTTTGTATAGCAGTTGCACGGCTGCGCCGTTCAAAACACTAAAAAGCTTTGACAAAGGCTTGCCTGGATGGCCCACGGGCTGAGCAAAGGAACCGATCAGGGATGGTCCTAGATCTATGTTTCGCTTGGAGCCTAGAGCAGGTGGTGGGAATGTGGGTCTAGCGCAAATGATATATTCTTCCTTACCAGCACCTCACATAGTTCATAATATTGGTATGTGGTATACGGTATACCGCGCTGGTGCCTGCTGGGTGGGTGTGCAAAAACCGGAGGGGTGGGCGGATTATGTCATATTACATGGGATTTCTTAACATAGGGGTCCCCTGTTTGCATGGGTTTTAAGGAGAAACCAAGAGGAACCAACTACTTGACGAGGTTCCCGATTCTGATAAAAAACAAATAAAAAAAATCAGAAGCCCTGCTGGAAGAAGCTATTGACAACTCAAGCATGAAGCCCACTCCGGGCACAAATGCCAGGACGTGAGAGCAGCCGACGAACACGAGCAGCACACCCAGATTCATTGGGAATGTGCAACAGCGAAAGCTTCCCCTTGATGATTTGTTTGTGTTTCTTTTCGACAGCTTCCCCTAAAGCTTGTCTCTTTTTTTCTGATAAACAACAACAATAATAGGCAAAACAACCACTTGGCAGATTCCTCCGGCTTGACAAGAACCAAAGCCTTGGCCTACTCAATGCTTGGTAATTCACTTTAGAGACATGAGCAAATCCCAGAGTTTGTCCTTGGAGCATTTTGTTGTTGTGGAAGCACCACAGGTGCTGAGGGACAAAGAGTGTAGCATGAATAGGGTGGTGGGCGGGCCTCAGTCGGGCCCAAGATTGCTGCAATGTTTTTCCATATGGTTTTCCTCCTCGCGGTCAGCTATGGTATTTCCATCGGTCGAGCACTCCCAGGGCATGACCTCGGTTTCCTCCATCCTGCGCCACTACGCGGTGAGCGGCGAGCTGTGGAAGGCATTCACCTTGGAGGTTGGGGACCCGGGGGAGGACCTGCGGTTGTTGGCGGCGCTCCCGCGGAATATCGTGGCGTTGGGGTGCGAGGCTGCGAGTGTCGGGGGTCAGAACATGTCTGCGATCCAAGCTTCCCAAGTGGGGTTGGTATACAGACTGGCGAGGAGGCAGATCCACATCATGGGAGGCGGGGATTTGCAAACCTGGGAGGATCCGAACCCATGGGAGGACACGGGCGGCGACAGCACAGGGAAATCAACACCGGCACCAACATTCGGCGTGGCGGGCAAGGTCATCGAGGAGAGGAAGTTGAAGATGTCAGCAATCCTGGACCAGGGAGACGACAGCGAGTTCATGGTCGGGGACCCGGTCCAACAGGTCACCTGGACCCAGCGGTACGTGGAGGCGATGGGAGGACTTCCACCAGAAGAAGAGGAACCGACCTTGGAACAGCTGGCGGCTCTGGACAGGAGGGTTCGCGTGAACGGACTCAGCCCCTACGCGGATTTTGGAGTTTTCCTGCCGTATGGGAGGAAGGTCTTGAGGAACAACAAATTCAGGACATGGATTCCCACGGGGGATGGCTCCTTCACGTGCCGAGAACTACCAGGCCCCCAAAACTTCCAACAATGGACGGCGGCTTACCGCGTGTACAGCCGCGCTAATCATGTTGGGGTTGGTGAACCTGTCCAACTTGATCCTCTACAGCAACTTGATCGAGAAGTTCACCAGGATGTTCCCGGCAGCCTGGCACTTGGTGGTCAAGGCGGACGACCTGGCCAGGTCGGAGCAGTGGCTGCGAGTGAGGAACAGGGTGAAGATGTTGGTGAGCCAGGGTCAGCCTCCCCCTCCAGGCTGGACAGAGGCATCCGAGTGGAACTTCACCATCGGGGCCATCATCGGGGACGAGAAGTTCTGGAGCGAGCAGATTCAGCAACCAGCGCTCTCCTGGCTGGCCCATGGAGGAAGGGGAGTAGCACTAACGCCGTCGGAGAAGATGGTGGCAAACCACGTCGTGGGAGGTCAGGCGGCGTTGGAAGGCGACGTGGGCATCACCACACCGAGATCGAAGAGGAGGAGGAGAAGGTCAAGGGAAGGAGAGGGAGAAGTGAGAGAAGCCCCCAAAACCCCTGCAAACAAACCGAAAAAGGGCAAAGGGAAAGGGAAAGATGCTGCTGGGGAAGAGTTGTGCTTTGCATGGAACAATGGGAATGGGGCCTGTGCAGGGCTGGCACCTGGGGAGGCTTGCAAAGGGAAGGTTGCAAGGTTGCACAGGTGCACCGGGTGCGGTTCTCCAGGCCACCCCAGCAAGAGCTGCCCGAAGTCAGGGGGCAAGTGACTTATGGGCTCAAGGATAGAGCCCATCGGCTCGACATGGCGGAGGACGCAAAGGCTGAGCTGGAGAAGTACTTCAAGGAGAGAGTGTTCACCTTCGTACACCACTACTCAGGGGAGGTGGACAACCTGGGCAAGGCGGTGGAGGAGGTAGCAGCCGAGCAGGGCGTCCGGGTGAACACCATCGCAGTGGACCGGGCTAGTGGGGACCTGCTGGAAACCCAGCCTTACGGGCAGCACATGGCTCTGGCTACGCGCGGTGGCATCGATGGATATCACTCGGGACCGCCGTGCAGCACTTTCTCCAAGCTCAGGTGGCGGACTGAGAAAGGATGGCCAGGTCCGGTGAGGTCGAAGAGTAGGCCTTACGGCTTGGAGTCGAATGCCACGGCACAGCAGCGTGAGGCCGATGAAGGGACGCTACACGCCGCTCGGTCGGTTCTCATGTGCAGGGCGGTGATCACCTCGAGGGCACATCTGGGAAAGAAGAACACAGCATTCGCCACGCTGGAGAACCCCCCTGAAAGTGATCACCCAGAACACCTATCGATCTGGGAGCTGGCGGAGGTAAAGGAGTGGCTGGCCGGGGACGAGATTAAGAGGGTCAACTTCAACACGTGCGGCTACCAGGAGGACGTAAAGCTGGGCGACCGCTACTGGAAGATGCAGTCCTTCGCGGGTAACTTGAAAGGCCTGGCTACCTTGGCGAGACTGTGCAACTGCGGCGGCCAGGGCCACGTCCCTGTGGTGGGGAAGGAGAGCACGAAGGCCGCAGCTTACCCGAAGGCACTATGCCGGAAGTACGCGGAGCTAGCAATCAACCACTTCAAGTGGCTGGGCACCATGGAGTGGTTGGGGAGCAAGGAGACCAAACTAGCGGCGGAGTTGCAGGAGTTGAAGAGCGGCGTGAGCCAAGCAACCTCAGAGGCTTGGGTGGAAGGCGGAAGGAGGTACGGGATGCACGGGAAACCAACGGAGAAGGACCCACCGGACGAGTACTGGGTTGGGGGCATGAGGAACCCAGCCAGGGCAGTCCGGAGCCTTCCCACATTGAGGGCACTGGGTAAAAGATTGTGGGCATGTTGGTTGCAGTTTCTGGAGGAGCAACCGCAAGCGCTGGAGGCGGCGAAGGGCTATGGTTGCGCGGGCGGCGAGCTCAACGAAGGCACAGTGGAGCTGTGGAACGGCTGCCTCACAAAGGCATTGGGGCTCAAGGGCAGCGAGAAGAAGCCAGGCAACGAGAACCTCCTGTACAGGTCCCCGGTGGATGTGGATCTTCTGGAGGCATGGCAGAAGCAGGGAGGGGACCCGGAGGTGCACGTGATGGACTGGCTTCGATGGGGAACCCCGCTCGGCATTGCCAAGGACATCCCAGTGTGCAACATTTTCCCCAAGCACACGGACTTGGAGGTAAAAGACGAGGGCATCCCAGATGATCAGGACATAGGAGACCTTCCCTACACCAACTACAAGTCTGTGTTGGAGAACGCGGAGGACGCGGAGATCGAGGTGGGCAGGTTCAAGGAGAAGGGGTACATCCAGGAGCTCACCCAGAAGGAGGCAGCGGAGAAGTTCGGGAGGGGTACAGTCAGCCGGATGGGGCTGATCATCAAAGAAGTCACTCAGGTGGGATCGGACAACCAGATCACCACCAAGAAGAAAAGGAGACTGATAGTGGACCTGAGGAGGTCCCTGGGGAACGACAAGTGCGTGGTCCCGGAGCGCATAGTCCTGGCACGACCCGTGGATGTCGTCGAGTCGGCAAGGCACATGGTGGACAAAGGACAGCGACTGGCGTGGGACAAGGAAGGGGACTGGGACATGGAGGGCGTCACAGTGGACGTTTCGGACGCATTCCCACACCTGCCAACGCACCCAGACGAGCACGCGCACTGTTTGGTGCCGGGCTTGCAGGAAGGCATCCTGGGACTGTTCGTGGCCCTGCAGTTCGGCTTGAAGGCGGCGCCACTGCTGTGGGGAAGGTTGGCAGCTATGTTGGGTCGCCTGCTCCAATCCATGCTGGATGACAGGCTGGCACAGTCCCAGATCTTCTTCGACGACACGCACTGGATCATGCAGGGCACGGCGCGCATGAGGGAGGAGATGATAGCGGTGGTGCTCTACACCATGGCGGCCTTGGGGGTCAAGGTCTCCTACGGCAAGGGCAGGAGGGGCGCCAGAGTGAAGTGGATTGGCACACACTTCACCTACGCCCTGGCAGAGGGCAAGGTCTACCTCAGCGTACCGGAGGAGTTCCTGGAGGAGGTCATGGGCATCCTTAAGGACTGGGGAAAGAGGGGCCGGGTGGGCGTGACGGAGGTCAGGAAATTGGCAGGGAAGACATCCTGGATGGCGGGCATCGTGATCAGAGCCAGATGGGCGGTGTCTTCAATCTATGCCACGCTCACCGGCCACTTGAAGGATGTCCAGAGCGGAGCGGAAGAACGCCGGAGGGAACACAGGCGAGACTCCAGGTTGAAGGATAACTTGGTGCCGGTGTCACGCATGGAGGTGGCGCTGCAGTGGTTGAAGAAGGTGGTGGCGTACAAGGAGGCAACCCCCACCACGGCATGGACGCTGAGGCCACTACCAGCGGTCGTCACCATCACCACGGACGCATCACCCTGGGGAATGGGAGCTACCTTGGCCATCAATGGGCACATCTTGCGGTCTGTGGCTTCGGATGTGACGAAGGAGGACACGGAGCGCATGCAGGTGCCCTACGGCGAGGCAGCCTCCCAAGGCGCGATGGAGGCACTGGCGGTGTGGGTGGCATTGGACCATTGGAGGAATCAGATCAACGGCAGCAAGTATAACATCACGCTGAGGTCGGACTCAGTGGTGGCGCTGGCGGTGACGGGGAAGCTGGCGTCATCCACGCCCGGGCTGAACTGGATAGCGGCAGAGCTCACCATCATCTTGGAGGTGACCGGGCTGGAGAGGTTGGAGGTCAAGCGCATCCCGGGCAAGATCAACACGAGGCGGACTACCTGTCCAGGATGTCGGCGCCGGGTGGAGGCGGCGCCATGCCCGCCTCGCTGACTAAGGTGAGGATCCAAACCGCGCGCAAGCGCGACGGGACTAGTTTTTCGTTCCCCTCACCGGGCGAAAAGCCTGGGATGTGGGGGGGCAAAGGTGAGGTCCGCAGGCATTCCCTCTGGGACGCCGTGCGTTGATCCTGGTCAGGCCGCTACAGCGGGGGCCACAGACACATACCGCGGGCGTTGAGCCAAAAGGAAGGGCTCACGTCAGGGCGGTTAAAGGGAGGTCAGGGCTTTTCCCCCCCCTTTTTCTTTTCCCTGTTCTCCAGGCTTGAGGTCAAGGGGGGGGGGGGGTTTGGGTGTCGCAGATGTAAGGACATGTCAAAGGGAGGATTCCTGATGCAGGCACCGAGGAGGGTCAATGGAGTTGGTTCACTACAACGAAGCCCCTCCTGTGGAGCCATGGATCCCGGACGAAGGCTGGGGTCTTTTCGAGACTATAGTGGTCTTGGCATGCATCGGCACCTTCGTCATCGTGCGGGGCATTTGGCAGCTGGGAACCTGGTACAGGAGGGCAGCTCGGCCAAAACCAATGTGGGCATCCTGCCCAACGGCATCCAGGTACGAGGCGGGGAAGCAGTGGGTGGAAGGCCTGAACAGCATCCACCTGTCGCGGAGTACACCAACACCTCCCAGCACTCCCAAGGCTACATTCTCGCGGGGTACCAGTGCGGCGTCCAGGGCGAGAATCATGCAGGAGATGATGAAATCACCCACTATCCAGGCTCCACAAAGGCAATCAGGGAACGAACCCACGAAACGAAATCGCGGGGTCACCTTGGACAAGCTGGTCAGGCGACCCAGAGTAATAAGGTGACGGAGCCAGGGGACGCAAGGGTGGCCGGCTGGCTGCCCATCCGGAACTACGTGGGCATGGGAAAGGAGTTCATCCGGCGCTACCAGCAGGGTTACCAGCAGGGTGGAAACCGAGACGGGCAAGACCTGGGGCAAAAGAAGCAGAATAAGGTATTCCTGCTCAGCAGGGCCCGGGACAGGGACTTCAGCATGAACTTGGACAAGGACATCATCAAGGGCATGGGCAGGAACTTCATGAAGGGCACGTTCACCCGGGACAGGGACGTAGGCATGAGCTTGGACGGGGACATCACCAAGGGCTGGGGCAGGAACTTCATGACTTCGTCAAGGGCATGGTTAGGGACGTCCGGAAGGGCACGTTCTCAAAGGACACGCAGGGGGGCGTCAGGAAGAGAAGAGGGGAGGCGCTGGAGGAGAGCCGTGTGGGGAAGCTCACAGGGCGGACCGTGAAGGTGGAAGGAGACAGGGAAACAGGGAGGGCAAGGCCAGGATCCTTTAGAAAGGCCAAAGCCATGCTGAAGGGCCCGCTCAGGAAGGGCATGGTGGAGGGCTTGAGGCGAAATTTTATAGCGAAATCCACCAGGAAGGCAAAAGATAGGAAACGGGCCGTGGTTATGGAGTTGGCGGGGCAGGCAGTGGGAGGAAGAGGAGAAGCCATTTTCCCACTGAAGGAGGACACGGTCGTGACGGTGGCAGCTGCCCTCAAGGAGGCCAACTACAAGTCGGCGGACACGTACCTGGCGGAACTGAGGCAAATGCAGGTGGAGAAAGCCTACCCACTTGAACCATGGCTACTCCTCACATTCTCCAGATGCGTGAGGGCCGTAAGGAGGGGGAGAGGACCAACGTCGAGGGCGCCGGAGTGGAAGCTGGAGGAGGCAGCGGAGGGCAAACGGGTGAACTTTGCTGTGGCGGAGGGCCCGGTGTTAGCCAAGTCCTGCTACCTCATCGCGGCGCTGTGGATGCTCAGGGAGGCGGAGCTAGCAAACCTCGTCGGAAAGGATTTCCTCGTGAATAGTTCCAAGAAGGCAGTCACCCTCAGCATCAGGAACTCCAAGACAGACCAGGAAGGGGAAGGCACGAGACGTACCCTGGGATGCTGCGGGGAGAGGATATGCGTACAGGTGTGCCCCTACAAGGTGGTCACGGAGGCCTTGGAAAACCTGGGAGTCTTGGCGGAGAGGGTGAACAAGGAAAAGTCTCACATAGCCTTGGCGGTGGACAAGCAGGGGAAAGCCTGCAGCAAAAGGGACACCGTGGAGGCTTGGGCAAAGCTGGCCGGGAAGAAGGTGAACGGGCACTCCGCGAGAAGGTCAGGGGCTATGCACCACACAAGGATGTGTATGGACATCAAGACGGTGGCGTACTTGGGGAGGTGGAAGTCCAGCGTGGTGTATACCTACGCAGAGGAGGCCTTGGAGGAGATGCCCATGAACAAAGTAGGCGGCGGAGCGGGAAAGCAGCCACGCATGTGGCTCACCAAGAAAGACTTCACGGCCCTCAAAGAGAAGGTGGAAGCGCTGGAAAAGGAGAGGGATCGGGAAGCTGAGAAGAAGCCGCAGGACGTAGTGGAGATCAAGCCAAAGGTCATCGGCAACTTCTCGCACGCAAAAGGTTTAGTGGTCAAGCACAAGGTAAAGGAGTGTTCCATGACCACACCGGCGTGGGCATGGAGGACAGAATGCGGCTGGCAGTTCTACACCGGGAACTACTCCATCCTGGGGGACGGCGAAGAAGGGGGTGTCTGGTGCAGCAAGTGTTGCAGGCCTGCGGGTTCCAATGCAGCAGAGGGGGCAGGCCACTCAGGGAAGGCCAAAAGGGCCCAGCTGCTGGACCTGACCTTGGCCAACCAGATGGAAAAGAGCGCTGTCAGGGTGGAGGGTGGGAGTGAGTGAGCGGAACGCTTGTCGTGGAAGCACCACAGGTGCTGAGGGACAAAGAGTGTAGCATGAATAGGGTGGTGGGCGGGCCTCAGTCGGGCCCAAGATTGCTGCAATGTTTTTCCCACCCACCCACACCAATGCGGTTTAATTCAGATACAGCAGCAGAGGGGGCAGGCCACTCAGGGAAGGCCAAAAGGGCCCAGCTGCTGGACCTGACCTTGGCCAACCAGATGGAAAAGAGCGCTGTCAGGGTGGAGGGTGGGAGTGAGTGAGCGGAACGCTTGTCCCCAGAGTGTCAACGCGTGAGCCAACGGCAGCGGCTGAATATGGACCCGAATCTGACCACAAGTTTGTTTGTAGAAATATTGGGTGAGGGATTTTGGGGCTCCAAGGAGTTGAGACCCCTGAAGCAACTCGGGGTCCGGGACGTTCGGGTTCTGCCTAGCCCCAGGGACCCCCTAGGGTGCCACAGATTTCGGCCAAGCTCTTGGCTCCCGTGAGATCGGTAGCTTTGGACGAGTCGGTGGCTGCAGAAGGGTCGATGCAAGGAATGGCAGGAGCACATGCTGAGCCACAAGGGGACCGGTTGTGCTTTTTTGCGGAGAAAGGACATGGCCACTTGAGCTGGTCTTTTGGCGGGTGTCGCCCCCCATTTCAAAGGTTTTATGCTGGATGTTGCTGGGTTGGCCTGTGATCCAGCCTCTACGGTTGCAAGGTGATAGATGTCCTTTTGGACGACGCCAAATCCGGGGAGGATTGCTTGCAGAGCTTCATTTCTCGCCTGCGCCCTAGTGCCGACGCCGGGGATCGACGCCGGGGTGATCATCTGTCAAGGCCAATGAGGCCAGTCCTTTGAGCAAAGTAGTGTTAGGTGAAAGCTTGATTCATTCGTTGCAGCATTTTTGCGCGGTTGTCATCATTCTGCCCCGCAACAAAACCTGGCAAGGCGACGAACCATTTGTGTAGTCAAGGGCCCCAGTTCCAGATTTGGGCTGCCAACTCCACTGTTTTTTTTCACATGTGTGTAAGTCCGGCCATGCTGGAGGTGGGAGGAATCGGTAGTTTAGTTTTGGCTTGCAGTTCGCCCATTTAAAAGTTTAGTATTGGGCACGCTGGGATTTGAAACAGCGCGGACCCAAATTGAGGTCTCTTGTTTTATCTGGATATCTGCATCGATTTGTATCATGCCATCTCGAGCCATTTGTTTGCTGCGATCAGTGGTGTAGACTGTCCCAAGGCGTGGCTCCGGTTGGTTCCTTCTTGGCTTAGTATAGTGAGCGGAGGCAACAGGTTCGTAAAACCACAAGCAAGGCATCGTACCTGGGTTAGATGTTGAAAGCTACGAAGTTAGGGTTTTGTTGTAGGGTTGTTAGGGTTTACTTTCAGGACTACCAAGCTGCGAATTTAGGGTTTCGTTTTAAGGAGGTTGGGGTGTTCTTTCAGGATGTTTGCCGCTTAGGGTCAGGGGTCAGGGTTGTCCAGCTTAGGATCTAGGGTTCTTAGTGTCACGTACTAATGTTTTCAGGGTTGAGGGCCTCTGCTGAGTTTCCCTTCAAGCAGCATCCAAAACTGGTCCTTTGGAAACATTCAGTCAGGTGAGAGGACATGGGTTCGACACTTTTCAGCAGGCCGACAAAGCTGTTTTGATCCTTTGCCGACCCCTAGTGTAACAACTTTTGATTGGTGGTTTGAGCTTCTGCTTATGGATTACCCTCTAAGCTGGAAGCTGATAGGGGGTTGGAATACTTTGTTTTGGGGAATCCCCTTGACGACAGTGAGCTGGGAATTCGCGCCAATCCAAGCGAACAGACGGCGAACTGCTCCATGTTGCACTCCAAAGACAGCATGGCCGTGTGTTGTTCCTTTGTTCCGTGCCTTTGCTTCTGAATGATCGCTTTGGTTGTGGCATCCTTTCAAACAAACAGGTGCCTTGCAGCCTGAAAGCCCTGACATGGACCCGTGCTCTGCCAAACAACTGAAGGACCCTTTTGTGTTTACTCCGGTGTCATTTGTGCAAATTCGCAGCCCACAGTTGCTCTTTCGCAGCACGACGTCCTTACATAACTTATCAAGTTGTTCCACGCTGCTGAAACATTCTCAAACTGAAAGGCGTTTGCAGGAATGCCCGTGTAATGGCCAACATCCATGTACAATATGTCTTGAAGCGGTCCTTCCAACAGGCAGCCACCAATTTTTCGGGGTTGTGGTGGGTTGCCTTGAAGAAAAACGCAACCTGGAAGAGAGGTGCCTCATTTGTTGGTGTGTTGGTGGGGTGTTCTGAAGGGAAGTCAGAAAGATACCAGGAGTCTTTGAAGCATTTTTTTGTTTGTTTGAAGCAGCCGTAAAAATCCACAAGGAAGCCTTTTTTTGCAGAGGCCTGGAGCATCGCCTGCAGGCGCCTTCGAAATCGTCAGCGGGCCAGGGGTGTGCCTTGGTTTCCTTTTCGGCTTGCCTTGGAACTGGGTCGCGGGGTCAACAAGAAGCATGAGAAACCATGAGAAACCACAGGAAACCATAGGTGCCATAGGTTCGGTCAACAACCCCCCATGGACAAACCATGAGAAAGCACAGGAAACCATGGGTTCCAGAATGATGGTAAAACAATGGCTGGTGCCCTTTGGACAGGCCATTTGCGACCGCTCAAGGACCGGGAATTCGAAGCGGCGGGTTAGCGGGTTCTACCAGCTCGTGCAAATAGGGCAGGCCACCACACGAGCTGTTTGTGGACGCATCGCCATTTCGGGCATGGATCCCCTGAAATGTTCTCCCCTGCAAATGAACTTGCCTTGTAGGGAAATTCCTGTCAAGACGTGCGTTTCTTGGGTTCCATGTGAATCCCCAATGCCAGATCCCCCAGTAGTGTCCTTTTACCCTTTTTGGGGGGAGGGTTCCCCTGCTAAAATCGACACAGAAAAGAAGGTACCATTCCACTGGAGGACCTAGAATGTAAAGCTTGTTGGTCTCCTGCAAGCTTTGCCACATGCGTCCGCGGAGCGCGAATCCGCACGCTCGCTCGCTTTTGTCAGGCAGAATCGAAGGCTCACAAGGAGCGGTTTGCGCGCGCGTTCGCTGGTTCAGGATGTGTCAGCCGGGGCTGAAACTGGGTCCCCCAGCAGTGCCCTTCTCTCCCCTTTTTTGGGGGAGGGTTCCCCTACTCAAATAGACTACAGAAAAAAGGGTACCCTTGCTCTAACCTCTCTGCTGGAAAAACTAGGGTAGGATGTGTCATCCACTTTCACACTATAGGAAACTCACTTCGTGAGTTCACGGACGTTGCGTTGTACTTTTTGCGAGGGCCATATTAGCGGTAAACACAAAGTTCAGACTTATTCTGTCCAATCCACTCAGGAAGTAAGGAAATCAGACGCAAAACTCTTGCTATGTCAAGATTATCCATATTATAAATTCCTGACTCCACTCCGCGGTCCCATATTCGTCCCTTTCTACGCTCTTCGCCGATCCTTTCACACCCCCACGACCAAAACATCCAAGCCCAACCGAAAAGCCCCTTAAAACAAAACCATCGGGCATAGGAGTCTGTCCCAGCCGTCAAAAGAAGTGTTGCTTTATTAAAGCCATGGCTCAGATTTCAGTTGAAGCAAGCTAAGGATGCACACGGCGGTATTCTAAGATTTTCGCAACATTTGAGTGCCATGTTTGTTTTGCTCGGTCACAAAGAGACATAGGGCTGGCATCATGAGTTTCGAATTGTGAGACAGGTTGTCTCAAATCAGATGCCACGGGCTAGGCGCTACGGGGCCAAAAAAAAGATCAACACAAAGTAGGGGAATTGCATTGGAGTGAAATGCTTGGAGGGAGCATTTCAAGGTTCAATGTCCAAGGGACGTTTCAAGCCTTACGACTACGCGAACAGAGCCCGAAGTGACCGAGGCTTGAACAACACCTGCTAGGAAAGAGCCAGAGAAGAGCCGGAACGTGCGAGGCACCGGGGAGAGAAGGGGAACGGACACATAAGGCCGAGGTTTTGGTCGAGCCCTTGTGCCAGTGTCTCTCAGAATGTTAAAAGGACATATCTTCAACATATCCCGCCCACTTCCAACGTTTTGTGAATCAGCTGTGCATACTGGTTAGTGAGCTGCTGAGGTGTTGGACTGTCGGTTACTTGGCAATGTGCTTTTCTTGGACTTTGGAGTGTGTGCGCTCAGGATTTGTCGCGGGTTCACTGTTTACTGAAGAAGTGATGGATACATGGATTGAGGGATTGAGGGATTGAGGGATTGATTGACGGATTGATGGATTGACTGATTGAGGCATTGACGGATTGATGGATTGATGGATTGATGGACTGATTGATTGATTGATGGAGTACGTGAGAGTGAGTGAGTGAGTGAGTGAGTGAGTGAGTGAGTGAGTGAGTGAGTGAGTGAGTGAGTGAGTGAGTGAGTGAGTGAGTGAGTGAGTGAGTGAGTGAGTGAGTGAGTGAGTGAGTGAGTGAGTGAGTGAGTGAGTGAGTGAGTGAGTGAGTGAGTGAGTGAGTGAGTGAGTGAGTGAGTGAGTGAGTGAGTGAGTGAGTGAGTGAGTGAGTGAGTGAGTGAGTGAGTGAGTGAGTGAGTGAGTGAGTGAGTGAGTGAGTGAGTGAGTGAGTGAGTGAGTGAGTGAGTGAGTGAGTGAGTGAGTGAGTGAGTGAGTGAGTGAGTGAGTGAGTGAGTGAGTGAGTGAGTGAGTGAGTGAGTGAGTGAGTGAGTGAGTGAGTGAGTGAGTGAGTGAGTGAGTGAGTTGGTGAGTGATTCAGTGGTTCAAAAGCTTCATCATCTTTAAGACAGACTCTGCCAGCTGACCAGTCCTCGACGATGGAGGAGTCTCCCAAAAAACGGATGGTTTTTGCGCGACTTCTGTCTTTTTGGCAAGCCATCACCCCGTGACGGCGTGTCCTGCCGTATAGTCACAGGCCTTTCTGGTGCTACTTGCATTCAGGACCCTGAGATGAGTCAGCAAACAAATCGTTGAATTTTCCACCACCGAACATGATGTATAATCGTGGCTGAGCTCGGTGTACCTGCAGTTTGGCCACTTGAATTGAATTGTTTGTCGTCCATCCCATCCACGTACAGGGAGGGGATCAAGCCAATGCCCACGTCCACACATAGGGCTATGCCATTTAGCCACTCCTGCGGGCGCTTGGTTCTTGACTTTCAATTGGGGATATCGGAGCTATCTGGTTGGTTGACTTGCAAGACTTTGGCCCCGGTTTGCCCCTTGGTTGTCAAGTCAAAGCCTCCCTAGTTTCCCTATCCCTCCAGGCATCCAGCGAGCAGCGAGGGCGATGTGGCAGCGGCCACTGTCCCAGCGGCACCATGGCGCCGTTGCATTGTGCCTGGTATGTGGTTGTGTTGTGTGTCAAAACTAGTTTGAGATTATGTTTATCGGCTTTATTTGAAAGATAGCAAGCGTTCCAATTTGTCTTGTCACATTCCCATGGGCACCAAACAGGCGGGGAGCAGTTGAAGGGGCGACTCTTGCCATCACAGGCGCCTTGTCAACTTTGGCACAAAGAGTAAAGCAAATGAACTAGTGTGGCAACCAGCTACGAAATGGGGGGGAGAGACACTGTATTCCTTCTCATTCACGCACTTAGTTCTTACCACGTCGCTCTTTTCACTTTGTGCACATGAAGCCTTTTGTTGATCAAGAGAAAAAGAGCCCCACTGCGTCTTCGCGGGTTCGAGGGTTATGAGCCCAACGCCATGAGTGAAGGCTCGATGCAGACGCCTTCCGACAAGGACCTCCAGCTGGCTCTCGTGGCTCCCCAGGAGGAGAAGGCGGAGCACCCTGAAGGTGCACCTCAGGCCTTGGGGCCGCAGATGAATCCCTTCTGGTCGCAGCGGGCATGTGATGAAGCCATGCTGAAGGCCATGAGGCCGAGCACGCTCCCGGAGGACCAGGGTGGAGATGCCCAGGTGGCCGTGCAGGCCAGCCCACCCAGGGAGATCACTGGCGCGGAGCTGGTGAAGGGGGTGGTGGAGGAAAATGCCAGGCTTTGGCACTACATCAACCAGATGCAGAAGGCCAAGGATCGGGACTACCAGTCTATGCAGGCCTCCTTCAAGGAGAAGTTGGTTGGGGCCGCAATGAGTGGCCCGGATGCTGCTGGACCCGGTGCTTGGTGGGCTGAGGCCGCCGGTGGAGGTTGGCCGCAGTGGGCATGGTCTGGGGCACAGAGCTCTTCAGCCTTGCCGGCTTGGGGTGGAGATGGACCAACTTCATCACCTGGCCTTGGAATTGGGTCGACTGCCAAAAAGGCACTTCTGGACCTTCTAGGTGGAGTTCGTGGATGGCCACCACAGGCCGCTGGCGATGACCCGCATGGAGCTGGTGATCAAGGACAGCCAGATGTACAGGCCTTTGGTTCCGCCCGCGCTCATCATCCTGGGCATCAACAAGGGCAAGGTTCAGGAGTTCCCCATGGTGCTGGTTCTAGCGGCAACGGAAATGGAGCCGGTGGTGCTGGTCCTGGCGGCAATGGAGCCGGTGGCGGGGCCAGCGGGGGATATGACGGCGGTCCTGGCGGCAATGGAGCCGGTGGATTTCCGGGTGGTATGGGAGGTGGACCTCCTGGCTATCCCGGAGGTGGTGGTTTCCCGGGAGGTCATTTTCCTGGAGGAGGTCAGGGTGGTTCCGGTGGAGGGCTTCCTGATCATCCCGGAGGTGGCGGTTTCCCGGGTGGTCATTTTCCTGGAGGAGGTGCTCCTGGTGGTGGGCCTGGAGGTCCACCTGGCGGTCCCCCAGATGGTCATGGAGGAGGGCTTCTTGGCGGTCTTCATGGAGGAGGCGGTCAACTTCCTGGATGGCTGAACGGGGTGATGGCAGGTCAGGAGGCGGTGAGAACGGTGGAGCTGCCGGAGTTGCAGGACCTCGCAACAGCCGAGCAGGACATGGGGCCTTTGCTGGCGGGAGATTGGATGATGATGATCTCGCCCTTCATGTCCGACCTCTCGTCATCTTCGTCTGCGTGGTGGCAGGAGGTGCTTCGGGTGGCGAATGAATGCTACCAGCGGTGGCTCAATGCGGATCCTCTAGAACGTCTTCGGCTTCTTCCGGAGGCGCCCTTAGCGTTTTCGAGGGCACCTTGGCTACGCATTGAGCAGCGGGGCCAAGTCGCCTTGCTGAAGGCGGTGCCTGAATCTCTAGGAGGTGAACTGATTGCCCAGCGGAGGGCGGACAGCATCTCCATCATCTTCAAGGTCTTGAAGACCTACCAGCCTGGAAGCCTGGCCGAGAGGAGTTCCTTGCTTAAGCAGCTGGTTGACCAGCGCATCCCCTCGGGCATCGGCGAATGGCTGTCTTCTTTGAGGACGTGGCGAAGGTGGCCAGTGCGGGTGACGGAACTACGCATTCAGCCTCCTGATCCAGTTCTTCTTTTGGCCACTCTGGACAAGTTTGCGGTGGTCCTGGGAAAGATTTCCGCCCAGGTGTCGTTCAGGCTGCAGATAGCTCGGGCAGCACTACGGGTGGACGTGGCACCATCGCCACATGGAATCCTGCAGTTTGCGGACACGCTGCAGGCGGAAGGGGAGACGGTCTACCACGGAGGTGGGGCGTCGACCAAGGAGGCTGTGAAGGCCAAGACCATGGAGGTCAAGGACACGCCCAAGGCCTACGACCGGGACTACAAACCTCGGGAGCCCGACAGGGAGAAGGGCAAAGGCAAGGGCAAGGGGAAGAGCACTGCGGCCTGCAGGTACTTCCTCTCGGAATCAGGTTGCAAGAAGGGGCAGGCGTGCGGCTTTGCTCATGAATGGGGGGAAGAAGGCAAGATTGGACGATGCTGGCGCTGTGGAAGCAGTCAGCACATGAAGCCGGACTGCCCAGTGAGGGAGGTCACAAACCCCAAGGTGAAAAAGGAGAATTCTCCGGTGAAGGAGAAGGACAAGTCCGAATTTGAGGAGGTGGCAGTGGAAGGGACCAAGGTCACTATTTTGTCACCCTCGCCTTCGGCGGCTCCACCTACGGAACAGGTGAATGGAGAGCTGGTGAAGGAGGCGGTGCAGCTTCTCAGGTCATTGAGACCCCGGACGAAGGCCGTGAAGGTCAGTTCGATGCGGGAGGGCAGTGGAGAGAGGGCTTTGCTTGATGGCGGGGCTACTCATGTCCTTCGGTCGGCTCGCTCCATGGAGGAGTTTCAGGATGCGGTGCCCATCCAAGTGGAGTTGGCGGCGGGTGAGGTGACCTTGAGGCAGGACCCCGCCACGGGCACGTTGCTGACGGACTACCCGGTCCAGACGATCATTCCCCTCGGGAGGATTGCGCGCCTGGGCTACAAGATCTTGTGGCAGCACGAGGAGTTCGAGCTAAGAGACCCTCGGGGCGTGGAGATCCCGGTGGAGCTTGAGCTGGGCTGTCCCACAGTGGCGCAGGAGGTGGCAACGGAGCTCATCGAGCGCCTGGAGAAGGAGGGAACGGAAATGCAGAGGCGCCTCAAAGCCCTGAGGGCGGGGGAGCCGGGGGAGGTCAACTCCAAGGTTTGGAGGTGGATGGTCGACATCAAGGAGTTGTGGCCGGACCTCTCGGATGAGATGATTGTGAGGATTGTGCCTTCCGGCCAATGGGAAGGTGCGGCTCTGCCCTGGAATAGGAGGCAGAGGAAGAAGTTTTTGTCGAGCCCATCCGTCATCGTGCACTTGTTCTCTGGGCCGGATCAGAGTTGGTGGAAGAAGATGCTGGAGACCTCATCCCGGGTCATGCTGTGCGTGGATCGGGAGGTGAGCAGCGGCCAGGACTTGTTGCTGGACCAGGTCGCAGGATTCTTGGCGGAGGTATGCGAAGGAGGTGCAGTTGATGCCCTGCTTGGTGGACCCCCTTGCCGTACAGTGTCGAAGCTTCGGCATCAACGACCCGGCCCATCGGTTCTGAGAGCGCGGCACGGGCCAGAGAGGTTTGCGCTGGACTGCCTCAGTGAGGCGGATCGAGAGCTGGCCCTCAATGATGCGACGCTGTGGTTTAGGCAGCTGTGGTTGTTCTCCCTGGCTCAGGGAGCGAGGAAGGAGAAGGTGCGCTTCCTGAAGGAACACCCTCGAGATCCTCAGGAGTACAAGGCGAAGTCCGACAGCACCGACTACCCGAGCTTCTTCGCCTGGCCTGAATGGGCCTCCTTCAAGAAGAAGTTCGACATCAAGGAGGTGAAGCTGGACTTGGGTGGCTTAGGCCACGAACGCCGCAAGCCCACTACCTTGGGCACGAACATCAAAGCCTAGGCCTTCTGGATGGCCTTTCGGCGGCGAATGTGGAGGGGAAGAACGTGATGAACATCCCCCTGGAGCAGAAGGTCAAGGAGACCAGGTCTTGGGCCGCATGGCCTGAGCCCTTCAAGCTGAAGATCGTGGAGGGTCTTCGTCTGGAGTTGGAGCACCCGGTGGTGTCGAAGATGTCGAGCGATGATTGGGCCCGGCATCGGGCGCTGGACCACATGCCGTTCAACAGAGAGTGCCCGGAGTGTCAGAAGGGTGCTGGCCGTTCACGGCCCCACAGGCGCATCCCTGCACCGGACACGTTTACGCTTTCCCTGGATTTGTGCGGGCCATTCCGCCCGGGGAAGGATATGGAGGAGGCAAAGAGCCGCTACATGATGGTGGGAGTCTTCACGATCCCCGTCGCCAGGAAAAGCAGAGAGCTGGTTCCTTTGGTGCCCGGGTTGGGGGAGATCCTTGCGAAGGAGAAGGTTGCCGTGGAGGAAGGCGATCTGGAAGGTCCTCTTCTACCGGAGGTGGAGGAGGGGAGAGATGATACGCCTGGGCACGTTGATGGTGATCCAGGAGACATGGAGAAATGGGAGGAGATGGTAGAGCCGGAAGAGGTGGAAGTGCGGAACTACACCCTCGTGGAGGTTCTTTCGGAGAGGCCATCGCACTGGCCATGGCTCGCATGGTGGCGCGCCTCAACTACTTCAATTTGGAGGTGCGGCGGATCCACTCGGACCGAGCCGGGGAATTGGCCAGCAAGGCCAACAAGCGATGGTGCGCCCACAGAGGAATTCTCCGAAAGTGAAGTGGGAATGGTTCGCAGGGGTGTCACGGTCCTGTTGAAGGCCCTGAAGCTCGATGAGGACCATTGGCCTATGCTGGCGCGCCAGGTCGGAGAACGCCGCGGCCGTCAGCAGCTGCGATCACTTGGCTACATCACGCCGGAGCTACTCCCCTACAATATGGAGGTGATGGTCAAGACTAAGTCATGGGATGACTTTCAAGGGCATTGGAGAGCCCGGAAGAAACGCGCTTGGCTGAGAGGTCCGGATGTGTCGATGAGCTTGACCTCTGGTGGCCACATCGCGGAGACCGAGG